GTGAGGGTTTTTAATATAAACATTAATTATAATTACCAGATTATTTGATATCAATTATAATTACCTATTTCCATTAATTGAAAGTTGCCTTTGCGTCGGTGACCATATCCTCTCGACTCCGACAACATAAGGACCTCTGAAGTCAGAGCTCCTAGGCGACGCAGGGTGCCGTGACCATAATAACCCCTGGACTACATTAACTCGACCTCAACCCTCGATGGAGACAATCCCCTCTCTCTCGATGTCTTCTCTCCGACCGATTGCCCCAGTTCTCTCTTCCTCGTCTACCCACCTCTTGTTGCGCGAATGCCTCTTCTTGGAGTCTTCATTTTGGGAGAAGCATCCGCCCATCGCCAAACACCGTCGAGGGAAACCTTATCGTCTCAAAGCACTTGTTTTTATGTGTAAAACGTCCACAAGAGACACACAAGGATTAGAATCGCTCGAGTTCAGGAGGAACAGCAGATTCGGCACCCACACCGAAGCAGAACTGCTTGATTTGGTTGAGGAAGAAGAAAGTGAGATTCTTGATTTCGTTACTGAAAATGGCGAATTGGTAGAAGAAGACTTTGGAACAGCAAAAGGGGAACTTTTGAATTTGGCGGTAGAAAATGACATATCGCTCGTTGACGAGAAAGAGGAGGAGAACGATGAGCGCGCAGAACGGGTCGTTCCTATTGACTCTGCTAACGAACAGGATGAAATATGCACCAAGAGAGACGGTGATTTGAATGTTGGTGGTCTGATCAAGAGGATTATCGGCTTACCGATCGAGGAGCGTGTGAAAATTCTTGATCTTTTCGAGTCTGATGGCAAAAGTTTGACGATCTCCGACTGCAATGACATTCTCACAGCTCTAGTGAAATCTGGCGAGCATGAACTTGCTGTCAGTTTCTTCTCTGAACTCCCACGCCTCGGAATAACACCAGACTCTTGGTCATTCTCGATCATGGTTGAGTGTTTGTGCAAGAAGAACGAACCCGACGAGGCACTGCGATTCTTAGAAGACATGGTCCGAAGGGGGTTTCGTCCAAATGCTGTGACGTTCAACCGTTTGATGAATTGCCTGTGCAAGAGAGGGCGGATGAAGAAAGCTTTTGAGATTGTCGAGATCATGAGCCAGATGGGGTGCGAGCCATCGATCCGCACGTACAACAGTCTCATCAGTGGATTGTGTTATGTTGGTAGGTTGGAGGAGGCAATTGAACTCCTGAGAAAGATCAAGAATTCCTCCACATCACCTGACATTTACACATACATATTGGTCATTGATGGATTCTGCAAGGTTGGTAGATCTGATGAGGCAAGGGAATTGCTGGGGGAAGCAGAGGGAATGGATCTACTGCCAAATATTGGTACATATAATAGCCTTCTCAATGGATACTGCAAGGAAGGCAGACCCTTGGAAGGGCTCCATCTTCTGAAGAGAATGCAGAGGGGAGATTGCCCACCAGACTTCAGTAGTTACAGTATCATCTTACAGGGCTTGTTGAGATGTGGTGAGGTTTCTGCAGCTTGGAGGACATACAGGAAGATGAGGGATGCTGGCTTTCAGGTAGAAGAACGTGCAATGAACACACTCCTCAGAGGTGTTTGCAAGCAACCCGTGATCGATGAAAAGGTTCTAAATGATGCCATGGAGCTCCTCGATGCAATAACCGAAATCGGTCATAATCCTTCAGTCTATACTTATTGCTTGATGGTCAAAGCTCTTGCTATTGGTGGCGAAATCGACAAGGCATTGTTCCATCTTCAAGAGATGGTGAGGATTGGTTATTGTCCGAGAATGATGACATACAATGTTGTTCTTCGGGTTCTCTGTGGAGGAGGGAGAGGCGACGATGCGTTGGATGTCTTGGTTCTTATGATTGAGAGAGGTACAATTCCCAGTGGATCTTCTTTCGGCATATTGCTTGGTGAATTATGTCAACAAGGGCGAGTTTTGGATGCCTTTGGGGTTTATGCAGCTGCCATTAAAAGAGGTGTAGTTCTCCATTGGAAGCCAAACAAGGGTTTCAATGTTCAGACTGTGATTCAACATTCGCAAGGTGTGCAATAAGGAACAGCTTGATGTGGAGTCTAGAAGGTAGCATCAAGAGGTTAAACCAATTAAGATGATAAAGATTTGGTGCTCAGGCAAGTTCATTGAGAACCTCTAGTAATCTACTAAAAGTTGTTTCAGCTGGATATGTTGCCTATGACATCAAAGAAGCTCAGCTGCTTTCACAAGGAGGTGAAGAAGACAACAGAGATGCACAAACTAGAACTAGGCAAGTGTAAGAAAATAAACTGAGGATGTATAATACCTTCCACTATTGTCTAATTGGTGGATTCGCACATTTAATCACAAGTTCTATGAGACAGACGGTTGTCAAACCAGAAATAAATTATTTTTTCCCAATATGAGATGAGAATTTTAATGATACAACCAAGTATTTCCAATCCAAAAGCACAAACAATCAAGCAATTGTCAATTTCTCATATCTAAGAACTCATGTACAATGAAAACTACATCATAGATCTTCACAAAAGAACACTTGCAACATTGTGTTTGGCACATCATTGAGAGCAGATACAAGAGAATTACAAAGAGATTATGTTCGACTCCATTAAAAATTTCAGGCATCCTTGACATCTTTCTTCCAATTTTGGATATAATTGACTTGATTCAGGAATTGAGTAAGAGGTGAAGCAACCCCACATTTGCCTCTATATTCCACTTTTGCTCTTCATCCAAGCGTTCTTGTATACCCAGAAGGTGCCAACATTTTGGTAATCTCCATTCCCCACAAGCAAACAGAAGGCACACCAAACTATCAATCATGAAAGAACACAAAGGGAACTAAATAAATACGATGCACATCAAAAGAAAATGGAGAGCTATATGGCAATTGAAGTGTTCAAAGTTATACGTCATTGTGAATTTGTACTTCGAAGTTCGAATACAATGATGTGTTGTTCATGATGATTCAAGATATAATAGAAAGCTAAGATGTCAAAGAATGTTAAAGATAATAGGTTGTTGCTAATACAAGGACAACTACAAGCAAGGTTTCCTTACAGCAAGTGCAAATATTCTTTGTCACAAGTGTGCTCTGTGGTTGTGGTGGATCGTTTTAGTAGATTAGACTGTGAGAAACATTCGTAGAAAATTATGAACCTCCATCAATCAGAGGGGGGAAAAGAATAAAGAAAACAATGAAATTCTTGTTGAAAGAGTATGCACTAGTTGCAGACAAGCAGACAAAGTAGTCATTGTTATGTCTTTGGTGGATAATGATGCTGAATCTGAGTATCTATATCTGCGGAAATTACACCAGAGAAGATCTTTAATCTCCAAAAAGAAATTTTATTATATATATTGCAAGTAATTAGTCAACCAGAGGTATCAATCTCAACCCTAACCTGTTGAGTCATGTGTATGTGTATGTGCATGTGAGTCTGTACTACCAATTTCACACATTTAAACGTCAATCAAATTCATCAGGTTGGATCCAGGTCAAGAAAGCTTGATCTACTGGCACTTTGATCCATATGTTTTTACAACGTGAATGGAGTAAGACAGAGTATCTTTTCCGTGATACAAATTTGTTATTCATGTTCCAATATACTCAGAACTAAGCAAGTATAGCCTTCAAGAAACAACTAAAGAAACAATATTGAATCATCGGTTCAGGGTTCTAAAGGACAGAGTGTCAGCATCTCACTTGCTATGCATGAAAGTAATAGTACCAAGGCAAAAATCACAAGCCACTTCATCCATCTCTGCTCTATGAACAGCAACATCCATGGAGGTATAACCTAGCATTTATATTAAGAATTAGAAGTCAATATCAGTGTCCATGACCTTTATGAAAGATAAAGCAAAATCAGATGTTAATTATTTAGCAATTGTTACAGGTAATTGTTACAGGTATCAGTAAGAATATTCACTCAAAGAACAAATAATATATATACATATATATCAGTGAGAGTTTTTTAATGTAAGCATTAATTACAATTACCAGATTATTTGATATCAAGTAAAAAAAGTTAAATGTCTTTTGCTTTCTATGGGAATATAAAGGAAAGTTGAATTCTGGATCCATCTTAATCATGAAGAAGTCACTCAAACAGTCATCATGCAGAGAATCATGAACTTTCAACCCTAGATTACTTGGTTGCTAAACATATGCTGCTTCACTGAAACCTAAGTTTCTGACCGAACAAAAATTGGGAACTCAATGTGCCAAATTCTGTGTTTGCAATGCAATACTAGGTTAGCTCAGGCCTCCACTTCTGGATCTAGTCAAGAAAAGCCAAACTTGAATATGATTGGCATCATTCAAGACACAATGCTCGAAACGAGGTACCTGAGATATACAAAGTCTTGAATCAGTGAAAAAAGATCCGATTTTGGAGCTCGCCGATCTGCTTTTGGAGGCTACATTCTTCCTGGGGAGCCATCTCGGCCGTCGGAAGACCGCTCTCAAGAGCTGAAACGGCTTCGCGAAGGGCGCGGCAGCATTTCGCACCGCCGCGACTCGGCCTGAGGGAGATTGGTTCTTGGACTCCACTCGAAGGAAGAAGCGGCGCAGGCGCAGGAAGAAGGCGATCCGCTCGCCGCCGTTGCCGCAATGGGGGAGGACGTTGGAGGCGGTGAGCCGGAAATCCAGGCTCTTGGATTTGGCACGGACGGTGATCCTCCATGCCTGATGCTTGGGCGGCTCCACCATCCCCACCACCTTGTCAGAAGGCGAGAACCGAGTCTCGAGTTTGAACCGCTTATAGTGCTGATGGCAAAGGTGGAATATCTGAAAAATATCCCTTCCATAGATGTAATTGTCCTTCAGGTTTGGAGGAATACTGATATAAGTACATATATTGGGGTGTTTATTGCATAAATTACAGGCACATATATGCAACTAAGTCCTAATTCAATATTAACTTATTAGTCCCTAATAACTTTATATTCTCCGTTCAACTCAAATATATTATTATAGAAGTATATATGTTAAATATACATAAATTGTAGACAATAGAAGGATATATATACAAAAGGTAATTCTGCTACATATATCTTCTATGAACCCGCCTTCCTCTGTGCTCCTCAAATTTCTTCTCCTCCCTTCCCAGCAAAGGGAAGGGAGACGACGAGAGATGCATTGGAGGCCCCCAGATCTGCCCCAGTCCGCAAACCCTAACCCTAAATTCCTTCCAAATCGGCCGGCGGCAGACACCGCGGCTCCCTCCTCCATGTTCCACCGCCTCAACCCCACTCCCTGCGCGCCGCCGCAGGGGATCCGCCACCGACGGGCCAGATCCGAGCTCGCATTCCGCGTCCCGGAAGACCTCGACCACTCCTCCGGAGATTTCTTCGCGGTAGGAGGCGCGGACAAGGTGGGCTCGGAAGATGACCTCTTCTGCACGTTTATGGACGTCGAACAGGTGGAGGGGAGCGGATCCGCATCGGAGGTTGGAGTTTGGGGGGATTGGTCGGCGGAAAGTGTTGAAGATAGGAAGATCAGCGACGCTGCTGGAGCGGCGCCTTCCAGGCCCAAGCATCGGCATAGCGCCTCCGTGGATGTGTCGTCGATGTTGTCGTCCGTGCCTCTGATGGGGGAAGAAGTGTTTGCAGAGGCGATCGAGGCGAAGAAGGCCATGACGTCGGAGCAGCTTGCGGAGCTCGCTGCTGTTGATCCCAAGAAAGCCAAAAGGTGTCTGATCTTTGTTCGGTAGACCCGAATTCTTGTTTCTTTTTAATCTTTCCAAGCTATTAAAGTTTCAGTACCAATTCAAGAGATAATGAGGGAAATACTGCATCCGTCAGTTACTATGTCACTGGCATTAGAAGTAAATTTGATAATTCTAATGGACGATTTAGATTTTTGTACTAACAAACACCAAAAGCCACTTTCCGAGCATGGAATATACATCGACAAGGGTTTTACAGACGGTTCTGAAGATCTAAGTCAAATTGTATTGATCTTAAAGTAGGTGACTTTGATCTAAGTTGATCTTAAATTGTATTGAGCTTAACAATTATGATTAGATAAATTTGATATAAGTCTTTGCATATTCTGATGAAGTTCTTTGGGTTCACTTACTCTTTGACAATGACTACATGGTCATGCATATAGAATTATTTAGAGCTTTCTTTGATTGTTTAAATATTGATGCTTGTAGAATTCTGGCCAATCGGCGGTCTGCTACTCGCTCAAAAGAAAGAAAGGCTCGTTATATATCAGAACTTGAGAGACAAGTTCAAAACCTTCAAACTGAAGCTACAACTCTCTTCGCACAGTTTACAGTATTTCAGGTTTGTATATTTCTTCTGAATGTGCAAGCTATCTAATTAGATTACATTGCTAGGATGGAATGATTTTGCTTAATTTAACTTTACAAATAACACTCACTGCTGAAGTGACTAGAAAAGCTAAACGGCAGATACCTGCTTCCTTATGGCTCATGGAATGCATATTTGTCTCAGAACATCATTTATTACAAATCACGTATACTCTTCCATTCGCTAACATTCATGAAATACTTTGGGTTATTTTTATTGCCATCATGAAATTTTGACTATAACTATGTTCCCTAGAGACTTTTACTTCTATTAATGAGAGCAAGCTCATTTTGGTTGGCATGTGATCAACCTGGTAACGTCATTCTGCATTGATGCTATGCATTTGCTTAGGTATCAGGAAGAACAGTTATGTTGACTTTGCCAGCATATATTGTGTGATTGCTGTTAATTCATCTTTCTTTTGGTAGTATGACATCCGCATTACCAATGTTTCATGGTGCATTATGTACGTATTTATGCTGATTATTTTGACTGCTTGTATCACCTATGTTGATTATTTTGAACAAATATTTGCAATGCTAGTTTCAGCTGAGGATTCTGATTTGCTGCTTCTCTTTCCAGAGAGACACAACTGGACTTTCTGCAGAGAATACAGAGCTTAGATTAAGATTGCAAGCTATGGAACAACAAGCTCAGTTGCATGATGGTAAGCATGACCTCACTTTGGTACCATATGCTGGCATTTTGCTTCTTAGATTTTGCTGTTATATCAGATGCAGGCCTATTAGAACAGTGATATATAATCCAACTGGTAGATACACTGGCATTCTGTGAGCTTCAATGTGACCTTGAAGTTTGTTATTTCGGTAACCATGAATGAACAGTAAAACTTAGTTCAATTTTCTCGTGGAAAAATTTAGTGTCTGGATCCAGGGGTGTAGCGTTCTCAGTTATAATTACTCTTTTAAGTTGGTTCTGTTGCTGCCTTTTTGGACTGAACTGTCCATGGGCTTTAAATATGTATCAGTCTGTATCTGGTCCATTAAACCAGAACATTTTTTTTGAAGATAGAAAAGGGAGTTTAGGTTGAACAATGACGTTCGGTGAAGCAGCACAGTTTTAGCTCATCATATCGTAAACGTATTCCAATTCAATCATACTGCTTCAATCTTATTTTTTTCAGTGAATATTCTTAGAGAGAAAATGCCAGTTTCAATCTGACCTTAAGGTATATGATAAGACAGAAATTGTTAATGTTGTCTTTCTGGATATATAGTTTATTTTAGTCCAACATCGACAGTCAGTTATAATGATATAAAGAGTTTATTAGATCATGTGTATATATAAACAGTTGCAGGCCTTTGATTACCTGCAAATGGATTGCCTGCAATTCCTATATACAGGAAATGCACACTTGCAAACATCCGGTTGCCTGGAAACAAGACACTTGTAGCGTGTGTGTGCATAACTAGACTCCGACATGCTGCAAATGGAATTACAAGTTTGAAATGCTGTATGTTACACTTGCAGACCAGGTTATAAGTCAAAATTTGAATTGAATATCCTCTCATGCGTTCCCTCTAATCAAGTGGTCTCCCACTCATCTACTTTGCTCCACATAAGTATCTCTTCCTCTTACCTCTGTGAGCACTGGTCGCCGCCTCTTTTACCTTAGTTGCAACTACAAGTAGCAATTCTACATGTAGGCTTGAAAACTACTGCACCTGCAACTGGTCCTTGCCAATTTGCTCGTCTGCAAGTAGCACTTGAAGGCATTTCAAATAGCAGTCGACAAAATATCCCCTTATTGAATCAGTAAATAGGCATATTTCCAATAGCCATAGTTTTCAGGTAAGTGGATGGTGAACTTGGCAATGGCTCTAGTACAAATCCAAACACAGTCTCTGATAGGGAGGTCTCAACAACCAATTTCCAACAATCAAAACTCGGAAGAGGTCAGTGTTGTGGTTGCATTTTTCTGAACAAAAACTGCATCAGATTCGTATCCAATGTTATTGTTCAGAGCAGGCCTTTATCCACGAGATATGCATGCCAAAATGGCCTAGCGTTCTCAGGTGAACTTGAACAATTGCTTTTATGTATCATGATGTATTCTTCTCCTTTGCAGCACTAAACATGGCACTAAAGCAGGAGGTTGAAAGGCTCATGCTTGCGACTGGTGAAGTATCAAACCCCCCCAGTGGAGCTTACAACGGGGGATTGCAGCATATCCCATACGACCCATCATTTGCCTCCTCCCAGCAACAGCCAGTCCATCATCAAGCAATTCAGTTGCAGCCCAAGTTTCAGCAGTCACAGCCTGGCGCCTCTTGCAACCATTTGCCCGCTCATCAGAACTCCCTTCCGGCTATGATGGAGCAAGATCCAATTGGAGGGCTACAGGGATTGGATATCAGTAAAAGTTCCATAGTGAAGTTGGAGGAGGGTTCCTCGGTTTCCGCCGATGGAACCAGAAACGTTTGACACACCAACCCCACAAACAATTCACAGTTGTCATATACTCCAGTATTTCATTTCATTCTTTCTTATATTATTTTCCTTCTTGTCAGGATTGTGTCATTCATTTCTTCCTCTTGTTGCTTTCATTCTTTGGTGTAGCATTATTAAGTCGTAGAGGTCGTCACATGTTGTGTTGATAATGTTTAGTGTCTGATATGGGAAATGAAAGCATCTTAGCATTATTTCTGTACAGACATATTGTTGCTAAATCTGCAGGAGGCAGTACCATGGTCGGTTGAGAGGCTCTTTCCATCCAAGACACCGGGCCATGATCGAGCAATCTCATGGTATGATTGTTTTAACGTTATTCATCATCAATGTCAATTTCAATGCCATAGCATAAATCTCTTCTTCGTCAACTTACTCTGTTTTTTTTTTTGCTCATATTACACTTGACCAAGTCGCATCTATCCGATCGAGTCATCTTACATCCAAAGTAGATAAATATTTAGATTGATTGGTGTGAGTTCAATGGGTATATCATCATTAATTTGATCTTAAGTATTTTTGGACTATTGATATAAGATCGAATTCTCGGTATCGGCATATCGGAGTCATCGATAAAAATAATAAAAATTATTTTAGAATTTTAAGTAATGATTAACCATAATTTATTATATAAATTAACAAGATTATAATTATACGTGAAAAAATTCCACCCTGTCTTCGTTCCCTTAAGATTTCATCTTATCCAAGACATCGATGCTTCATAAATTACTATAATTGCTTGACTTGGAAATCAAACTGTATGATGAGGGTAATGATTGCGATAAGACTCACATGATATCAGTTGTACCAGGTGACGCATCACGCCTCTGTCAACTTGATGAGACACCCGGTCAACGCGGACTGGAACACCTACTGAGGCACATTAACACCCTGCTTAGGCTCGATCCCCCACGCCACGCCACGCCAACGGCAATGTCAGATGCTACCAGAAGTATGATCCTGATCCCTGTGGGCAGGCACATCATACAATGGTAATTCTTACTATAAAAACCCTCGTGCACAAGGAGAAAAGGGGGAAGGAGCAGACACAACTTGGCTAGAAAAGGAGCAAACCCCCACGACCACTCACTAATTTAATTGTCGGAGAGGTCGGGCCGAGCTCCCCGACCCGACCTTTGTGCAGGTGTGAAGCCAAAGATCCCCACGGAACGCGCAGGCAAGGAGTGCTCCCCCGGTGGAAATGGCTACCCCCGTCTCGATAGGATCCACGCAGTCGGACGCCTCAGCAATCTCGGGAAACGTCCCAGGGAGATCCCCTATCATCCGGACCCGAACCAAACCACGTCGGTCCCGAGACCACGGCTTAAAAGTTGTTTACACTAACACTATAATATCAGATTTAGCTCCATCCGAAGCACTCGTCCTCGCCGACTACTTGAAAGAATATTGACATCTAACGAGTAACGAGTGGAGTAAAAACCATACGCTGGCATTAAATTTGTGCGTGGATTCTGGCACTCCGGTACAGAACACGAAGGGGACGTGTGAAGCGCAACACTCCCATCTATCTCCGTCTTCTGAGAATTATTGGTATCATGAGACGTGCACCTAAGTGTACAGTGTGCCAGTTCAGAAAGGCTCCATTTCAAATTATAAAGGAGACGACACGTGCACGTTTCTTCTCCGGTTTCGATTTGTTTATGTTTTGTTTCTTTATATTTAATAATGGTGGTCATGTCACGTAGCCATCTTCTTTATAATTGTTTATTCTTATGTGTTGAGGAAAAAAAAAAGATTGATTCTGATTTTAATTCATACCCATACCAATAAGATTATACAAAATATCAAGTTTTTAAAATATTATTTTATACGAAGATCGAGATTAAAAAAAATTTTGATTTAATTTTTTCGACGTTCAAATTAGTAACTCGATATATGAGTGTGGACGTGAGTGGTTAGAAAGTTGATCCTCATTTCATTATGTTGAAAATGAACTTTTATATCTTGTCGTAAAGGAGCATGAAGTATTCTATATAAAGTTAATCTCTATCTATGTGGATGCGAAGGGAAGGAGGGATGATCCATAATCACCTGTCTTGAATCCTTATCCATCTTTAAGGGTGGCCTCCATCTTTTCCTTTGGCCTAAAATATTTTGTAACGATTAACTAATGATATACTCCATATTATTATATTTCACGAGCAAATGATAATTTCATATAGATGATAAATTAATTATCATCTCTTTATAATAAGCTCATGATTTTTTTTTCTTTTTAAGTATCATTTAGATCGATCTTAAAAGGATAAAAATCTTTTGTAGTACATTACATACGGAGCCTAATCATTGAAGTCCTACACTTACCATAATACCATGTTAAAAATAATCAATAATAATAATAATAGTAAAATAGTAATTCAGAAAATGACACTTAGGCAATGCAAGAAAAAAAAAAAACTTGTATTCCCAATAGAAGATAAATCCATGAATAAAAAGCTTGGAGTCAAAAGTTGTCAGGGGATTCAAATGGATGCCCACCAAAGCTGTGCATTTCAATTCAAACAGGGCCTTGTGGGAGTACAAAAATATAGGTAGACCATGTTCTCTTGCAGAGCTTTATGGGTGAAAACCCTCCCTAAAGATACACTACAGGTTTCCAAAGCAAGCTGGACACCCCATCCCTTCCTTTTGTTCCTCGAGAATGCAGCAAATTATTGTACTGTGTATTAAGATATAGTTTCAAGTGCTAACTTTCTTTGACCCCAATCTTCAACTGAGAAGACTCGCTTCATGAGTTCATGTTTTGCTTCTTCCATTCATACATTCCGCAACATGAGGTTGGGCACAGAGTAGCTCTCGAGATCTTGCACAGGTCAACGATCTAAAGTGGATAAGTCTTCACCATACACTTGCAGGCTGTAGTGTTCTTTACGAGATTCCTTCTGCAAACTTTGGGTGCAACTTTTTAGGCACTCTTCTTCTTCACTCTGCCATTGTCTTCGTTGCTAATTAATCGTAATACAGTCTTCTTCTCGAGGAACTGCTGATGCAGCGTCGTTCATGCCGGCGTTTGAATCCTTCGTCGGTTGTGAAGTCCCAGTCAAACAGGTAACGGAGGAATTCTCATCGGTGACCTCTCCTGAGATTGCTTCAGTTGACATTAATCTCTTGTTTCCCAGGAAGCACAGGCGATCCACAGCAACTGCTCGTCAAATCCAGCAAACCTCTCCAAATCTTAGGCATACGCATGTGATCTAAGAAAAAGGCGTCGTTGTAATGGTCGGACATCAATGGATCCAACAAGGTGTTAATGCAGCAAGAAGAGAGCTGCAAGTTCTTGCAGGCTGTTGCTGGTTTGGGAGGTGAATGATTAGAGAAAGAGGAGCACGAATCCCTGGCCCGGTGCAGCGGCGTAGGCCCCGCAGTAATGGACTCGGAGACAGGAACGGCGTCATTGACGGAGAGCGAGCTGCAAGTTGCACTCGGCCATTGACAGCGGCAGCCTACCCACCGATGTTAGTGACCGCAACCTCGATGCTTGGCTGCTTATGGTAGGCGATCGATCGGCCCACGATATCATTGGTTCCTTTGGTGAGAAGCATACAAGGTGCTCTGGCTGCCTCCGGCTGCGGCGGCTAACCTGTCTCGATCCAGATCGGGTTCATGGAGCAGAGGAAGTGGCACGACTTCGGCCATGGCTTGAGGACATTGTGTTTCGCTTAAGATACTAACGTTCAAGAAAGCCTCGTGGCACCACTTCGGCGGCTAACCTGTCCTTTTCTGCCGTCTCCGTCTTCCTACTGCTGCCTCCTCGCTAGCACTACTATAAGCCCCCGGAGTTACTCTCACATGAGATGCGATCGCCTCGGCGAAGGACATTCTTGCTCGCGCCGCGGACGACGCTCCCGATGAAGCGCACGCTGGTGGGCAGCGGCCGGAAGAGTGGGAAGCATCCTGTCTTCGTCTTCGTGTTCACCGCCTTCTTGTTCTTCACGTTCGTGTACAACGAGGACATCAGGTCCTTCGCTGAGTACTCCTTCAGTGGTAGCAGAGCCAAGTCGCAGGTCTTGGCCCGGCAAGAGCTCGTCGTAGATACACCAAGACACGAAGCAAATGTGGCCGATGGCTTCCACAGAAGAGAAGAATCCGAAGATGATGATGAGGAGGGGGAGGACAGTAAGAAGGGGAAAACAGTGGTAGAGAGGACAGCAGGTGATACGGCGGCCAGAGATCGGTCGCCGCCAGCCAAGAAAGACCACCGAGAGCCTGAGAGCAACACGGCGAACATGTCGGTGGTCGTCGACGTACCGCAAGTGGTTCAGCTGCCGTCGCAGCACAAGGCGGAGGCGGAGGCGGAGGCGAAGCCGCAGAGGGGCGTGCTTAACGTGCCGGAGACCTGCGACCTCTTCGACGGCTGGTGGGTCTACGACGACGTCTCGTACCCGCTCTACAAGGAGCACGAGTGCCGGTTCCTGACGGAGCAGGTGACCTGCTTGAGGAACGGCCGCCGTGACGACACCTACCAGAAGTGGCGGTGGCAGCCGCGGGACTGTGACTTGCCGAGGTATTCGTTCCCCTGTTCTGATGACATCTCCCGTGAATCGAAGAGATGGTCGGATCTGAAGTCTTCTTCTGGTGGATGCATAGATTCGATGCTCGGCTGCTGTTGGAGAGGCTGAGGGGGAAGCGCCTCATGTTCGTGGGCGACTCCCTCAACAGGAACCAGTGGGAGTCCATGGTGTGCCTCGTCCAATCTGCCATCTCAAGGGGCAAGAAGACTCTCACCAAGCACGGCTCGGTCAGCGTCTTCAGAGCCGAGGTAGCAGCGACCCGAGTTGCTGTGAATCTGATTGCAATCAGACAAAGCCTCTGATCCCCGTTCGTACTAATCGATTGCAGGAGTACAATGCTACTGTGGAGTTCTACTGGGCGCCGTTCTTGGTGGAATCCAACTCCGACGACCCAAACATACACAGCATTCAGAACCGCATCATCATGGCCGACTCGATCGCCAAGCACGGGAAACACTGGCAGGGAGTGGACTACTTGATCTTCAACACCTACATCTGGTGGATGAACACCGCCAAGATGAAGCTCCTGTGAGTACCCCTCGCCCTCACCACCTGATGGATCCGAGCTAATTGGTTCTGCTTACGAGCTTCTAACTCGGGGCCACAGGCGAGGATCGTTCGATCGAGGGTCGACGAAGTACGACGAGGTCAGTCGGCCAGCGGCCTACCGGCGAGTCCTGACGACATGGGCGAAGTGGGTGCGCAGGAACGTGAACCCGAAGAAGACGATGGTGTTCTTCATGAGCTTGTCGCCCAACCACATGAGGTAAGGTCTACAGATCGACCTCTCCGTTAAGACGACAGGAATCACTCGCTGCATCGATGGATTACAGGAGCACGGATTGGGGCAATCCAAAGGGGATAAAGTGCGCGATGGAGACGACGCCGATCACGAACATCTCGCGCCCATTTAAGCTGGGCACCGACTGGCGACTGTTCCGGGAGGAGGAGGAGGTGATCCGGGGGATGAGGTTCCCGGTGTCGTTCATCAAGATCACGGCGATGACGGAGTTCCGGAAGGACGCGCACACGTCCGTGCACACGCTCCGGCAAGGGAAGCTGCTGACGCGGGAGCAGCAGGCGGATCCGGCCTCCTTCGCCGACTGCATCCACTGGTGCCTGCCGGGCCTGCCGGACACGTGGAACGAGTTCGTCTTCGTCCGCATCGCATCCCGGCCATGGCGCAGCTGATGCACGTGCCCTGAGTTGGCATCCCCACCTTCTTCCTTCTTACTGTTACCGCCATTCTTTTCACCCCTCTTCACACCACGACATCGATAGATTCTTTTCTTCTGTTGTTTGGATCTTTGTGTATCTACCCGTGTCGGATTCGTATGGGGGTGAACTCCTGTTGCACAGGCATCGAGAGAGAGAGAGAGACAGAGAGAGAAGAGAGAGGACCACAAGAAGCAACATGAGTATTAACATCGAAGCTATGGATGGATTTGTTCTCGAACTATTGCTGCGTTCTAATCTATTGTCTCCTTCCGAAACCTCCTAAGAACATATTTAAAGGGTGTAATACTATCTATTAGCATGAGTTTAGATGTTCGATTGAGACACCACAAATTTTATGATATTAGAGACAAAATAGCTTTGGATATGACAATTTGGTTAATTATGTATTCTGCTAAATTGTGACGAACAGTATCGACGTACGATGCGATGATTGATGTGAGATGGCGTTCGTCGGATTCGGACCCGTTGACCAATCACTAAGCTTCCTGTGGCCAACTGGGAAGAGGATTTGACTGCACAACAAGAAGAGGGGAAGAAGAAAAGTGAAAAGCACCTGTTTGGGAATCTACATCATGCTGAATGACTGATAGATATGATTGTTTTGTTGCCTTGTACACATGATTGATCGAAGTCGTACCACATATCATGTACTCATCGAGCATCGAGCAATTGGCAACGATGTCCTCTTCGATTCCAAAGGAATATTGCATGTGTAAAACATGTAGAATACTTTTCGAAGTAAATAATATATTTCATCGAATTGGTGTGAAGAAAAATATGATAATGCTCGAAAAACTTGATTCGATTGGTTGCATCAACCTAACCAGTTTCATATCATCTGACATGCTATGGTTTCTTTGTGCAGCAAATAAGGTACATGGACCTCACGAAGCAGCAGAGCAGTTTCGTATATGTTGCTGTCGTCCACCTTAGGTTGCACACCGATCAGCATCTCACCGGATGTAGAAGAAACAATGAGACCTGCCACACCCAATTATGTTGCTCTCACGTGACTGTGAGGACCAGTCTTGAGAGTGCACAGCTTCATGTGAAGGTTCTTTTGGTCTGGTCGATAGCAAGCCTCCTTGTTGCAATATTGCATATGCCTACCTTTCTCTGAACATCAAACAAGCTTGGAATTATAGTTCCATCAAATTCACTCACCCTCTTGTTTTTCCCAACTTTTAAGATGCTCAAAGCAATGTGGTTTCAATGATTGGAGCTGACTTACTGAGTAGAAACTATTGATTGATTGTGATATTCTTGTGGGCGCAGTGCCCACGAGAAAAGCAACACAACAAGAGAGAAGAGAAGATGATTAGGGTTTTTGGACAACAGACTGTTTTGTCTCTCAGAATTTTAGAAATTTTGAGTATGTTCTTTCTGTCCGAATTACCATGCCCAAATATTAGTATAACCTAGTGGTGGCTCCGCCATAATAAATTCTCTAACTTTATCTACGAGTATTCATTTTCTACTCGAGTCCTCTCATCTTACTCAAATACTATGCGGAAATTCATATGTTAAATTTTTTAGTTAAATTATTAGAATTATAGTTTTTATTTATAATCAAAAGTTAAGTAGTAAAGACGTTATTCAATCCCAAGACTTTGATATCTGCAGTTACGAGGCATTAAAGCCCTCTTTTCTTTTAGATTTCCCTATGTCTGACTATTAAGTTGGTCCAAAATAAGTTGTAGTAACAATCAGTACTTGCATTTGGCACTATGGATTGATTACATTACTATTTTTTGTGTAGGCTTCTTGATTTGTCAATGGCTTTTGGCTAACATATTTGCATGGATGAAAACCATAGTTACATAGATCATGACAGCAACAATCAGTACCTGCATCATGGAAAAATAATCAATTCTTCTTGTGTAATTGAGACCATTTGTTTGATGTTACTGAGTACGTCTTCCACTGGTGTTTTCAGAAGAACAGCAACTTTTTCCTTGTTCTGCTGCTTAGTTCAGTGTGCATAGTTAGCCTTGTCTCCACATCAATGTTGAGGATTCATAATCATCCATTGAAAGCCCAAAGCAGTTTATTTTGTGAAATTAGAGATGGATTTTGTCGTTCATGTTAGAGATAGGGGACTACTTGGTTTGTTTCGGTGCACCTTAGAGATGCGAGGGATTGTCCGCTTTCGGTGAGTGCGATCGAACCCGCACGATTTTACTTTTTCGGAGTCATAGAGTTGAACCCTTGGCTCTCCCACGGTAGGCGCCAATCTGACAGGGGATCACTTGGTCTGTCTTGGTGCACCTTGGAGGTGCGAGGGATTATCCGCTTTGGGTGAGTGCGATCGAACCCGCACGGTTTTGCCCTTTTGGAGCTATAGAGCTCCTTTAGGCACCTTTGAGGATAAGGGAGGCACGGCTGCCTTATGAGCCTTTGGCTCCCCCACTCCTCAACCGATGTGGAACTAAGTTGGCCCTATCAGGTGACCCCTCCGATCGGTCACCCCTCGGTCAGACCCGGAGATCGGCCCCTCCCCACCCTCGAGGACGGGGGAATCCCGGCTTCAATGCCGGATCGATAAACAATGTTGATGGATTGATGTGTCACGGCTGATAGAGTCAGCACGGCCTAGTCCACAGGGCAATGTCGGGAGTCTCTGGTCGGTTGAGCTAGGTTTCGAGACCGATCGAACACCACTTTGAGCGTCGGGAGTGGGGGTTTGATCAGCGCCTTCTTGCTTGCGATGACAGCTTTCTTGCAAAAAAGACCGTTGTCAGGTGTTTCCCGACTTTGGTCCCTCCGACGATCAAGTCAGTGGCGGGTTGGAGTTTTTTCTTTTTTTTCTTCCCCCCTGGCCGGTTCTCGATCGGGTCTCGGCCAGGTGCTTTTATGCTACCGTATGAGGGTCGATCGTACGCGGGTATAACGACCGATCCTTGGGAGATGAGGCGGTACCTTTGTGCGGTCGTTGCTCCGGGACGCGCGGAACGGCGCCATGCGGTGCCGTCCCGAGCTTTCCGGGACGGGACGTATTGAGCCACGCTTTGATACGGTCTTTGGCTCGACACGTGGGGGTGCTCCTCTTGCTTACCTGGCTGCAGCGCTACGTGGCATCGATCGTGACACGACGTGAACCCAAAATATACCTTATCACTCTCATGCGGAAGAAGAAGAAGATATCCCATCATATTCTAAGTTTATCGTAAAGTTTCATGTTTTGATCTCGTCTTCATCATTTATCCTTTCGGAGAGAAAGATAAAAACTTACACGGCTACATATAGTGAGATTATCGATCATAAATCCAGTCCCTCGGATTCTGCTTCCTTCCATCTAATGATGGTTTCAATTGGATCCTCCACTTGGGGCCGACGGCGGCACGGGTTTTCCGGGAAGCATGGTGAAGAAGAGAGGCGCCGACGCCGACACCGGGAGCTTCCTCTTGGATCTCGAACGGGCGGTGGCAGCCTTCGTCAGGCCGCATGGCTTCTCGGCCCCAAGTCTCTGCAGTGACCGAACGACGAAGCTTGATTCCGGGACCTCCCCGGAGGTGGTGATCCCGTCGACAGGCCTAGCGGTGGTGCAGTATCGTTGGACGAGAACCAGCAGCAGAAGAAGAAAGGTGATAGCTTTGTCTTGAACTACCATGGCGGACGACACAAAGAAGGCTTAATGGCGTGCACAAAGGCGATTTATCGCGAAGGAGGAGTAGGATTAGGAAGCGAAAGATGGATGTGTTGGCAAATGTAGAGAGGTCAGAGAAGCACTTGGAATCTTCTCTCGTTTGACTCTTCGCATGGTTTTGATCGTAAAATTCAACCAGGATTAATATCAAAGAGATTATTGCTAGTGGTTATCCCATAATACCACTGTCATTATCATCATCAGTACAACTATACAGTTTAATCTTTAGAGATTACAGTGCACAATAACTGCGAGAGAGTGAAATCCAACCAAAGCAAAGTACAATAACAGTAAACAGAATGTGAAATCTAACCAATACTATCTCATTCGAACCCATTAATCCTTTTGCAAAGGGTAAATGATAAAAATGAGATTCGAACTTGAGATGTTAGGATAAGCTGTCAAAGTCTTGATCGACTAAGCTATAGCTGAACCCATTAATTGCATAACATTGACATATGATGAAGCAATTGTGCATCTCCATCCTAGTGTGTTGGAGTTCTTGCAAGCAGTGAAAGCTCCGTGGATGTCCATCGTAGCTGCAATTGGGGGCATGAAAAGCTTAAAGCCTCAAGACTAATTGCAGCATCTAGGCATAGGTTTCAGAAGCTACAACTGGCTGGATCGAGTGGAATTCATTAGCAGCAGTTTATGGCAGTCTACTTAGGTGTCAATGTCCAAGGATGGTACCCACTTGCACTCCGAGTTCCTATCAAATGGCATCGGGCATATGCATATGGCTGTCAAATGGGTGCAGCAGAGCATCATCAGCAGAACAGAGAGCTTGTAGACCCAGCAAGACTGGTTCCGAATCCATCCCATTGGACTGAGACATCTGTAGTGAAGTATCGTTCCACAAGCTTGATCTCCAAGAGTCCCATCATCCACCATGCACTTCCGAATTGGACCCAAACCAGCAACTCATTGCCTTGTTTTCCTTTCACTCCGGTAGTGGATGCTCAACCTTTTGCTGCCGAGTGTGGTCCAATCCAAAGTTGGAGATCGAGTTCGCAGCTTTCGGGCATAAAGACAGCAGGAAGGAGGAGATGACGCAGGTGTTCCTTCGTTTTGGCATCAAAGAACGCATGCGGCAGGCGAGACAGACAAAGTGAGTGCTCAGAAGTGATTCGAGGTCTGCAGCACTCTGTTTTTGCTGCTGCTTCTTCGCGGACGAAGAGGTGTGGAAATGAGGAGTTGGACAAGGAAGGTGGTTCTCCTGAGCTGTGTCTCTTTGTGCTTCGTCGTCTTCGTCGCCTTTGCTATTCTCTTGGAAACAAGCAGTTGGAAAGCTTGTTCAGGTGAGCAGAATCCACTTCTCAGGTTCCACGCTCATCTAGCTGATACTTCATTCAGTGTTCATCTTTATCCTGTGTTACGTAAAACAGTATTAGAACTATGGATGGTTGTGTATCACTTTTACCTTTTTTATTTCTCAGTTGCAGAGATTAGAAGCGCGACAATGAAATCCTTTGTGCAGGTGCTCTCTCTCTCTCTTCTTCGTCACGCAAATCTTCTCCTGTAATTAAAGAATTTTCCTTGTTCTCCTGGGTAAATAATGTTGCTACAATGCGCCGTTGGTGCGACTGCGGCAAGCTCGGGCCTCCGGCGCAATATATAAACATACGCTCTTTTTCCACTAAAATGCGCGGGATGGACGCGAGGTCACTCGCTACCATCAAGCGCACGTAAGCATGCTGATCGTACCGACTCGTTCTCGGAGCCACCGTATCTTGCAGGGTCCCCGGCGAGCACGCGAGCCGTCGGTGGCGGAGGGAGGACGCAGGAATCTAATGGGGCGGGGGTCGCGTCCTCCGCGGTGCACGTCCAAGTGCGGCAACTGCACCCCGTGCCTGCCGGTGCAGGTGGCCGTCCCCCCGGGGGCTCCCGCCACCTTCGAGTACTACCCCGTGGCCTGGCGGTGCAAGTGCGGCGCCCATCTCTTCATGCCATGACGGCGTCCATCCGATCCCAGGCCGCATCCACATGCCCGGAGAGAAGGCGACAGCGGAGGAGCCCCGGCGACGACGCTCCCATGTCTTCCTTGCGCGGACACGGGAGAGAGCAGCGTGCACAATTGGGTTCCTCACATACTATACTCTTATCATGAAACAGGACGTGAATGCACGCACGCTCACACGTCCTATGGATGTCTGCTACCATTACGGTTCGAGCTTCCACTATCTATGACAAGATGTATATATATATATATATATATATATATATATATATATAAGTGCAGTGTTTAGGAAATATTTATTTTATATTTTGAATTAAAAATAAAAAAGGATATAATCTGGAATTGGTATGTGTTTTGACACGAACGAGGCTGGATATGATCCCAACGATGCGCGCCCAATCTAATGTACGCGTCACATTGGATCGCACCGGGTCACATATCGATGCGGTGAACTCCACGTGCATTGCGCGTGCCGAAGGCCCCCACCCTCGCCCTATGAACCGACCGAATGGTGTCCGGCGGGAAGATATCTGAGGTTGCCACGTCGTACGGGCTTCTTTGGGCGGGAATAGTTGTCGCTATGGCGGGAAACGATGGCTACTTTAATTCCCATCGGCTCCCATTTGCTCCGCCCCAGAGAGAGAGAGAGAGAGAGAGAGATGGTGGGACTGGCGTACGATTTCCTCGCGAACCCGCTTGGGGCCGTGCGCCTGGCGTTCGAGAAGACGGTGGCGTCGTCTCCGCCCGACGCCGATCTGGCGGCGGCCTTCAGAGGCAAGGACTGGGGCGCCGTTGACCTCTTCCGCGACTTCCTCTTCGAGCAGGGCGGCCTTTCCCAGGTAAGTCTGTGGAAGAGGGCTTGTTGAAACCTAATTCCAGGTTTTGCTGCGACTCTTTAGTCCGATGCCTTTGAACCCCATGACAAGAGGAAGCAAAACCCTAAATTCTCGGCGTTTCAATCATTGGCGGCGTCCCCCTTCACCAGATTCGGTTTTTAGGCGCTTTTTCTGAAATCGTTCTTCCTCTTTCTTCTTTTGAAGTCCAGCGCGTTTTATTGTCCAAACCTGGAAAGCCCTTGATTCTTGTTCTTCAGCAACTTACGTAAACCCTAGATTTCTTTCTGTAGGCAGTGAAAATTCTAATTTTTCGAGCTCAGTGATGCAAATACGAGTTTTCTTATACGACAAGCAATTCTTTGACCCTAAATCATCAGGTTCCCATTCTCGATGCATCGACGATACGATGGGTCCAACCCAACACTCTTGTTCGCTTCAGGGGAATGTTGCAAGATATGCTCGGCAATGAATTGTATGTCGGTGCTTACAAGGTACTAGCTTCGCATCGCTTTTCCTTCTTGCATCTGTTTTTTTAATGCTCTTAGCTGTTGTGTTGATCTAAGTCAATTCTTGATTTCTGATAAAAGGATGGATCCACTTGGCGGACAAATAAGTTCACTGACGTGGCTCCTTCTCCTATGCCACCTGCATTTGAAACACAGCTCTGGGAAAGACACCTTTTTCACTGTGTTCCGGTGAGTTTCCGTGATCATTTGTATTAATTTCATGAGATTGGTTTCTATCGACCCGCCATCATGTATGTGTAGTGAGAAATAATACTTGCCGAATAATCTGGTATTGTTCTTTTTTGGGTATTGTGCTTCTATCTTTAGAGTGGAACTGATCATCTGTGTGATACAGAACTCGTCCTAGTGCTTGTAGCGTGTTTTTGAGAAGAAAGGTGGGAAGATAATTAACTTGATGGGAAACATGTGATGGGAAAAGAGGAAATTGAAAGGGAAATTGCTGTGAAATTCCATGCAGTACAATGCATCTCGTACTGATCTTGCAAATTTCCCATCAGTTACAAGTTTTTGCATCTGGTTTCCAGGTTCCAGGACAGAATTCATGGACAATGGAGCCTTCCCCCTCTCCAGGTGAAAGAAACATGTCAAGCTCTGCATCCCAACATGGAGTAAAACGTGGAAGGAACACAGAAGATGATATGGACTTAAATGTGATTCTTTATGTCTTTGTGCCATATCCCCCTTAATATATTAATTAGTATCCACCCTATATTGATCTCATGAAGCATTATTCTTTACAGGTATCATATAATGGGGATGAGGGTTCTTCAAACATGAAGAAGCAGGTTAACTTTAAGATTATTTCAGAAATATGGTCAGGAAATTTTGAACAAATGAAATGACATTTATTTTCCTTGGCCAATGATAGCTTAATAAGTACATTTGTTGATGCTTAGTGGTTTGACTTGACATGCACATTTTTGTTGAGAACTGCGTCAAGGAGGTTTTGTGTTGAAACATAAACCACTACTATGATATGTTAACTTTTTTTTAATTGACATATTTTATGTTCGGTTGTCCATAGTACCACTTAAGGATTAAAAACTAGGTCAAATACTAGTTTCAACAATTGGTCTAATTAGTGTGATGCTGGTATATTAGGTGTTGTATTAACCCGTACCACTTAGTATGACCCTAAGATAGCAAAAAAAAAAAAAAAAAGACATTGATCTATATGGTTCATGGCTGGTCCTTATTCAAACTGGTGAATATTAATAGGTACATATTGGTTTGACCTGCATTTGATTACTTCACTCCACTCCATTTGACTATAAATAACTGCCTCTTGAACTGATTCAAAAAGGCTATTGCATCAGAAAATATACTCATGTCTTTCCATGGAAAATTTAATGTCATTATAATAAATCAAATGGACATGCTCCAACAATCAGGTCTTCTAACCTAGCTTTGTATCATGCTTGGAAAATGTATGAGGCAGTCAGATTCTCCAAGATTCAGTATATCTAGGTTGAAGGATCAGGGTGCATCGTCAGCATTTATTTTGGCTAAATAGGAGCTATACACCTTGAGTATCTGTTATGCTATCCTACAATCTTAGGCAACCTTGGCTTTCAAGCATATGAGATCCTTTCTTGTAATTACGTTGTCACATTTTGGTTGCTTATTTTGAAATTCTTGCATAACTAGGAATGTGGGTTGTTGATGTGAATGGTTATGCAGTTGAATTCGAATATTACGACATTTATAGAAGTTCATTAACATTTTTAATTTTTGATATGAAAATCATAGTTTCCTTTTCTATTATTAACTGATGGATCTGTTTTTTTTTCTGAGTTTGGCATGAACCACATCAAATCATTGCTACTTTAAAATGGATAACTTTCTTCTCTTCTGCAGAAGGAAGATGAGTCTACATGTCAGTCCTCTGGTTCATCAGAGGACTTGGTGAAACATGGTGGTGACTTATTGCTCAAAAATGGTGATTCAAGTTGTCTTTCATGCTTAGTGAAGGTAAATCTTCTGTAGTTTTCTTGTTTAATTTTTTTAGCTAATGCCTTCAGGATATACTGCATGTTACTTGACAGTCTCAGTGGCAATTGAATATTTACAGATCTATGACATGCCAGAAAGTCATTTAAAGTTGAATGATGTCTTTGAGTTTATTGGTATTTACACATTTGATCCGGAGCTTGCTGGTCATAAGGATAATTCTGATGATCTAATGTATGACCTATTTGAGGACCCAATGGCTCATTTACCTCCCAGTAAGGTTAGTCAACTTATTATGTTTACTTTGTACATTGCTTATCTAACTAGTTGATATGAGTTGTCTTCATTTGGTTTGGCTAGCGATAGAGTATCTGAAGTTATAGATAACTGACTGTAATTTGTGGGAGAAGAAATGCTTTTGTTTCCCATCCTAACTGGAACATCCTTCTGATTTCATTTTCTATCCAACATCTAGTGCAATGGCAAGGCTGTAATGTCCTTTGGTTTAATTGGAATTAATTGATATGAGCTGTATTGGGATTATTAAAATATATGATCCATATGTTTGCAGCTGTAATTTGTTCTAACCACATGGCTGATTTTGCTGATGTTGTACTGTTGCTTAGATTGTTTAATTAGATGAGCTTTTGATCTGGACTAGAGTCAAAAGTAGAATCTGTCAATATATTATGTACTTATTTGCATAGTTGGCCACTCTTATCAGAAAATCCTTCCAAGTAATCAGGAAATCTTTTATTTGTCCATTATTATTATGCAATGGTTTGGCCAAACTACGGGAAATCTTTACCAAGTTGTCATGTCCATTTAAGTTCCACTATTTGTCAAATCTGGATCCCCCTGTTGCATTTCAGTAATCAGCGTGATAAGCAAGATTTCATTTAAGTGACCGTTAGCTATTTCTTCTTTAAGGCTGATGTAGATGTTCCTCTTCTTTTTCCCCTCAACAAATTGACCTGTTAAGCTCTACTCCATTCAGGTACCACGTCTTCATTGTTTAATATGTCGGAAGTTGGTTATTCAAGATTTTCTTCCCAATTCACCCGTCATTGAGGTAAAATTCCTACTATTACATTGCTTACATGGATATAATCTTGCAGCAAAAAAAAGTATCCACTGTCTTATATTTTATTAACATTTTTTTTTAAACTTTCAAGACTGATAATGTTGACATGGATTTTTTTGTGTGCAGCCTTTACCTAATATGATCAGAAAAATTCGAGAATCTTTACTTTTGCATCTTAGTGCTGTTCTTGGCAATGATGAAGTGGCAGCACAATATCTATTATTGCATCTTCTTTCGAGGGTATATTCTCCATGCGCCCTTTCTTTTTCCTAATGATACTTAAGTTCTATTTACCAAAAATTTTGTAAACTTACACCTTAGTAATTCAATATTGGGTTGGTCTTTTGACATGGGGCTTATTTGATAACCTTCTGAGCAGATCCGAGCTCAGGTTGATGTGATTACAGTGGGCAAGTTGTCACTAAATCTCACTGGTTTTACCAGAGAAAGTGCATCAATATTTGGCTGCCAGCTCACTAATGCAGTTGAGGAACTCTTGCCTTTCACACGTGCTATTCCTCTCACAATAGAGTACCTGAACAATGCGACACTTCAACCTAGAAAAGACAACAAGACAGGAAGGTAGGAGATTCCTGATGAGACCTTCATGATATTGCTTGAGAATGTACAGAAGCCAGCAGAATCTCATTTTTTGTCTTAATATTAGCACATTGTGAGAGTGACAATAGTGCAATTGTTGTGCTTACTTGTAGTTCCTGATCAGCACAAAACCCTACTTGTAGCTGATAACTGATGTTTCTCCCTAGTCTAGCTTCTGTAATGCTTTTCAGACTGAGGTCATTTTTGTCTAAATCCTTATTGATAATCATCACATTGTTGTATGTCTCAGACTGGTGGCTGGAGTGCTGCAGCTGGCACAAGGTACTCACCTGACAATAGATGAGACTCGAATGCAGAATGGAACCCTCAACTCGAATGGTGTTGAGAATGCTAGGTTACTTAAGCATTTGTTGGAGTGGCAAAAGGTGAGTTCTGACTTATTAAGATAGCCGACTTCAATAATAAGCCCACGGAATCTTGGTGCTCATCCCTTTACTGTTCTTTGAAGTAGAACTTAGTGTTCAGCTGAACTTCCAAAATTACCAAATTTTGTTGCTTAATTGCATTTTAACTGAAAATTGATCCATTTTGTTTGCAAGATGAGACTTGTAAGTTGATGACGATGCAGGTTGAATACGACTTTGAATACTACAACTTGGAGATGGCTGCTGATGTCCAATTACTTATCATCTCAGAGGGTAAATCTAATATCCTTCCCGCAGATTTGGTGTTACCTTTTTGTCCAAAATCTGTTGATTCAGTAAATGCAACTGGTGAGAAACTTCAAGCTTGGAGATGGTACTTGGCCACCATGAGGTCTCTCCAGCACTCCAGTGAACCTGAAACGAGTCAAGTATGGTTATCCAACCCCGGATTTTATTCTATCAAAGTTACTTTTCATTCTAGAAGATGACAATGAAACGACACTCAGTGTTTTTAATTGCATTTCAACAAAAAAAATTGTAGATACTACAAGATGAAATGGTTGCAGCCATGCAGGAAGATCGAAGCTTGGGCTGCTCTGGCCTGACCAGGTTTGTATTAATTGTTGCTCTATCGACCAAACTCTATGATCTCCATTCATCTCAATTCTTCGGTGTCGTTTGCAGATGGTTAACAATGGCTGAACTGATGTCTGCAAGCTTCGGTGAGAAGTGTCTCACCTTGGAGCACTGGCAGATGATAAAGGAACTGGAAAGGCTTAGGAAGGAGAGGCTCTAGTGACATGGGGGTAACCTGGTCAGTGCATTAAACCTCTTGCATACAACGCAATGGTTTTCAACTGTACCATTTTTTCTGTATTCAAGCGTAACATTTTGGGAGTCTTGCAAATCCTAGACGTCTTGATCCAAAAACATTAATGGAGCAGAATTCATTTTGCTGTTCATTAGCTTGAGGAAAGCACTACAAGTGTTTACATGCGTATGATATTACGTAGCTGACTGCCGCGTAAACCTCACAAGCCGAGGTTGGCGGGCCTCAGCTTCTCCTTCCACAATCTTCCGGCGGCTCCAATGCCCTTCTCCACCTCGACCACCGCCACGCCGTTGGTCAACTGGTAAATCTCCACCCTCAGAATGAACTCCCCGTTTTGCCCCTCGACCACCGCGCTCAGTCCCTTCTCGCTCTCCCTCTTCACCACCAAGCCCTCCCCCTTTCTGCTTGACTCGGTCCATGATCTCGTCTGTCGGCTCGGCCGATGCGAATCGCTCTCGGTCCGACGACGTATCCACGAAGAAGCTCGAGAGATCGACCCCCGAGGAGGAGATGATGTCGAAGGCGTTCATCTCCTTGCCACGTCGGCTATGGTGATGCCTAACCACGGAGCCATCATCGCGAGGCCACGTTGTGGCCGCCCATTGGTCCGCGTCGAGGCCTCTAGCGAACCAGGGGTCTTAAGCGAATGCCATCGATAGAGATGCGGGTGGCGGGATTGGGGTCGAGAAGGCGAACGATGAGGCGCCGGAGAGCGAGCGAGGTCCACCTGGGACGGTGGTGGTGGCCGCGGTAGATTTTGCAGTAGAGGGACGAGAGATTGGGGTCGTTAAAGGGGAGGTAACCGGCGTTGAGCACGAAGAGGATCACCTCGTGTTGTGGGAAACACGGTTGGGTTCATGTCCGAATGATCGGGGATCTTGCTGAGCGACCCTTGAGACTGCTGAGGTGGCCGATTGCGATGGTCCGATCGTGACGGGACAATCGTTTCCTTCGGAAGGGAACTCCTTGCTTGGGCACGCAGTGGGAGGCACTTCGTTTTTGTCCCTGCACACAGGTTGAGTCAGGAAGCTCAACCCGACCACTCCGACGATCAAATTAGTTGATAGTCACAGATGGTTTTTGTCTTTGTTCTCCCCCTGCTCCTTCCTGAGCGCGAGGGTATTTATAGGAAAGGTTATCGTTGCCTGATGTGCCCGATTGCAGGGAGTAGGATCATACTCCTGGTAACGTCTGACACCGGTGTTGGCGTGGCGTGAAGGATCGGGCTCGCGCAAGATGTTAATGTGCCTCGATTGACGTTTCGATCAGGTTTGGCCAGGCGCTGTCAGGTCAATTGAGGCGCGAGGCATCATCCGGGCGTAGCTAACGTTAACCCGCATCCCATCACCATTATTACCCTCATCACCGAGCTTGCGTAGGACGTGGCGTGCCTTGGTTATCATCCTGGTATGCTTCGATCAGGCGCATCAAGTCAAACCGAGACGTGGATCATTATCTTGGAGGAGCCGGTGTCAATGCACGACCCATCGCCATTATTGCCCTCATCACCATGTGTCCGCCTTCGCCCCATCGTACCTTCCCGTCTTCTTCCTCGATAGGATTTCCGGCGCCACGTACGCTGGCGTACCGCATTGGGTGTGGAGGGGGTGGTTACCGTCGTTGCCCTCGGAAGAGGTGCGGCCAAGGGCGGCGAGCCCGAAGTCGGAGACCTTGAGGTCACCGGCGTCGTCGAGGAGTAGGTTCTCCGGCTTAAGGTCCCGGTGGAAGACGCCTAGGGAATGGCAGTAGGTGACGGCGGAGATGAGCTGGCGGAAGATTCGGCGGCAGAGGTCCTCCGGAAGGCGGCCGCGGTCCTCGACACGGGAAAAGAGCTCGCCGCCCTTGGCGAGCTCGAGGACGAGGTACACTTTGGAGCGGGAGGCGAGCAGCTCGTGGACGCGGACGATGTAGGGGTGCCGGAGCCGGCGGAGGGCTAAGATCTCGCGGATGAATGAGCCGCCGTCTGCGTGGTGGCGAGGGTTGGCAAAGACCTTGATGGCGACGCCGTGGCCAGAGGAGACGTGGCGGGCGTGGTAGACCTTTGCGGAGGCGCCGCGGCCGAAGAGGCGGCCTAGCTCGTACTTGCCGAATATGACCTTGGCAGGCGGCGCACTGCCACTGAAGTCCGTCATGTTTGATAAGGAGGGATGCTGAGATATCAGGAGAATATGCAAGCAGATGAAGGCGTCGTTTTCCGACGTGAAAGCAAACTACATTCTATGCATTCTTCTGCGTCACTAACATCTCACTCGCAAAGGAACATGAGAGGAACACGGACGCCTCGCTTAGCTTTGACCTCCTTCCTCACCGTCATCGATTCGCGCACCGAGTACCTAACATCTTTTCCTGGTTGCTTCCTCCTCAGCTCTCCGTGGAATTTACGAGAGGCGATCGATGCGGCCATCAAACAGTTGCCGTCGTCTCTACCGGACCGAAGGAGATCACGGCCAAAAGGTCCAGAAAAAGCCAGGCGTACGTCATACCGAAACAGGGGAGGGCAGTTCAGGATGGGTCCTCGGGAAGAAGAAAGCGACCCATCGCCCCGAGAAAGACATTTTTAACTGGACAGCCTGCGGAGGGGGGACAGAGAGATACGGAGAAGACGACGTGAAAACAGAGTGAGCTCCTCCGAAAGTAGCTGTGGAGGTTCCCCGCTCCTTCCTCGCCGCTGCGTCGACGGTGGTGGGAGGTTCTCAGTGTTGATTCAATTTTGCTAGGAGTCGTAGTAGAGGGAAACTCTAAACTGACATCTAACTCCGAATCCTAAATCAAGATTTGGTTCACACTGGTAGTCAAACACCCTCATCTTTATATGTCTTATATATAGCACTGTTCTCCTACGTTAAACCCTGGCGCTCGAGATGCTTCAGATGAGTATGGCGTGGCCACGGCCGGCGAGGGTCATCTTCGGCAAGTGCGAGATGGGCAGCCTTCTCGGTGAAGGCGCCTCCGCCATGGTCTTCCGCGCCCGCCACATCACCTCCGGCCACACCGTGGCCATCAAGGTGTTCCGGAAGCCCTGGCGCCGCCCCGGCTCCTCCGCCCCCGTCGATTTCTTCATCCGCGAGATCTTTGCTCTTCGACGCCTCCGCCACCGCCACATCATCTGCCTCCACGAGGTCCTCGCCTCCCGGTCCAAGGTGTACCTCGTCCTCTAGTTCGCGCGGGGCGGGGATCTCTCCTCCCGCTTGAACTCCCGCGGCCACTTTTCGGAGGAGCTCTGCCACCGGATCTTTCGTCAGCTCCTTTCGGCCGTCGCCTACTGCCACTCTCGCGGCGTCTTTCACCGGGACCTCAAGCCCGATAACCTCCTTCTCGACGACACCGGCAACCTCATGGTCTCCGACTTCGGGTTGGCCGCTCTTCTTCAGAAGGCGGTAACGGTGACCACCTCCTCAGCAGCCAACGCGGGACGCGAGGATTCAAGGCGCCGGAGATCCTATCAAGGCAGGATTACGACGGGGCGAAGGTGGACATTTGGTCGTGCGGGGTGATCCTCTACCAGCTCAACGCCGGCTACCTCCCCTTCAAGGACCACGACAACCCCATGTCGCTCTACCGCGAGATCCACCACCAAGGCCACCGCAGCTTCCCCCTCCGGACGCCACCCGCTCTCCGCCGCCTCATCGCCCGACTCCTCGACCGCAACCCCGCCACCCGCATCTCCATTGATGGCATCCTCCGCGACTCCTGGTTCGCCAAGGACTTTGACGCCGACCAGTGGGCGGCCATGATGCGGCCCCGCCGCAACAACCCCGGCGCCGGGCAGCACGACCGCCGGCTTGGCGGTGAGCTCACCGCCTTCGACATGATCGTCTCCTCCCCGGGGCTCGACCTCTCGGGCCTCTTCCTGGATACGGCGTCGCGAGAGCGATTCGCATCGGTCGAGCCGGTGGACAAGATCATAGACCGGGTCGAGCAGGTGGGGAAGGCAGACGACTTGTCAGTGGTGAGGGACGAGTGGGAGAGGCGGTCGGGCGCGGTGGTCGAGGGGCAAAACGGAGATTTCATGCTGAAGGTGGAGGTTTACCGGTTAACCGGCGACACCTCGGTGGTGGAGGTGGAGATGGAGGCGTGCAGCGGAGCGGTCGGAAGATTCTGGAACGAGAAGCTGAGGCCGGCGTTGGTGGACCGGGTCGGAGACCGCTGACCCGCGGTTTAAACCGGTTTGTTCTTAATTCAACAAAAAGAAAAGTACAATTAAATTATCTCTGTTAGTAATCCTGGTTCAATCGCTTCAAGATTCGTGAGATCTTTGAACATCTTATCCGTTGATGCTTTCTTCTGCAAGAACCCTGCAATGAATCACACAGGTCATCCATGAAGTGGATTGAGATCACAATATAGATCTTTCTGTGATCTAAATTGGATTCTGACTGCAAATGTCAGGTTGGGCTATTTATTGTCCATTTAGTCAAGTTTCAGATCCTTCCATAAACTAATGAACATTTCATGCCGATTCCATCGTCCTCCCACCAATCTTGATTTAGGCTTTTGAACCTAATCCTCCCAGGGAAGAAGTCATCATCATCTGATGTACAAATTACTAACTGCTGCGTTATTTCTTGTTCAGTCCCATTTCTTACTTGACTTGGGGTGAGAACTCACATTGCCGAGTCTCAAAATCATCCATCAAAGTTGGTGTGTTCTTGAAGAAGCAGAATACGAAGATATTTCAGGTTATTTTTTGCAGTGCAAGACAAACAAGTATAGTGATTGCATACTGAATGCAGCACAAGAATGTGTGACAGCAATCCTGTCTTCAACCACTACTCATCCCATCCTTTTCAGCTCACTATATTTTTGTTCCTCCAACGACTCCTTTTGGTATCATGGAGAGCCCAATGAGCTACTGGAAGGCAGATAGAAGGCCACATCTTGCAGTGACAGGTGCATTCACAACTACTGCTTCCTATCTCTCACATTCCTTCCATGAACTGCACCCAATTTGATTTGGAGGTCAATTGCCACTCCAACTAATACCAAGAAACAGATCCATGGCGAGTCAATTGATATATCCGTAGCTGAACTCCTCCCCCTTGTCATCATCACACTGTGAGCTCATGTTGAAATGTTCATCCTTTGGCAACGTAGAACTGCTCCTTTATAAGGTCAGAAACCTTTGGCCAACAGCCCACACACATTGGCTATGCTCTTCAACATGATCTTTCTTTAATGTTCATTCTGTCCTACATATCAGAATTCCCAGTAAGCCCAGCATTCATCTCTCTCTCTCTCTCTCTCTCTCTCTCTCTCTCTGATAGTTGAGGATGATCTCGAGTAGCTCAGAGCTTCCAAAACCATGCCTCCAGATCAAGCAAGATGGCAAGGTCTACTCCAGGCTGCTGTCCACGGAGAGCTCCATGGCCAATTCTTCCTTTAGAGTCTACTACGGGGTGGCTTCAGGAGCTGTGCCATTCTTGTGGGAGTCTCAGCCTGGAACGCCCAAGCACACCATATCGGTGGCCGACCTGCCTCCTCTCACTCCTCCACCCTCCTACTACTACTGCAACATCACCGGGAGCAAGAACTCCAGGAGATCCGCCAGGTCCGGTCTCCTCCAGACCATACTCCCCAGGCTGGGCTTGGGGAAGCCCCACAGGTCGCCGTCCTCCCCGTCCATGTCGTTCTCGTCATCTTCCTCGTTGTCCCTGGCCAATTCTGTCAGCTCCGGTCATCGCAGAAGACCCTTGAGCCCAAGGTCGTCCTTCTCATGGACGGGCGACGGCGATGAGGAGTCCACTGACGGGTCCCGAGCACCAACACTCTGCTTCGGGGCGAGGCACAGGGCGGCCTCTCCGCGGTGCTCATGAAGAAGTTGATGTCGCCGGTCACCGGTATGTGCGCGCGGTGAACTCTGTGGTGTGAAGTGTTCATCTTGCCTTGGAATAATAATCTTGGCTTGAAAGTTTGTATGATCAGTGAGCACAGCTCATGCTCTTTCTTTAGATCTTAGATCATCTTTACTCTCTACCACTGTCATCTTCACTTAGGTTTCATGTAATCGTGACAGTATAAATTGGAGTCTTGCTGTTTCAAATGTGATGGTAATAGCTTTGTTCACCATCCAGCTTTGGAAGAACATGTGGGTTGGTTGTATCCTAGTGTTGTTGGCGAGGAGCATACTACTACTTGAATCAATGTCAAATCATATCACTCCATGGTTCTGTCATTGGTAGAATCATTAAAATCATATATATCAACATCAAGAATGATGAAGATAGAAACAGCTTCCTGCTCTGCTCTTCTTCTTCTTCTTCTTCTTCTTCTTCTTCTTCTTCTTCTTTTATATTTTCTACTCTGTTCTGAGACTTGCTTGGTTACATTTGATGCAAGTTTATTGGTGTTTGTCCCTCTCCCTGTGGAAGAGATCCATCTTCTCATGCATTTTTTGTTGGTCTGATGAAGAATTCTAATCTGCAAAGAACACATTTCAAGTTACATCCAGCTAAAAACTCATCCTTTTAGCAGCACATTAAGATCTCAAATGTCAAGCTAAAGAACCATGCTTTCCTCAAGAAACAAACCACAAAGAGTGCCGCAATTGAAGCAGAAGCTTCAGCTTGTCACTTCTCCAACCTCCTTGGATTTGTCACACACACACCATCTGCTTGGCAGTCTTTAAATTCAACCAGCTTGAGGAAGATGCTCCATTGATGTGTCCAGAGAGTAAAGGGTTCTCTGCAAGAATGGCCATCCGGCCATTTTCTTTCCCACCATCTCTTGGAGACTTGTGAGTCAATGCAACCAGACAAGCCTAAGTAATCTGCAGGAGAGAAGGAATTGTAAGACAGCTTAACTTTTCACTCTGGGAAAGACGGAAGGAATTTAGACTTGTATTCCACCGAAGACAAACATGTCGTGCATTGTTCATTCTCATAAACAATGAACAGTCGAACAAGGATAACACCTTCAAGAAATGTCTCCCTCAGGACATGTACAGGACAACAAAGGATCAAAGTTTAGGGTAGCTTCTGTATCATTTCTTCTTTGAAATGGATGTGTTGTGTTCTTGAACTAGCCATTAATTTGACCCAGCAAGCAAGAGAAAGGGGAAATGTTTCGTATCCATGTTGCGTGTATCCTCTACCAGTTCACATCGAGATGTCTCAACTCATTCTGATCCTATTGGTAATCCTCATTTTATAGTCACAAATGTTTCGTCGCACCTAACACCATTAGATTTCATGATTTGAAGCATTTGGTTCAACAATCTTAGGAAAACTTCATTCCAAGTGATTGGTTTCTTGAAGCTTTCAAATCCTCGATACAAAGAAGAGATTGCAGCTAACGAGATTCTTCCCAGAGGAACGATATCTCGAGGCCAATGATTTGGTCCACAGAGACATGAACACCACCTTACAGGAACTCCCCCCACCCTCAGTTGGCATGGCTGGGACAGGGGAGATGTTCCATCTTGCAGTCAACGAAAGAAAGAAGAATCGGCCAAGTCCTGTCTTCCCCACAGTTGGACTTCTGTGGAGGCGTCTACGAAATCTATGAATGCATCTTCTTTGTCAGTATTATTTGTGCTCACCCTTTTTGTCGGCTGGATTCATATCTTCGTGTCGATGCCGCCGTCTAATGTTCATACTTTGTGCATTCTCCTTTCATCTTCCTACATCGATGGTTAATGATCCGAAGTCTTACACATGGATCTTACTCGATCAAATCCTGTCAAAATAGACCGAACGTCACTGTCAAGTCTTAATATAAATATTTTTTTAACTAAATATAATATTTTTAATTTATCCTAATTAATTAAAATATTATAAATATGAATACGAGCGTTTGAGTCTCATAAATAATCTCTTTAAATATTTAAAGATAAAATTATGCGCATCGACGCTCCTTCAATCTCTTATTATGGAGTCTCGTATATTGAATATGTCTCTTTATAAATACTTTCGAGTATATAACGTGTGAAGTCTCTTATTTATATATTTAATATTATTTTTTAAGTTAGGAGCATTTTGATCGAGCATATCCTTCGTGTAAATCTTGGAGTAATTTTTTATATTGGATTAATCGTGTTGAAAAATCAATTTTTTTATTTTTTCTCATTATTTAATAGAAAATTAGAAATATGTTTTTTTTATAGTTATCGAAATTATAAAGCCCGTCGCGGAGGTCGGGGCCGGTCGCCCATCCTTTGCACGTTGTTCGAACCGAGTTGAAGAAAGAAATGGCGGCGGCGGCGGCGGCGGCGGCCGCGGCCGCTTCTTCCCTTCGAGTCCCCATCTACCCCTGGCTCATTCCAAACCATAGCTCCCGCATCCTCCTCTCCCGATGCCCTACAATCTCCCTCCAAAACCCCCCCTCTAACCCTAGATTCTCCACGGTCCTCTGCTCCTCGGCTCCTGATGAAGGCGGCGGCGGCGGCGAAGGGAAGCGGTGGGATTCCTTTCGCAAGAAGAAGGTGGTCATGCGCGTCGGGTATGTCGGCACCGATTACAGAGGTACCTACCCATGATTTGCCTTCGTTCTTTTGTCTTTCCCCCTTTCTTTTTCTTCTTTTCTTGCGTTTTATTCGAGTAAATTATAGGCTTGATTGTTCGGGCATGCCTTTGTAGGTCTTCAGAAGCAGCGAGATGCTCATGCTTTATCGAGTAAGACCATGAAGACCGATTCTTTTCTCCCATGTGTATTCATTGGCGTTGCTTATATAATTCCAATTTGATGTTCTCGTCCAATGCGAGGAAATATGTGAACCGAATTGTAGATCCTTAAGGATTTATGAAGAATGAATAACTTGAATTTGTGGGTGATGATTACGTTAAATATCAGAAGTTAGGTCTAACATCGTCCTATAGTGTTGGTGCATTGATGTAATACAAGTGCATTTCATTTCCCTGAGAAAGGTTAGAACTGTTACAAAGTTCCAGTGTTCCCTACTGAGATTTGTTATCTTGCATTATGGGTTAAACTTGTGTCACGTAAGTAAAACCAAAGGATGATCACCCTTGACTTTGTGGTGTATCCATTATTGTAGTATGTATTGACTTCTTAACCTGAGGATTCAAATGGTGCATATCATCCAAGAATGCTAGGTGACTTTCTGTTTATCTGTTTCCCTCCTTTTTCTAATTGAAAACTCAATGTAAAATTGTTCAAGAACATTGTCTTTTACATGTATAGGACGTGAGATGCATTCACAAACCATGAAGTTTTAAATAATTTTCACTAATTGATCCTTTTTTTCTACCTTTTTGCATGGTTATTTCACATGGTAAAAATAAAAATGCATTTATAGTTATTTTCCTGGCGAGAATCCATTGCGACTTCCATGGTATCAATAAATTATAGGACCGAAAATTGGCTAACTAAGATCGCTTCTAGACTTCTACTTTAACTGTTAGGTCAGAGTATTGATCTCATAATGTTTTTAGCTATTCTCTTTTTAATTCGACAAATTAATATTACTGGATTTATAGTCTTCTCGTTGATGTATTTCCATCATTATTATTATGTTCAAGGAACTAGAGATTTTGGTCTGTTTCTATTTATTGATGCAACTTCAGTTTCATTGAGTAAGACTTCTCGTATCCCATGTATTTGTACAAGAGTCAGCATGCATAACTAAATAAGGTTTGCTGCTGTTACATCTAGTTGATCCCCATGCCCTTTTCCCTCCTTTTTTCTCGCTCTTAAACTTCTTCCTACCCTTGTCCTGAGAAATTTTCGATTTAGGAAACCAGAAAAATCAATTCAATATGTGAAAATTTATTCTCTCCAAATTTATTGATTATCGGAAACATTGTCATAATCTATTATTATTTCTTTTGTGCCCCTATAGATGCTCATTTTCATGAGACTATTTTATTATTACCCTACTGCACCTACGTGGACAGTTTTCTCAGTTACTGTATAGGCTTAGTTGGACAATAAGAAAGTAATCCATTATTTTTTATTACCTACTCCGAAGTTTGTGTCTTATGGCAGTTCCTATTGTTTCTGTAAGCCTAGTTACTTAGTTTACTGAAGTGATAATAACTTGGAATGAGTTGAATTTGCAAATGTTTCCAATCTTACCATGTAGCAATTGAAGCTGAGCTGGAGTCTGCCATTTATAAGGCAGGGGGAATTCTTGACAGTAATTTTGGACACTTGCACAAAGTTGGGTGGGCCAGGAGTAGCAGAACTGACAAAGGAGTAAGGCTCATCACATGGCATCTTAAAATGATAGCTAAGTTAAAGAAAACTGAGATATTACTTTGTATGGGATATTTCTCTGAGATTTCTTTTGTCTCTTTTTTTAGTTCTTTTTATCAGCTTAACTGCATTTCCAGCCACTGTCAAAGTTTTTTTATTTCTTTACGAGTATGGATGCATGAAACAGATTTCATTGAAAGTCATTCCAGTTATTTTGAGTCTTTCTCTGCCCCTATTAGCTTTTCCATATGCAGTTGCACCTTAGCAGTATGATTTCCAACATGGGTTGATACTTAGGACTGTATAGCTCTATGTGAAACATTGTCTTTGTCTCTTTGAGGAAAGACTTGGTATATATGCTGAAAGTCCAAGCTAATTGTTATTAATAAGTTTTTTTTTTCAAAGTTCACGAGTTCATACTTGAACATTATGACACTTGTCTTAAGACATGTGAACATTTGCATGACTTCTTCATTGGTTTATGCTGGATGACCTTGTTACAGTGACTAGAAGGCTATTTGTATGTTTTGTTATCACAAAAATTTTAAAACACATTTCTTTTTTACGGAGTAAAAGTGTTCACAACCCAATTTGAACAGCATATTTGAAGTTTTGGCCATCATGTTTGAGCTATGATTGCACTTATGAACCTATGTAAATGTAGAATGGATGCACCACTTAATCGCAGTCACATATTTGTTGCAAATCACAAGAGTTTCAGTATAATCCTAATGCAGCTCTATTTGAGGGACTGAGATGGTTTCAATCATAGTTCATCTGTGAAATGATAATATATAATATTAGTTTATCCTGTTTATTTTATTTGTTAGGACATGAAGGTATGCCATCAGTTCTCCTTGACTTTCACTAGTGATGGTCACTTCATTAGTTGTTTTACCTTGGTTGGGTGTTTAGGCTGGGTCATGTCAGAATACTCAATTTCTTACCTGGTCTACACTCTGATATATTAGGTTCATTCTTTGGCTACCATGATTTCATTGAAGATGGAAATACCTGAACATGCATGGAAGGAGGATCCTAGTGGCATTGTGCTTGCAAATTATGTTAACTCTAACTTGCCCAGTAATGTCAAGGTTTTCAGTGTTTTACCTTCCCAAAAGTATGTTTGTGCTTGTGAGAAGGTTAGGGTGAAAATTTTTGCTTGGCTTACTTATGAACCTGTTATTCATGGGTGTTGCTCTTTTAGGCATTTTGATGCAAGAAGGGAATGCACTCTCCGTATGTACTCGTATCTCCTTCCTGCTGAAATTATTGGTATAAAAAATGATTGCAGCTCTGCAGAAGTTGCTGAACATCTATCTGAGTTTGGCAATATTCTCAAAGGTTTTGAGGTATGTATTTGTTGCTGGGCAGGCTTCTTTGCGATATTATATGTTTGCTTTGTGTACTTTTGTTATTACACTTCTCTTCTGTTTTTTAAACTCCTCGTTTATATTCTTGATTCCCAGTTCTAAATGTCCCAAGATTCTCAGTCTTTCAGTTTGCCTTGACAAGTAGTGATCATTCTGTTCTGGCTAATAATTATTGACCATAAATCAGCTATTGATATCCTGAGATGTGTCGTGTAAAATGAGAGGTGTTATTTTGTTCAATATTGCCTGGATATATGTACGTATAACCTAATGAATTTATTGGCAAGAACACCTTTGTTATTCTACTGCATAATAATATGATAACATATTGAAGTTGGGGAGCCTCGAGGCTTTCAGTTTTTACATTTAGAATTTAAAATTTCTTTTAGTTTTCTGTCAAATTTCTCAAGATCAGTCAATCTGATTAGAGTCTCTTGCAAAGGAACAGTGGTATGCTAGAATCTTGCCTTGGATAGTGGTTGGAACATTAGGACTGTGCAGTACGCACTTTGAGAAATGGTGTTATGCTTGTTTATGACATAACTATCGTAGCTTTCTTCAGTGAGGCATAGCATGTAAGCACACTGGTATTGAGTGATTCTTATGTGTGTTAGTGCATTACAAACTATTGACACTGTAATGTTTACTATTATCTAGATTGGTATGCTTCAGTCTTGAGCTTGAATAGGTACAATACCTGATTTCTTGTGTGGTTTACCATGCAGGGAGAACATCCTTTTCATAACTACACTGTTCGTTCCAAATATAGGAAACCACCTCCTGGTAAAAGAGACTCGAGAAAACGATCAAGATTGACCGAGGATAAATTGGCCTCGGGAGTTGAGGACAGTGATGATGTTGGAAATTTTCCAGTTGAAGATGTTGCAAAAGATAAACCTGAAGAAAATTTCATTTTGTCATGTAACACTGATTCTGATGAAGAAGTATATGAATCATCCGAACAAGAATCAAATCAAATTAAGAATTTTGGAGTTCCTTCCCCAGTTCGTGCAAGATGGCTTCATGAGCCTGATGAAATGGATAGACTAAACGCATCCCACTTCAGAAAAATCTTTGGCTTCTCTTGCGGAAATCTGGAGACATCATTGGGAATTAACTATGTTGAGTTGTCAATATGTGGTGAATCCTTCATGCTGCATCAGGTAAGGATATGCTAATAACTGCTGCACATCACCAAGTGATGTTCTACATTAATTCCTACTAGACTCTGGGTAGCCAATGGATGTTGACCCTTGACCATCACCCCACTCAAAAAATACAAAAGCAAAACGGTATTTTGTTGGATGCATGTCGTCAGCTGTTATTTTTTTTTTACTCTTATAAATCAATTGGCAAAATGTTTTCCTGTTATTGCTGAGTAGACTTGATTAGTTGTTGGCAAGGTTATGACTAAATTATTTTTCATTTGCATGGTTCATATATGCTGTCTCACTTGTATTACTGTCATGCTCATCGTAATTTTGGACCTTTTGTCGATGGTCATAACATAGTGGTCAACTTGGGAAGGTTAGTAACTGAATGAATGACAATTCTACTGTTGTTTGTCACACTTATTTATGATAGGTATAGAAGATTTGTTGCTTACCTTCTTTTGCCAGCTTCTACCAGAAAAAGTCTCCTGCATTAACTATAATGTTGCTAAAAGGGAAACCTAGCCTAAGAGTTTTGGTAATTTGGACTAGATATGACTATATATGTTGCTAAACGGGTCTTATATATCAAACTTAAGGAAGTTAGCTACGAATGGAAAATATGCTTCGATTTGCTCATGCATGCTCAATTGAGCAACCATGTAGGATGCCAACATACATCATATAAAAAGGCACAGTTTCCTTCTTCTGTCTCTGTATGGACAAATCTTAGATGTAAAATCACCTTACTATTTTTTTTCATCGACAGATCCGGAAAATGGTTGGAACTGCAGTGGCGGTGAAGCGTGGATTGCTACCTAAAGATATCATAGAAATGTCACTGGCCAAATTTTCTCGAATAGTTCTGCCACTTGCTCCTTCTGAAGTCCTAATCTTAAGGAGTAACCGCTATGCTATCAGAGGCCATCCTGGAAACATAACTCGACCCGAGATGAAAACGATGACTGAATCTCAAGAAATTCAGGGAGCAGTGGATGAATTCTACTCTTCCGTTCTCTTGCCCAAGGTCTCCAAATTCCTAGATCCATCAAAATCGCCATGGCAGGAGTGGGTGGATAACTTGGAAACATACACAAGCATTTCGGATGAAGAACTGGACGAAGTTAGGAAACCATGGAATGTGTGGAAAGAAGGTTTCTCAAAAGCATGGAATGTTGATTAAATGATGAAATATGTATCATTTCCCCCCTGTTTTAGTAACCAAAATTTTGACCCTTTGTACCTGATCCAGTTTTGCATTAATTTGCTGTAACATCATCATGTATACTCATGTCTACTTGAGCTATTCATTGATTACTTGGTTTCAACGCTGTGGTTACGAGAAAAATACATCAATACATGAATCTTGATGAGTCCATTCGGCTTAAATTGCTTCATTAGTATCAAATGTGCTATTCTGTTCATCATAAATTTGCATCGTTATATGAAATATATTCGGACGATAAATGTTTTTTCACTTTCGAGCAAGATATTATTTCTAGTTATATGGAGGATTGAAGCTCTGATGCAGACAATGTTCTCATTCATTGAAGATCTTTAGAGCCCATTCCAAAATGTTACAAGAGAATGATGTCTTCATCAGGCTGCTTCACTGCTTCCATGGAAACTCTCGACGGCATGTAGTACTGCTGCTTTCACCACTTGAGCATCCACGCTTTCACCCTGATTCATACACATCGTATCCAAAACGAAAAGGTAAATGTTTTGTGACGTAAATGTATCTACATGCATCTATTTACTTGCCATTCATGCCATGCACAATTCCATATAAATATATATATGTGGATATGTGTTGCAAAGTTGAGGATTAAGTTGAATCAAATCTCAATCCAGAATGTTGCACTTAGGGATTCAACTCGACGTAGTAGCATGCATCTTACTGCAATGGTATGAAATCCAGCAAATCATTTGGTATTAGCAACTTGAAAGCTACAGATGTTTGAGAGCTTATCTTACTTCTCTTCCAAACAATTCAAGAAGAAAGGCATTGGTGCAAGATGCCTTGGCTTCCACCACACTGAGCCCCAAGCTCTCGATGGCCTCCAGAACAGCCACAAGCAACCCCGGACAACTCTTCTCGGAGAACACATTGATCAGGAATCCCTTCTTTAGTGTCTCAACAGTCACCTGTAGAAGTATTTGTGGAGGTATGTGTGAGGCTGAGGGCAAACTAAACGAGATGACTGCAAACCATGCTTACAGAAGGCAAAGGGTTGTCGTGAACAGTGCTATGTGCAGATTCAATCTCTTGATTCAGTCTTTGGATCTTCTGCTTCAACTCTTTGATGTACTTGGAGGCATCTAATATGATCGAGGATTTCCTCAGCTGCCAAACACAAAGAGAATATTGTCTTCTTCATATCACCGTTGAAGATAACCAGTTTGTCATTGCATGCACACAAATGACCCTAATTCAAGTTTGCTAGGAACTCAATTTGACTCCACGGCAACGCTTCTTGATTTCTATGAGGCTGGAGATGTTGGTCACCTTTTTTGAGGGTACGTTGACATTCTGGATTGCAGTGATAGAAGTAAACAAAGAGAACTCGAGATTGATATATAACAGCTGATAACAGCCGATAAGGAAAAGGTGTATTGGTGGATTAGATAGATTCATGTGTTGCACTATTCTCATTCAAAGACGATAGATAGATAGAGAGAGAGAGAGAGAGTGAGAGAGAGAGATGTATAGATAGATATGCCATCATACATGGGAATGAATACGAGGAAAGATACTTGAAGTTTCGGAGGAATAAGGGATCGGACATGGTACAATAAGAATGTTCCAAGGACTTACTCAATCTAGGCATAAAGAGATCGAAGACTGAGAGAAACACGCAGTAACCATTACATAAGATGAGAAGAGAGAGAGAGAGAGAGAGAGAGAGAGAGAGAATTACTGCATGAGAGTTCGTGAGCGAGCGAAGGACTTGCAGCTTCTCATGCAGAGCGGCTCTGTTGTGCTCCCTCGACACCATCTTTCTCTCTCGCTACACACACAGAGAGGTATGGCGACCGGGGGCTGCTTGAAGAGAGGAGGACGGAGGGAGTTCCACGCACATGAGACTCACTGCCCTCCGTGTTCTAAATATAAGACAAAAAGAGGTAGTGAACTCCCTAAATCGCCCTTCCTCTACAAAACCAATACAGTAGTAGTTGACGCATCCTTACAGTAATAAGATAGATCATGAATTCTATACGGCCAAGCAGCGTGTCCAAATCAATAATCCAATCCCACAGATCTTACAACCCTACAGATCATCCTCTTCCCGGGAAACCAACAACATCAATACCCCATTTGAAGGCTCACAGATGCTGCCATACATGGGTGTATGACACCAACATCGAGTCCCTCCCGTCCCCATTACCCCACAGAACTGTTGCTTACGATAAAATGGCTACTGTGTTCCGCTGCGAGTGAGACAACGGGAGCAAATTATTATTGTCATGACGATGAGCAGCCATCCACAGCAGACCCCTGCGAGCTCGCCATTCTATACGGATACAGGAAGGGCGAGGAATCTGCTCGTGATCGGGGCGCCATGGAAAGCAGCGAAGGCATCGAGGAGGAGCTGTCTGTGAGCGGGCAATGCGTGAGACAGGGTGTGGGGCTGCATGGAGCGGCCGGGTTGAGGGAGGAGAGACAGAGAGAGAGAGAGAGGGGGGGGAATGAGCTGTGGTCGAATGCCTCCAAATCCCCCTCACGGGGAAGATTTCACCGCCACAAGCTTTTGTCCATTTCCGCCTCGTCTCCCCCCACCCAGATCTGTCCATCTCCATCTCCCAAGGAGGCAATCGGTCGAGCAAATGAGACTTGTGATGCCGATTTATCTCTGCTAATATACTCATTCGAGTTGCATCGATGAAGCCTAACTCCAATGTCTGCATTCGATAACACACAAACCTCCAGTCAGATGCATGTCTCATCACAGGTTCATTCATGGAGAGACATCCATTAGTTCATCGAAGGACATCCATAAACCCTAAAAGGGACAGTAAACATGAACACAGTTCGAATATTCTTGTGGTCTCGGGATTTGCATACTGAATCTTCTACTTGCACTGAACTCTATACATACTTTCAACATGATATCGATTTATATATATATATATATATATAATCCCATCTTAATTGCAACTGATGCTTAATCTACTAATATTTATGACAGTGTTAACTGCATGTCAAAAAGCCACACTGAGGGCTTCCTGTCATGCTCTCTCGTGAACACATCCGTAGAGGCTCCTTTACATCTCTGACAACTCGTGACATGGGAAGCACTCCGTCCTCCTTGAAAAGAGTTCGAGGTTGGCTTCGAGCTTTAGCTGTGTCCATGTCTACTAACCCTTCCAATTGCATGCCAGTGTCTCCATTCCCCATGCATGACAGAGCACGTACGACCCCCCCTTCACATGTGTGCATCCTTGTCATCACTATCCAACAACGTAACCATAGGCAGCCAGCAGCGTACACACGCATGTGGCCTCTCTACAGGGTTCCCATCCCTACTGTTAGAGTTTTTCTATCACCCAGTCCTCATCTTCTATGGGGAATGGAAGGAAGCACGACAAGGTTTCGTGTACATGTAGCTGAAGCCGGGCTGCACTTTGCTGTACCAACAAAGAGCAGAAGCCATGTTCATGTGGGGAGAATAGCTAATCACCATGCAAGGCATTGGTTACTTCTCATCTTCTTCCAAGTGGTAAGTCTTGCAGGTTGTGTTTGTACTGCTTCGATTCGTGCCACTCCGATGCCTGCCTGTTTCCTCCCTCCCATCCCCAAAGGAAAAGAAGAGGGAACAGAGTGTGTCGTAGTGGTTCTTCACAAGCCCACCGAGATCAGATCAGCCAGCTGTGAGTGAGCGAGCGAGCGATGACCAACATCGGTCACCTCGTAACCTGATCTGCAATGTCCTGGAGTGCTCAAAACTCTTGGCATAATACAGAGATGGATGTGGGTGATGCGACTGATGTGAGCTCGCGTGTGCAAGAAGCTTGGATGGAGCTGTGATGGTTTCGAAAGTCGATCGCACGTCACGAGATCGAGCGAGGTTCTCGATGTGGTCTACGTTAGTCCTCAAACGAAAAATATGGACGAAATATTTATAATCGATATTTATTTGGCTAAGTTCTTTTCATGCTAACTGTGTCACGTCACATGTCGAGTTTTACTTCGACTAGGGTTGATTAGCTTAGGTTGATGCTCCTGCAAGCAACATTTTGGTGGTTGAGGAATCCACGCATGAAGATGATGCCGTATCGAATTCTCTGCTCCATTTGATCTTCACGTATCCACATACAAAACATGCTTATATGACATGCACGAAATACTTTGTGGTGGTGTCGGCCCTTTTTCTTTTGGCAGCATCAGTCCTGTAAACACCATCTCTACGGGAAAAGAAGAGCTATCAGCATCTGAGAAGAATGTTTCTTTGAGTTGTGTGAATCTTGCCGGACCCATAATCTGGTGCATTGGTGATAGATAGGTCTCCATCCACTTGCACTACCGCAGAGGAAGAAGAAGAGGAGAAGAGATAAAAAGGCTTGTGGTGGTGGCAGCATCACCAGGCACTGCCATGCTTGTCTTCTTGTGCTTTGACACAGTCTCTCGTGACTCTATACCTTCTTCCTTTGATGCTCTTCTGGCTTCCCCATGCCCATCACAAGACAAACTTCTATCCTACTTCCGATGCAAGAAAAGTTACTCTGAAAGTTCACATCCCCAATTGCATCGGAGAGCATCCATGACGAGATTTAGAGTTAGGCGATGATAAGTTTAATTTCATCTTTTTCACATAAATTCAAAATTATCTTTTAATTATTTCGATATCATTCGTGGTCCTGACACTAGTCGAGTAGTCGTCGTGCTAGTATCACGATAATTCGATCAATCAAGACTCGACACATGAAACTCGTTAGAGAATATTTTTTAAAAGATTTCTTATTTAAAAAATATTTCATTCATCATCTCATAAATAATCGTTTCTTTCGTATGGTTTAGTAATCAAAAACTCTCTCTCTCTATATATATATATTTGTAAGACTTTGAACTAACTTGAGTATCTGAATGACCATGTTAGTATACCTTAGAAGGAATCGATCCTTAAAGATCATACATCTCTCGAAGATACATCACCAACAAATTCTAACACTAACAACAATTATATATATATATATATATATATATATATATATATCAACACATAATTAGCAACAAATAAATAAAATAGGATACAACACCAAAAACATTTCATTGAAGGTTTATTTCGTCAATGAAAGAAAGAAGTTGACCCAATAATTTCACAGACCGGCCCAACCGGACCAGCCCAAATGAGTCGGGTTCCCTATGGACCAATCGGGTCAATATATTGCCAGGGACTGATCTGTAAATTTATGAGGACCTGATCGTAAAGTGTTCATCCTTAATTGAATAGGATGATCTATCTACCATTTGATTCTTCATACAACCTGAATTAGTAGAACTATGGTGGCTAATTGTTGAACGACACAATCGTCGATAACATACTTATCGTTGCATATTGCAGGTTTTCGAAAGTTATCATAGTCATTTAATGATGCATAAGATTATCCCATGAACATATTGCTTGATGTTTGTAAGACATCAGTAGAGTATGGGAAGTTGGATATCCATTCATGCTTATATCTTGTTGTCATTTGATGTCATCCACTGGTCTGTCATGAGCAGGAAAAATTTAGTGTAGATTGGTGGTGAGGATAGAAGTACTGCTGAGTAAGCTGCTGTTGGAATTCATCTGTGTGTGTTCTATCGGCATAGTGAAAGCTTCTGTGAAGGCACTGAACTATTCTGGGGTCTCCAAAAATGCCCACTATGTATGTTCTGATCATGCTGATGAATCATCAAATGTAGCTCATTGGGTGAACGAGTCTTTGGTTGAGGTGTCACGACCACCATCGGCACAGCTTGAAGAAGGACACTGAGTGAGTCGAGAGTTCACTACTCCACCCAGCATGCAGTCACCATCTTCCTTGGTAGGACAGCGGTCATGCTGTGTCGAGGAAGAGCATACGGCCAGTGTCATCACAGTCATCAGGATAAGGTTGCCTGCCAAACACTGGTACCAATCAACTAACTAATGGAGTTCTTAATGGCATTGTACTGTCGCCTGAAGTGTGGCCTAAAAAAGAGTTGTATGGAGTATGATTGTGTCGATGATGGGTACCAGAAAGGTTGTATATTGGATGGTGATGCGTGCAGTGAAGTCTGCAGCTCGCAGCTCGCAGCTCGCAGCAGAGAGATGACAAGTGGCCATAAACGACGGTGAGGCATGGCCTGATGCTGCTGAGCTTTTGGCTGCTGGCTTTAGGTAGGAGACATGGTGATTGGCCTTTAGCTAGCAATCGGCAATGTGGTTTGGGATGCAATTGCTTCCTCATTCATCGATCATGTTGCGTCCATATACACTGCATCTGCTCGAGCCTTCGGTGATGCAACACATGAATGGAAGACAAAACGAAAGCATCACTTTGAGTTAACCTAAAGTTATTGAGATAACCTCCTTTTATTATCTTCAAAAACTAAGAATATTATTATTATTTGATACTTTAATTATTTCATTCATCATTATACTTTTATGAATTTTAGGTAAGTGATATAGAGAAAATGATGCATGAGTTCTTAGCATCATTCCTAACCCTAATTCAACATCCTGTCATGTCAACATCTATCTGAAAAAGATGCACTAAATATATTTTGCTCTATCTGAAGAAAAGAAAAGAAAAGAAAAAACTCAATATAAACCATTATTCTTTAAATGTGATCGACACCAACTCACATTATGCATGAAAAGAAAGAAGCACCAACTGGATGAAATGGATGTGATACCAGTGGCATGGAATCTGCACTCATCGGATGAAGACAATGAATGGATCATGCTTGGCTTAGCTCAGCTCGTACCTTCCTTGGCCATCCATTGGTGCAGGCATCAACAATGGGGGACATGATTAATTATGCTGACAAGATTTGAATTTGTGTCGCATGAAATCATATTATAAGAGTGAAGGTGGATTGGATCGTGAGACCTCCAATATAGAGAACATGTAGCTTTTCATGTGGGTGGAGCTGAGGAAGACAAATCATGCAGAAGAATTAAGCTTGTTTTTAGGTATGAGTGTGGCTTACACAAACTTTAATGTCATTGTGGATTATCATATGATGAAGATGAGAAATTAAAACCAGCGTTATCATCTTCTCAAGACAAATAAGGTTTGAGGGACAAAGTAAAAGAGGGATGTGGATGCCACAAGGCTGCCCAATTTGATTTGAGATTTGGTGCATCAAGCAGTTCCATAAAGTTGAGATTGTGGAGTTTAGGTTAGATTTGTTTGGTTGGCTGATATCAACATCAAGACATTTGAACTTTGGACAGTGATTGGATTTTAAAGGGTTTTTTATTTTATTTTTTTCTAATAATTTTTTTATTACATTGAGTGATGTATAATTCGAATGTATAATCAAAGACATCTGAGACATCTCTTCATGTTTCTACCTCTTAGAACTTACAAATGAAATTAGTCGAATTCGATTTAATTACCAATCGATATTTACCGATCCATCCGAGCAAAAAATTAACATTGGATTATATGAAATTTATATTTATAATTTATAATTTTTTTTAATTTATACTGGACAATACGGATTAGCTTTGAGATTGGTTTTACGTAATGATTGTGGCTATAATTAGATTTGAGATTGGTTATACGTAATAAGCATGCAGTGTATACGAGTGGCAAAATCGTATAGTAAACCCAAATATTAGCTTCCAATTCTTCCGCTTTCTATATATGAACGCCTCATCGTGGCCTGCCACGTTCAGTGAAAGAGAGGGACACACCGGAGCTCGTCTTCTTGCCCAAGACAACCTCCAGTGAGAGTGAGAGTGAGAGAGAGAGAGAGGGTTTGAGGTCAGGTCAGGCCATGCAGCGGCTTCTTGTCCGAAGGCTCTCCTCGGTGGCCACTCAGGGGAGGAGAGGATGCAGCTCCTCCCGTTCGACCGCCGCCGAGATCAATGGTGGCGCCGACGCCGTGGTCCCTGAAATTCCTCCGTTCGACTACGCTCCTCCCCGATACGACGGCCCCCGGGCGGCCGAGATCTTGAGGAAGCGGTCCGAGTACCTCAGCCCCTCCATGTTCTACTTCTACAAGAAGCCTGTGGGTGTTCGTCAACCATTGTATACGCTCGTTCTTGGCAGATCAAAATCCACCAATATAGTTTTGACTTTTTCTATGCATGCATGGATTTCCTCTTGGATTTTGTTGCTGCCATTCTTTGCTACGTGCAGCCATTCTTCCTCGATGATTCTTGACACGTGTTGTGTTCTTCCGCAGCTGAACATCGTGGACGGGAAGATGCAGTACCTGTTCGACCAGGACGGGCGGCGCTACCTCGACGCTTTCGCCGGCATCGCCACCGTGTGCTGCGGCCATTGCCACCCCGACGTCGTCGACGCCGTCGTCCGCCAGACCAGCCATCTGCAGCACTCCACCGTCGTGTATCTGAACCACGCCATCGCTGATTTCGCAGAAGCGTTAGCTTCCAAGCTCCCCGGAGATCTCAAGGTCTGCAACGCTACACGAACTCCACAACGAAGCAGTCTTGAATGCTTAACCCCAGTGTAGTCTTCAGGTCGTCTTCTTCACCAACTCCGGCACCGAAGCGAACGAGCTCGCGCTGCTGATAACTCGCCTGTACACCGGTTGCCATGACATCGTATCAGTAAGGAATGCGTACCATGGGAATGCAGCTGGAACAATGGGGACTACGGCTCAATATAACTGGAAGTTCAATGTCATGCAGGTCCATTTCCACCAACATACATCAACAAAAGATCATCTTTAATGTACAAGAAATCACAGAATCTGATGCAAATTGATGCTTACTCTAACATCCTGCTTCTTCGATGTTCCACCGCCAGAGTGGAGTGCATCATGCGATGAATCCAGACCCATACAGAGGAGCCTTTGGGTCGGATGGAGAGAAGTATGCCAGAGATGTGCAAGAAATCATCGAATTCGGGACGTCTGGTCAGGTCGCAGGTTTCATTTCTGAATCCATACAGGTATAAGACATCATTCTGATGGTGATATCTGCTTGTGGTATGCTCATGATGCTGACTCCAAATTGAGGCAGGGTGTGGGTGGGGTAGTGGAACTAGCACCAGGTTACTTGCCTGCTGTGTACGAGAGCATAAGGAAAGCTGGTGGCCTCTGCATAGCAGACGAAGTGCAGTCAGGATTTGCACGCACTGGGAGTCACTTCTGGGGATTTGAGGCCCATGGGATTGTACCTGACATTGTGACAATGGCAAAGGTTAATACTCTTGGCAATATAATTTTGTTGATTTGGCGTATGCAAGCACTACGAACAGTCCTAAGGACACTTAGGATAGAATGTTTGGTTCCAAAGACGATATTGCTGAAATCTAATTGTAGTTGTTCTCTTTTGCAAACACCTGACAATATTTCATAGGAGTACAACAAAGGAGAAATACTAAATAACAAAAGATTAGATGCAATAAAGATTCTTGGTTATAGGAGCGTACAAATTTTCACATTGGTAGTTCAGCTCAAAAAGAAGAGAATGAGAACATTCAGAATGATCAGATTTCTTTGAGGTCAAAAGATGATACTAAGAATGCTAGTTGGAGTTTTGTTCTACATGCATATAAAAAGGCAACATCTCCTGAGTACTGGTTTTCTAAAAGATTCTTGGTCTCGTATGAGCCACTGAAAACTAAGGTAACACCAGACGGCACATTGGTTGATCACATCTTCTGGCTAACCAATTGCTGCACTTAGTCCTCAAATTTGTTGTCTAAAATGTACCATTGCTACGAAAGAGACAATTGGAAACCAATGCATGCAGAGAATAAAGGCATGCAGATGACTCTTCTTGAATGCAATATGTGGTTTCTCTCTTATTCTTCTGTTCCCAATATTTAGCAATTGTGCACTCCTCACAATTCCAATGGTTTCTAGGGTATTGGGAACGGAATTCCTCTTGGTGCAGTTGTCACAACACCAGAAATAGCCCAAGTCTTGACTCGTCGGAACTACTTCAACACCTTCGGTGGCAACCCCGTGTGCACCGCTGGAGGGCTTGCTGTTCTTAGAGTTCTTGAGAAAGAAAATCTTCAACACAACGCGTTGCTCGTTGGTTCCTACCTCAAAGGCCGACTCAAAGCCCTACAACAAAAGCACGAAAGTAACCCTTCTGCTACTCCCTACCTCTGTTTTGGATTCAGTATTCATCTGAAGCTGAAGCGACTATATCTTGAAGCTATTGATTGGTTTCTGTAGTCATAGGCGATGTCAGAGGAAGGGGGATGATGCTCGGAGTTGAACTGGTCACCGATCGCAAGCAGAAAACCCCAGCACGAACTGAGATCTCACATGCCATGGATCAGATGAAAGGTGACACATTCCTCCACTCATCGCATCCTGTGGTATCTTATAACAGTCATGACTCATGATCATGATCCAAAATGACTTCCAGTCTATAATGTTATGTCTGAGTCTATCTTAAGCAATCTGGATTTCTGCAGATATGGGAGTGTTGGTGGGCAAAGGAGGGTTTTATGGCAATGTGTTCAGAATAACTCCGCCTCTCTGCTTCACCAAAGAAGATGCCGGTGAGCTTGAGATTGCCTATGTAGCTCCCTACTCTTTTTTGCTGCTAGTGATTGATCTGTTGCTTTGGGCCTTCCTTTTGCAGACTTCTTCACTGAAGTGATGGATATTGCATTATCAAAGCTCTGAGATCTACAGACTCTAGGCTTATGGTTTTAACTATCCTCAGATATTAGCAATAATGTCTCTGTTGCAGGGCAGGCTAGGTTGATTTGTGTTGTTGAGGGAAGGGATTTTAATGGCTCTGGTGGTATGTAAATAATCCTCACTCTCTCCCTCTCTCCCTCCAGCTATGGTGGAATGTTTTCCTGTTTCTGATCTAGAGGCACATGAAAGTCCAATATATATCTGGTGGATTCAAACCTTATTATGTACCTATTAATTTATGGATCAGATTTCATATGGTAACTTAACCTATTGTGAATGAACTTAAGCTACATGATGAATATAGCTGGCATGAGAAATTATCTGAAAGAAAAATAAACAGTAAAAAGAAGGCATCTGCTGTCTGACTGAATATAGCTGGTCTGACCTTTTTATTGTTTCAAGCAGCTAATGATTCCATTTACTTCATTAGCATTGATGTTTCTACATTGTGTTTACTAGATTGTACAAGAAAAATTATATCACCTAACAATCTACAATAACAACAACAACAAAATCGTAAGTCTCAACTATTTAGGATCGGCTACATGGATCTTTTAGCGTCAAATATGTAAAAAATCATATGTTTAGTTAAGTCTAAAGTACTTAAATCTTTATTTATAATTTTTATTAAGATCTTTTAAGATTTTTTTTTCTATCTCTCCTCGTGCCATTAACATTAATTATTTAACCTTTTCATCACATAACAATCTAAGACATCCGAAGGTCTCACCTCTTAGAATCTAAGACATCCGAAGGTCTCACCTCTTAGATTGTTATATCACATAACAAAATAAGACATCCGATTGAAGTGGTTCCTGAAGTATGAACGACATTCATAAAGCAAGCAGCTTGGCTGGTTACATGTCAATTGATCGTATGTATCACATATATCAGACACTCATCACATGTGGTTATCCCATATTATTTTGACAGGTCTATCAATTAGGTTAAATATCTAGTTTATCCTAGAAAACTATGCATCAGTCAATCAGTGGGACACCAAATTCTGTGAACATGGATTGTATTGGACTTCCAGTTCTCAATGAGTAACAAATGATGCAGATCAAGCATGGAAAGGAAGTCTGAAAATGTAATTTAGGAACTCAAAATGTAATTTTAGAATTGAAATTTTACCTACTTAAAAAAAAAACTGCATTTTGTGGATATTTTATGATACTGCAAATGTAAAATTGATACCTCAGAACATGAAACCAACAGAGAGAAATCGAGGTGAGGAGAAGGGGCATCGAACCTCCCATGAATAACACAGCAGTCTTCTTTCTACTAACTAGGTTATCTAAGCAGAAACGCACCACCCAGCAAATTCACCAACAACAGATCATCCGAGTCACAACTCAAAATTGTACAATGACAATTAACTGTATATTATCTCACAAAATTCACATTTTCCCCATAGAAACAAGGTCAATGGATCATGAGAAATCGGCACAAATCAATAACGCTAGCACATCACCCCAAAATTAGGGATCTCGGTGACCCATCTTGGCAAAATCAAAATACACATCAAAAACCTCGGGGGAAAAACAAGGTTAAGATATCGTATAATCATGGATCCCAGGTCGAGACTTCCCATGTGGAAAAACATCCTCCGAACCGAGGAACCAAGTCAAGGAAAAAAGATCGAGCAATGCACCAAAAAGATGAGGACAAAATCGTACCTTTGTGCGCTCGAGGAACGCAAAACCTCAGGTTCCCAACACGGATCTCGTGCGACGGCCAGGAGCCGATTCCTTTCTGACGCGCGTGAAGGTCTTAAATGGGCCGGACTATTAAAAGCCCAAGTTGTATATAATTACAAGCGCAAGAAAAAAAGCCCAATTTGAGATATATTTATTTGATTTTATTGTAATTATTAATTTATTATTATTACCATCATTATTAATGCTAAGAACGCGTAGTATGCTGTCAGAAATCTTTCTTTGAGAATCCACGCTCTAAACTTGCACAGGTTGCAAAGAACTGAGGCTAAAAGGCTTAATCGAAGGGAGATCGGATACGTATAGGAAAAGTTCATGGATGATGGCTCTCTCTCTCTCTCTCTCTCTCATAGAGCAAGGTTGGAATATACTCACCGTAGAGCCAGTGTAGATTGGTGGTGGAGGAGCAACTGCAACACTGAGCTCAGGATATCACATCCAGTGCTTGGGGTAAACTAAGATGTGGTTGTGCACGGTGGAGAAGACGAGCACATGAAGAACTGGCACGGTCTTCTCTGGTGGAAGCGGAGTGCAAGCAGTGCACGTGCCCTGCTTCTCCACCCTGCAGAACCCACCTTTCGGAGCAACTCTGCAGCTGAAGACGCCACTGCATGCCCCTAAAGTGACAAGGCTGGAGCTGGAAGAACACCTCTCCATGTCGCTTGCCATGGCCATGGCCTTATAGGGTGGTGGTGGGAGGTGTGGCGGGGAAGCGAAGCACCAACCTCACTGGAATCTGTAGGGACCAACCCGACAAAGCACTGCTAAATCTACTGGTGACAACTAGAACCTACTCTTGGGCGCCTCTAAATGCACACGTGGTGTCACTGAGTTCTGTCACCATGGAGAGCTGCCATGGTGAAATGCCATTTAGCATGAGTTTGGTTGAGCTGAGATGATCGAATTCACGCTGTGTTGGTTGTTGCTTGACATGTAGCAACAGCGACCAAGGCACTCATGGCGAGAGGAGGCGGGATACCACCATGATAAATGTCCTTCTGGTGCATCAATGGTCCCCGACCATGAATTGGCTGTGAATTTGCAGCAGTGATGATGGGTGACCTGCTGTTGGATGGATGGATGAATGCTGCATAATCTCTATCTGGACCACTGCCAGATATCTCGATGAAGAAGAGCTCTTAAAACTATGGCCATCTCACTACTGTTTCCACACCCAACTTTCTTGCTCATTAACATATCAGACACAGCTCCAGTTGGTGATCCCCAGCCTGGTTTGAATTAGCTGTTCACTTCAGAATGTCCATTGTCAAGCACAATTTGATCCCCTCATCATTAGCACATCTTTAGTGAGCATCAAACCAAACACCAGAAAGGATGCATGGCATTTTGCTGACTAAGGAGCTGATGAAAAAAGCCAAACACTTTGGCTTGATTTCAAACGCTGGTGAAGGTGGAAGTTCATTCTAGTCTGATTCTGCATGTGGCAAGGAGGTCCAAATCACAAACATCATGTACATTATGCTAATAATCAAAGTAAACAGCAAAGCTTAGGCTCAAATAGTCAGATTTATTAGGTGCAAGTAATCATCACAGTAGAGAAGGGAGGGTAGGCAGGTTGACACCAAGAACATGGTGCTACCTTTCCTTTCTTGGCCTCCTTTTTGTCTCAATGGGTTCACACAAACTCCATTCTCCATTCACATCAAGTGACAGTGAGTCAGTCGTTTTCACAAGCACTGTTGTGTGAATAACATCTTTGTGGGAGATGCATTGAATCTTCATGTTTATTGTTCATAAAGATCGAATTCTATGGGTGCTGAGACATGCAAAGAATATTTGTTGTAATTTAAAGTTAAGAAAGCTATCTTTTGGTGGTCGTAAATCACTGCATGACAATTGCCCTGAGAATGCCATCTAAATTCACATAGCAAGCTTTTGTAATTTATAAATATAATTTATTTTTTAAAAAAATCATGATATTAGAGCAAATTATGAGTTCAAATCATATATCTATTTTTTTATCTTTAAAATTGTTTATGCAATACTTATATCATCCAACCCTTTGTCAATCGATATGGAAGGCTAAATGATCTTAATTAATTGTCTAAAGCAAACATCTAAGACCATAGTTATGTTAGATCACATAATTATAGTTGATGATCAAGATTAGTCTTCGATCATAATCACATCATCATATTGTCATGGACGGCCATGATTGTGTCAAAATTCGTGCTGATTGATCCATTTTCCAATCAATTGTATAGCTCTAATAATCTTGATCAAACTTTCAACGCCAAGGAAAGATCAAGACTGGCGTCCGAAACCATGTGAACGACCAGGATTGAACGTGGAAATATCATGAATGGTCACGATCTAATCTTAGAATTTGTGGTGAATCATGAAAACCGAATATTCCAATAAATTATGCTGGTTTTGGGCTTCTTAATGTCACGGCGGTGCGGCCCACCGAAGCAACCCAATGAACGAATCATCGTCGCTCGTCTTTCTCGGCGAATCGGACGCGATGAGACTCTCCGATCGCGGAACCTAATTCCGTCGAAAGTTCCTTCGATCGGCGGAGAATGAGCTCCAGGGCCCGTAATCTCACCTTCAAGCTCGTTCTCCTCGGTGACGGTAGCGCTATTTTCTCTTCGAATCCATTTTTGTCTTGATTCATTTTGAGTTCTGTCGTATCGTTCTTTTGTAAGAATCTATTGAGGCGATTGAGGTTTACGTGTGCTATTGATCGGTAGGTGTCTACACCTGCTTTGTGTTAGAAGAATTAGGAGGTAGCTTGAAACCCTTGTTGGTTGAAATGGTCGCTGGGATTTCAAGTGGATATGTGTTTGATCCAAGAACAATCTGGGCTAGTATTCCGTGAATTGATCTGTAAGATTCATGAAGTACTTGGTGTCTTATGTATGAGTTGGACATGGTAATGGTGCATCGCTTGCATAATGTCAGGATGACTCTACACTCGGACAGAAACATATGATCTCATGCACACATTTAGGAGAGTTCGTTTCCAGAATTTTGTTGTGCTTTGATGTGTCAGCTGGTGTTGTAGAGTCGCAAGATGTGGGTTTTCTTAAGTGTATTTGACTTCAAGTTAAGTGTTGATTGATCTGGGACATTCCTGTGATAAATGGATCCACCATGGATGGATCTGATTGGGCCATTCCTGAATGCAAACTATTGAAGATATCTTATTAGGCAGTTTCGTTGCTTGTGAATCAAACTTGATCAGTTTAAGACCAGATCATACTGTTTTTAGGATAATTAGTTAAAAGATATGATCTTAAAACCTTTAGATATGAAGATGTAAGGTGGAGGAAAGATAATGAGATACAAAGACAGGATGCTATTTATTTCTCTCTCTGATAAAGGTTATGGTGAGTAGAGGCCAATGAGGACAGAATAATCTGGTGCTACTTATTGCTCTCGCTAATAAAGGTTGTAGACAGCACAGGTGCTACAACAAAGAATATACCAGCGCACCTATTTCTTGTGCTATATATATATGCTGTGTTTAGCATGAACAGGTCATACATTCTTATGCAGTACCTATATTCAAAATTTTATTTTCTATTTTATGTATATCATAGTTGGGGTTTTTTCCCCCCCTTTTTTGCAGGCCGAGTTGGGAAAACCTCCCTTGTATTGAGATATGTAAATAATGTATTCTTTGAGAAGCAAGAAACTACGGTGCAAGCTTCCTAGTTAACAAAACGCCTTGTCATTGGAGGTGTGCCTATTACCTTGTCCATATGGGTGCGTTTTCTTATCTTAGCTAGTGCTGGAGATGACTGCAGTCTCATGGCTCATTAATTAAGCATTCTGTGAAGTTTTCCCACTTATGATTTCGACACTTCAAACGTTGAACTTTGTTTCCTGTCAATTCAATCAAAGTGACAACTGACATTGATAGATAAAATATCAGGAGTAACATGGCTTGATCGGTCACTCAGCTTCACTTACTTTAAGATCTGATGTTTGAAGTAAAAGCTTTCTTGTCTATGTTGTCTTTGTCAGAATTAACTTGTTTATTTTGGATACGACCTTAGTTCAAACACATTGTTTCTTATTTTCTTCCTCTTTCGGTTGGTATGTTGGGTAATTCTGTAGACTTATTACCTTCCTGAACTAACAAAATCTTATAAAAAAAACAAAAAAAAACAAAACCAAATGGCTACTATATCATCAGGCCATGAGTTTGCTCCAAAATAGACTCTTTAAAGTCCTGTTTTGGGTTTATAGTGAAAATGTGTTTGTTTGACAGCTAAATGCTAGGCTATTTAATATTCATGTTGTGCTGGACTATTATTATTATTCCATATGAGATGAGATTATTTGATATTTTGCCTGTTGGGATATCTGGAATCTAGATGAGGTTGATTGTTCCTCTTCTTGGTTCTCCGTATTTTATGGATTTCCAAGCCTTAACCTAGAGCAAATATGCTGGGTGACCCATATGTCACTATGATTGTCATGCAGACAGTGTTTGATCACCTTCTTTCTGCAGGATACTGCTGGACAGGAACGTTTCCATGCCTTGGGTCCTATATACTATCGTGATGCAGATGGCATGCATCTTATAAACACAAGTTCTGTCTCATTTATGAACTCAGATTTAGAGAACCAAGAACTTTTAAATTTAGTTTTTGGTGATTATGTACAAGAGAAACCTCACTATATGTCTCTTTATTGGTGACTGCAGCAGTGCTTTTAGTCTATGACGTCACAGATACTGATACTTTTCTTCGAGTTAGAAAGTGGGTTAAGGAACTTCAGCAGATGGCATCAAACGATATAGTCATGGTCATTGCAGCAAATAAAAACGATTTTATCAGATCAAAGAAGTATGATATTCAAGAAGCTGAAAGGTTTGCATGAAAGTACATAGCTCTATTTCACATTGACATCTCTATCAAATTGTTTTATAATATTTATTAGATAGATATAAAAATAGTTGACAGCATACCTGACATTAGCAATGAATTTAAGTTTACTCTTCTAAATTTCTAATTGATCAATGATAAGTATTTGTCAAATCGTTTTTTCATGTTATAAGTCATTATGTGGTGAAGATACTGGACACTTTTACATGTCTTTTCATCATGAACTGTTGAACAAAAGCATCAATCAAAATTTGTTCCACCTCTTATTTCATTGCTTTCACTCAGACTACTGCTTGTTTTCTTTAACATGATTCCTTTTGGAGTTGCAACCATATATGGATGTCATGAGATTTCAGATGTCTGTGTCACTAGATTCCAAAGTACTGCATTGATAAGGGAAAAAAATTTGCAGATTCGTGTCTATTATTTTTGTGGAGTTAAACTGCCTGGTCAATCCACTCAATCTTGTTGTCCCATACTGTACATCTAATTGAACAGCAATTTTTCATGCATGCTTATGGCTTACCTCATCTCATCTGCCTGCCTTGTGATCAGAGGCAGAGATGGCCCCATAATAATTTCCTTATCAATTTTCTGGTCATTTAAAGTTTGCCATTGATTTTGTTTCATTTCTTGTGCCCCATACTGCAGCTATGCAATGACAATTGGAGCAAAACTTTTTCTGACATCTGCGAAATTTGGGTCGGGAATAAATGATGTCTTTCTTGATTTAACAGCACGTGAGTTAACCATCCGCACAAGAGAGACTAACGGCATTATATTCTTTGGTTTCCGCAATTCAGCTTTTTCATTATATCTGATGCTTTTATTCAATAATACAAACATTACCAGTCATATCTTATATGATAGTTAGGCACTCATCTCCTTGAAGATTCTGATCAGGCATGCTATAAAAGTTAAAATAACCTTACTAAACTTGCAAGGGTAATCTATGTATGTTGACCTTCTTCAGATCCTTCGTTGGTGAGAGTCTCATGTGATTGGCACTTACAAGACCGAAGAATATTACATATTTAATGAAATAAATAGATGGAGGTCAACGCTATAATTGAAAAGAGATCAGCTTAGTGGATGTGGCTCTTAGTAAAACATATGGAACGTTACATCTCCATTAATTTAGAAATTTGCAGAAATACACTCTTGACTACAGAGTAAGCATAGTTACATTTGAATGTTTCCAGCCTGTTCATTGACTGAGGCATCATGTTCTAAGTAATCCTTATTTGTTGATCTAGTTTATTTCATACATAGATGTCAATCAGTCAATATTCTGGCAACTATGTCATGAGAAATGTGATTATGATTTTGACTGTCATTCATCTTTGAAAGTAGGCTGATGCTTTTACCTGTGATCCTTGACGTGATATAACATTTGGAAATCTATATACCTCTATAAATTGCATCTATCTTCAATAGTATGCTAATGTGCTGTTCTTTTTTTATCACATCCAGGATTGTTGCAGAAGAAAAAAAACAGTGCCCAGGGCTCATCACCTGCTCTACCAAGAAAAGGGATTATTGTTGTAGATGATGAACCAGAGAGAGAACCCCCACCAAAGTGTTGCTCATAGCATTGAGGTTCCAGATTTTTACAAGTAACAACAGGTACACCTACCACACTTCATTTGTTTGGCCAGAGGAAGAAAAGAAAATTGATTTTACTTGCAGGAGCAGTAGTAGTGTGAATATTGGCGTCTGCTATGTGGAGGGTGATCCGACAGTAGGAAATCTAGGCTTTGTGTATCTTCACTAACCTGGACAGATTACCAGAAATTATTAGCATCAACAGTAGTATCTGCTGTTTGTCCCTCGAGAAATGTTGTGTTATTTGGTGTCTACATCTCCAAGGTGAAGTCAGCTTCAACTGTTCTAAACTTCCGTCCTCTCCATCGGCCCATTTAGTTCAACAAGAATAGATGTCTTTAGCTGATATATGTTTTATAAGACGTACATTACCATTACTTTAATGCTAAATCGAATTATTCCTTTGTTTTGATCTTTAAGCAGTTAAATATACACGGAAAGATTGCACACCATTATGTACCTCTGAATGCTTTTTCTTTCTTGCAGATTCACAGTCATGTTTCTCATGTACAACCCACTACGGCCGACCCTGTAGCTTGTTGGTGGATGACTCAGTTGTTGATGGTATTTTGTTGTTATCGTATTAAGATGCAGCAGAAACAAAAATAAAGCAACAAAACAGAAGTATTATTAGTATTATCATTATTTTTTTGGATACGGAAAGCGGTTTGGCTCGCTGCTTTCCACCACGTTATATTATGTAGCAACGAGCTAAGGTGGTTGCGGTCCCTCTCTCCCTATGCCTCTTCCAAGAATCCTTCGAGTGATTTGATTGATCTCCAAGAAAGCCTCCTCCCCATCAATGGCTTCCCTCTCCGGTCTCACGCTCATCACTGATATCTTCCACCGCCTCAGGGAGCTACTCTCACATTTCGGGGTCTCGTTTCTGAGCACGGCGAGCGGGTTTTCCCTCCGATCTCGCATGCTCCACGCGCCCCCATCGGAGACCTTCTGTCGCGGCTGACGAGGAGGCGAAGAAAATGCTAGCGAAGGAGAAGGGAAGGCCTTCTTTGAGGGTCGGGGATCATCTGCATTGCATCTCGCTGAATCCTGCGCGATCTGTTTCATCGATGGTCGATTGTTGTTTCATTGAGGGTTTTCTTGATCGTATACAGGTCGATCGTTCTTTCTCCGAGGGTTTTCTTGGTCTTACAGACTCTGATTGATCTTTCTTTATGGCTTTTCTTGATCTTATAGAGGTTGGTCATCCTTCCTTTCTGGGGTTTCTTGGATCTTTACACTGGTTGATTGTTCTCTCTTTGAGGCTTTCCGTAATCTTATCCAGGTCGATTGTTCTTGCTTCGAGGGTTTTGTGTATCATTCGCAGGTGCTTTCCTTGTGGGTTTTCTTAATCTTGTACAGGTCGATCGTTTTTTCTTCTCAGGTTGGTTGATTTTCTTTCTGTTGAGGGTTTCTTGATCTTATACGGGTTGGTTGTCTCGATCTTATACAGGTTAATTTGTTGTTTGTGTTCTTCCTATACAGGTTTCTTGATCTTACAAGGATGATTTCAGAGTGTGTTGCGTCATCTCCTTTTGCACATTCTTTGCGTTCGGATGGAACGTGCAGGGATGGCTCGGCTTCGGTAACAATATATGTTTTATACATCACACCACTAGTTTTTGCTCCTCTGATGCAGTCCAACATAACAACTCATAGGAGACTTTGATTTGATCTATAAGCTGTTGATAAATGCATTAGCTTTAACTGGCGTTTAAACATTTTTGATCAACCAACCTAGTATTAGATAAGTCCAAATGGGAAGGGCCTGTTCATCACCTAGTTTAATCTCAGATAAACAGTTGGAGGAGACTTAAATTAGCTCATATATGATTGATGAATGTTCTATCATTAACTTAATTTAATGTTCAAGCTAATTAGATTATTGGATTATTATCATATATATTGTGGGGATAACCGGCAAGTTTAGACCATGCAAACTCATGCTGATCAACGGAAGTTTAGACCAGAGTTCTGTAAGCTACATCATTCACACTATTTGGGAACGGTAGCTGGTCAGAGCTCCTTTGCAACTTAATTTCGGTATTATATATATATATATAGAAAAGCTGTGGCTTTGGATAACGTGCTTTCCAATTGTTTACAGGATCTGCCTCCCAACAGTTAGTGGAATTCAATGAAATCATGTGAACTATTCCTTGTACCTTAACAAGTACCTGCAAAGATTCTGGCATTGGTTCCTGCAAGAAACAATGTACATGGATAGTTTTCTTTACATTGCCAACTCCATCATCAGATGGGCTTCCTCCTTTTCCGACCATCTATTTCGGCTGCGTGGGAGGAGAAGACAAGGGAACAAATTACGTGTCATGTCATGGAGAAGACGTCTTCACATCTACTTTTGAGAAGAGATGTATCATCATTACCATATTAATGGGGATGGATACAGCGGCCATTAAACCTCGTTGCTGCATGCATATTAATGAGATGCAAACGTGGAAAGCACACAGAATTGTGGTGGATGCTGATGATGATTTTGATGAGAGTTCTTTTACAGCATCTGATCAGGTAAAATATTTACGTAGAACGCGATCATTGAAACTCTATGCCATTACGCGAAAAAGATTTTTTTTTTCTTTTTAGAGGAGTTACACGGAATCAGGATAATTTTGTGTACTGCTGCTGCATTCACTCCTACTACTATCATCTGCAGGATTGCGTTATTCGCGTAGAGGAGGAGCCAAGTAATGGGAACAGGTACACATTTTTCTTCTTTAGATGAACTGCAGCAGTAGTATGTTCTCTTACCAAGGTAAAAGTGAGTGATATCGACTTCGGAGTCAGCAGGACAATATGACGCTCTGATTACTCTGTTCACATCAGATTCCAATGAGTCGACGCAAGTCCCCGCCTACCAGAGGTCCCCTTAGTCAAGAGACGCAGAAACGGCACGTCCTATTGGCTGCATTCTCGGTCGACGTGGAGAACGCGATCGAACCAAGAATCTCTCCTCCGTCCGACATGACTCTGCAGTCTTCGTCTCCTCCTGCCGTGGGGAAGGATTCCTAAACAGTGACTGGTGGTAGAATCCTAAGGAATGCAGAGTTTTGGTGGGGCCCGTTGGACGTGGATGCATGCTTTCTTAGACCTGTCTCACGTGGATCGGTGCACCGTATTACCACTTTGATCGCTTGCACGTTACTAAAGCTTCGATGCGTTACCACTTTGATCGGGACGGCTGAAAAGTAGAAGAACACGAAGAGGGGGAAGCAAGGAGAAGAAGCCTCCATAAATAAGAGAGAGAGATGCATACTATTAAAAGAGGACGTCGAGTCGTTAATGGCATTTAATGATTCTTTTGTGGTGCGACCCCAATAGGACCGACCGCAGAGAAGGTTGCAGGTGTTGCCTCATGACCCCAGAGCCCCACACCAACCATGTGGAGCCCACCACAGCCCTCTACCCCTGCCTTCAGCCTATATGAGGCTTCCCGGTTGGCTGTTGATCTCCTATCCGTGCGACAAAGCAGAACTCTGCCCTTCCCCTTCGGTTATCTTGCAGGAGTTGATCTGAGCCCAAGAGGCTGCTACCGGAGCTGGCTAACAGCAACCGAGAAGGACGAGGAGAGATACTGGAGGGGCCAGAGGCGAAGAACAAGGCGGTGGTGCGAGAGTTGTATGAGGCCATAAACCGCCGGGACGTCGCAAGAGTGCACCGGCTGCTGGCGCCGGACCTCGAGTGGTGGTTCCATGGCCCGCCCGAGCGCCAGCACCTGAGGCGCCTGCTCACCGGCGAGGAAGAGGAGGGTGACATCGTCACCTTCCAGCCCGGTCCTCAGGAGGTCGCCGCCTTCGGCTCCATCGTGCTCGCCGAGGGCTGCGGCCCCGGCGCGGTGGTGTGGATCCACGCCTGGACCGTCGGCCCCGGTGGGGTCATCACCCAGGTCCGGGAGTACTTCAATACCTCCCTCACCGTCACCCGACTCGGCGGCGACTCGGCCCCGGCACCCACCGACGGTTCCGCTGGGTCGACTCAGTGCTGCCTGCCCGTGTGGCAAAGCAGACTGCACCGGCGTGCCCCGAAGTCACTTCCTGGGCTTGTGCTCGCCATATGAATGCATATAACCAGTTAAGCTCGACACGAACAAATAGTTCGAGTCTGTATGGTTTGCACCACTGTCGTTATTGAGTCCAGGGTTTGGTCTGTAGGAGTCTCTTTGGGTGTGTCACAGTAGTAGGTCGTGTGGTCTTTTTGCATGTCATAGGGTGTGGTCTGTGTCTCTTCGTTGCGCGATGTACGTTTGCTTGGTTGCTTATCGAATAAAAGATGTGTTAGTGGTGATTCATAAGAAGCAGCTGAATAGTTCGGGAATATTGCATATATAGACGAAAGATATATATAACTAACTATCTTTGCAAAAAGAAAAGTTTGGGAATATTGCATATCTCTTCATAATTTATAATAAAAAAATAAAATTAAGATCCTTCACAAATACTCATAAATACTTATCTAGAAAATTCAAGTTAATTATTATTAATATTAATAAATATTAAAACCCTAACAAAAATTTTAAAGGACATTGAGATTATGTGAAGGTTGGTGAAGAGCTTGATAATTTATACTCATATTCCTCGTGAAGTTGATGTCGCAACTTTATTTGCATCGCATCCATAAGTTGTATCGATGATCATATTCTTAGACAGGGGGCATATATAGATGCTCCACATGTTGTGCGGAGGGAACCGCTGGTAGATGCCACGAGCAATATAAGCTCACTTTTATAAGGAATCGTTTAGTCATTTGAACCTATTGATCACTTGTCCCACATCACTTATACTTATGTGATAAGAAGATACTAATTAAAAAAATAAAAAGATGGAGAGAGAGAGAGAGAGAGAGAGAGAGAGGTGAGATCTTATCTATCTTCCAGAAACATTTATGTTCATTTAACCAATGATATCGATTTTATAATAAAAAAATAAAAAAAATAAAAAAAAATAATTTTAATATTTTAGTTCTGCATAAACATCAACGTTGACATGGTTGTCGAGCGATGGAAGGACCATTTAGAATATTCATCGGTGGCTCTTCTGTCACTCGATAATTGCATCGATGACGACGAAGATGTAGAGTGGTGTTACTCAACAACTACATCAACGCTAATGCAAATGTTGAGCGACTATTTCATCACTTAGTAACTGTATCAACGTCGACGTAGTTGTCAAGCAATGAAAGGATCATTGATGCAAATGTCGAATAGCCCTTTCATTGCTCGATAATTGCATTGTTGTCGACATAGATGCAAAATGACCTTCACCTCTTACCATCACTCTCCTTATCCACAATAATCATCACGATCTCCAACAACGTTGTCGTTCGTCATCACCAACTGAAACATTAAGATTATCTTTATATTATTTATTTTCATGTATCGGTAAAATCGTTTGTAATCATAAAAATACTAATGTATCCTTTTAAAATATAAAAATCAAAATAATAAAGCTAAGATAATCTATAATTAGCACTTGTTAGGTCGTAAAAGCCATCACTTGGATGCTGTATTCCACGTGAAAAAGTTACGACTCTTCTAGATTTCCAAATTCCAGTAAGGAACCGATTGAAATATGCCTTCTGATCCAACGAATGCAAGGCTTGTACGGACGCACACCCACACGTCATACCTGACGCTTAAACCGATTGGAATATTACCGTGCGTGTCCGCACGCGCATACACACTATACAAGGAAAAGAAATACCTGACTGACGTTGCTCATCTTTTTCCTCCATTTCCTACGAGTATTGGCCATCCAAGATACAAATTTATGATCCCAGGATTTAACTTTGAGCTTTAGTAATATATATGATCCTTAATTTAAAAGTATCATTAAGCATACTACTTTCATAGACTTAAAAGAAAGGTGTCAGCATGCATCTCAAGCATTCATATTTCCTAATCCTGCCATTACCAATGCTGAAAGTGAGATATAAAGGTTTATTCTAATCAATTAATCCTCCAATAAGTATATTGCAGATGATGACATACCCATCTCAAATCCTCCATTATCATACATCCTGATATTGTGACCAGCATATGTTCTCAGAAACCCTTCTTCAATCACTAGGTACAAGAAACTAGGAATCAAATTTATTGTCCATCATGTAGCAAGAACCCAAGAACAAGACATCAATGACAATATATGTGACCAATTACTAAAACAAACCATAAAACAAAATGAAGAATGGTATAACAATTATGAGTTCCAAGAACAAGTAATCTACCAAGATTCTAAAACAGCAGGAGGAAAAACAACAAAGATGGTAATCACCATACGGGCACAGATACACAACCATCTCATCTATCATACTGTTTGAGACCTGCAGGTCAGCTGTTCATCATGTATCCGAATGGGCTGCAAGGATACCACAAAGTACCCAAGCTGCAGGTCATCATCTAGAAGACCTTGGATTTAATTTCCTTTTATAGGCAGAGAAACCGTATAGGTTTTCTGCCCTAGTCAGTGTCAAATGCAAGATATATGCTACCCAGCACTGCCTCAAATGATAACATATTATACCATCGCATTCGAATCAGCGTGAGACAACAGGCTGCTGACATCCTTGGGTGCCTCTCTCACAACATCCGCTTTTCATAGAGTTTCTCCCTCACAATTCACTTCCCTGAAGCATAACTATGCAGAATTACCTGCACAGGCGTTCAGATGGTGCTGATTTCTTTTGCAGTCAGTGGCTGGCAGCACACAAGGCTTTCCACACAGGGACCAACATCCTTACGGGTGGTTGCAATTTCTGCAAATTTAGTAAAGGTCTTCAGAATCGGACATACACTTAAAAGTACTGATCATATGAAGAGTGGCAACACCGATCAGTCGATTACCTGGAAAACTAACATAAGCTCATCCTCGTCACGCAGAATTAAAGCCAAGCTCCAGTGACAAGTTACAGGAGTCACACATTCATTCAACACCGGTTTGAGTATCTTGCTGATGGGGACAAAACGGCAGGTGACCCTTCCGCTAAGGAAAAAAGAGTGCATTTAGAAGTCCCCGAAAAAAGAAGAATAAGACTAAAATGATATAAGAAGCCTTTAGAGCCATCTAGAATGAAATCTGTCACCATCGAGAAACAGAGAATGCATGTGTTACTTCAAAATCCTATTGGAGACAAGATGAAAGATAGCTCACGGTGTTAATATCATGTGAAGAACACATAGTTTGACTTTAAGTTAATAGGAATATGCTTTTAAAAAGCAAAAAGAATAACAAAAACAAAGATAAACATAATGACTCAGACATTCAGGTAGAAAATCCAGATGAACATCCAGCAGCAGTGAATTCACAAACTTCTTAACCCTCTCTCCTAATTCTTAACCAGCGCCACCTGGGCACAACCAGACCCCACACTGTCATTAAACCACAATCAGATGCTCACTTGACCTGGTAAAGGGAGAAAGCTAGTACTATCAATGTGGCATGCAGCAAGAAAAAAAATCTGCTAGATTTTATAGTTAATTAATGATTAGTGATAGCGATCACAAGTTTTCCTTTTTTTAAATTTTTATTGATGAAAGCATTGGTTAAACCTAAGAAACACGGACACGGACTTGACGACATGTCATTTTTAATAAAATTAGGACCCGAATACGGTGATGACACATGTATTTTTTAATATATATGCATATATAATATTCGATTAACATGAATTTTGTAGTATTTAAACATAAATTTTATGAACTCAACAACGTGAACAAATGAATATCTTTATATAGGTTGAAAAAATTAAAATCATCAAATAATATTTAACAGTCTCCAGATACAATTGATATATGTTTCCTTGTGACGATCTCTAGATTTCTTGCGAAACATATGGCCTTCACGTGAGGACCACACGAGCGCAACGCCACACGCGAGTGTCCAACACGTGTCGGACACGGACATGTCCACCAAAGGCACGTGCCTATGCTTCTTAGGCTCAAACCATACTATAAGTACAATATATCATGAGACTAAGAAGACAGGAAAATGGATGGTATTTAGATGGAAAACATATAAACGGGCATAGAGCTCTAAATGGTTTGGTAAGATATTTGAAGTTGTGGTCATTTTGGTTGGACTCTACTATAGATTTCTGACAACATTCTCCATGGGGCCCTCTTATCTATTCGTTCTTCGAGCTTCCAACAGCACCAATGAGAAACATGGTGGAACAACATAGTTCTATGTTTCTTTAAATGAATTAGCAAGGACTAAGAGGTCGGAAGTGTTTCCATACAATGCCGACCTAGATAGCACCCACGGGGAACATGCTCTTTATATAAGATAATTTCTGGGAAAATTCACTCTAAAGTCTGGAAAAACACCCATGAGCTCACCTTGCAGCTAGCCATATAAGAAACTGTAAGGAATATAGAAAGCAGTGAAAATCCTTAGCGAGGAACCAAAGAGTACAAAATTCTAATCTAAGAAATAACTTGATGGTACCCAAGAAGATGAAAATAAACGAGGAAGACATAAACTAGGTACCAATGCCATGTCAAGGCATCCAGATGAACTGAAATTTACCTCCAGTAATGAGTTTCAAGTTGAACACCAAATGCTGGCATAATCACCACTGATTCTACAAAATTTAAGAGAAACCATATGTCAGGAATGAGGTCTCCAACAAAAAAGCTGCAAATCATCTGAACAGTTCTACCTAATACCTACTGTAAACAAATCACACGTAGCCTTACATTGGCTTAAAGCTCATTGACCATCAACCAAGCAATATTGTCTTGTCTTGTATTGTAATAGAGTATATAAACGGGTGCACAAAAGTAGCATTATAGTTATTACATCCAATATGACATAGTTTTGATTTGTTTAACGACAACTATATTATAAAGATATGACTTCTGTTCATGCGAATTAACCAACTCAAGCATGAAAGAGGTATACAATGCATCAAAAGAAAAAAAAAACTAAAGCACGAAGAAACAGATAAAAGATTCTGATAATTTACCTTTCTTGATAGGCTTGTGATGCAGAACTTTGGCCAAGGAAAAACACACAAGAATGCTCCAAATGGAGCTGATACACAATTCCTGTTAGACAAAAATGCTGAAAAATATCAGCAATAACAGCAAGAGCAACATTGTTCCATGGCCTGCCCAAAGAATCATTCTTTAAAATAAGAGGAAAAACATACAGTCTTCCCTGAAATTTGTCTATTGGCAAATAAAAACTACAGATAGACAATATAATATGAGAAATATCAGCCATGAGAAGTCCGGAAGGATGATTAGTGGATACCTTCAACACAACTAAATAGAAGGTAGCTGTAAGAAACACAGCAGCCCCAAAGTATGATAAGAAAATTCGTAATCTGCTCTTCTTGACTGTAATATCATGTACATCAATTGCTTCAGATGCACCTTTCCCATTAAGGTGGTTATAGCTGTATTTGCTATTAGAAGCTAGACCCCTGGACATTGTATCTCAATCATCATGGAAATGTTTGACGCCTGAAGTAGGTTATCCCCATCTCATATGCCCACAATATATATATGTACCTTCATAAATAAATAAAAGTGAACTGATTCTCAGTAATTCCTTCTAATCATAGCATCAAAAACTAATTGTCATTTATGAATGCAACAGCATGTCTTGCATACAATCCTAAGATAATGCACTTATAAATATTAGGCTAGTATATGTAGATTATTTCTTTCTTAAGACTAAGAAAAGTTATATTTAACAAAGAATCATTCTTGACTAAGTGATATCTGGAAATAATAAAAAAATATAAGAAATAACATACAAAATTTGCACAGATGTTTTAATCTAGTACAGTGAACAAGTCATAACCATGGAAGGTTCTTAAAGAGAAATAAGGAACCCAAATGGTATGAAATATGAAAACACTGAACTATAATAGTGAGTTATAGTTAACATAAATATAACATAGAATTAATTAATAGAAAATCTTGATCATACCAATAGAATTGCCTTAAGCAAGGATCTATGATGACATTGCATCCATTCTTAATCAGATTTAAACTACGTCTTTGATTTAGTGTAGTAAATATCTCATCCTTTTTTCATAAAAATAACAAAAAAAATTAAAGAAAGTTAAGAAAAATATAGAAAGTTCTAATGAAAGTTCAGACTACAGCAACTCCACATACTCAACTGCATCTCAATGCCCGCATTATAGGTTTCGCAGCAAATTGCCACCCTTCTAGCTATTTACTGCCGGATCAAAGGAGGTAAAAACCTGAATCGCCGTAGATTGTTCTATTGGCGAGGAGATCGGATTGAGGCGTTCTGAAGGAAGACCACCCGAAGCTTCCACTGAAGATTGGATCATATGCCTTGTTGAGAAAGGCGATTTACCACGCAAAAACGAGTTCATTCCTCTATCAAGATCCAAAAGGAAGCGGAGAGATGGATACCTTGTTTCGGAGAAGCCCTACGCTTCGATTAGGGTTCGAATCGCTCGAACGCGGTGAGTCGTCGACGAGCACCTCCCCAAACGCCAGGATTGATCTGATCTCGGCCGTTTAAGATGGGAATCCACCCGTGGCAGATCCACTAGCCCGTTAGGTGAACGGATCGGATCGATTTCAATCCAATTCCGTGATTCCTTTTTCGCAGCTCCGATCCGCCTAGCACTTATCGGGTGTTAAGTGATGACGTCATAAGCACAGATGGCAACTAATGGGAGGCCCTTCTTGTGTTTGGTCGTTTGGTCAAGTCGCAGGATCAGCATCCTACCTATAACTAGTATATAACGCCGTGGCGATGCGGATTCATCTGTATATATGATCCCTTTACTAATCCGGTTTCCGGATCGGACTGTTGCCACCCTAGTCCGCTCACTTCGATATCGGATCTTGGATACCGCGGTTCTAGATCCGGTCGCTTACATGTAACAGACACGAGCCTCCTCGGTCGAAGAAGAAGCGAGCGGAGCTGCGCGCTTTCTTCCTCTTCTTCTTCCTCGCGATGGCGTCTAGACCTCCGGAGAAATCGATCTACTTGGAGAATGAGAAAGAAGGTAGTGTTTTCTGTCTTCTCGATTCTATCGATTGCTGGGTTTTCTCGATCTTTTTTTTTTTCGCTTTCTTGTAGGTGTTCGTGTTGGCTTCCATGTCGAATCGAACACGACGGGAGACGTCTGTTTCGATGAGGGCAGATTGTCTTATTAGCAAGAGATACTATCAAGATTCTAAAAAAGGTTTTTTTAATAGCTGATGCTTTTCTTGGCTAATTTCTACATGCTGATGGATCAAAATGGAAAATTGAATGTTAATACATTAGATTAGGGTTCAACAAAAAGCAAATTTCTTTGTTGGTTTTCTTGCATTTTTCTCAGTTTATATGGTATTAAATGACTGTATTGTGTTATTTTCTGTAGAGGAGTGGGCAATAGGATATTTGCTTCATGTTTGATGCCCTTGTTGAATCTGTACTTCTCACCGAAAAAAGAACTTTCGCCTATTAACCTAACTCTAAAAGATTTATCCTATAATGTGTCATCACCTTTTTGAGTTGATTTGGTATTACCATGTACACACAGGTCAAATTTTGTAGCATGATTTACTTTCAATTCTCTGTTTGTGAGAGAATCTATTTATGCTTATTTTCCCAATGAAAGGATTTCCGACATGGTGGCCCTAAAACATGTACAGAGCTAAATTTCAAGATAAGCACTGGTAGTTTATATTGAAGCTACAGATTCTAGTATTGCATCATGAGAAATGCAAGAAATTATCTGCCTTGTTAATGCAATGGTTAGTTTAACTAAGCTGGCAGCACTGTTGCAAGTGTTTCTTTCTGCTTCAGTTCTTCAATCTTCAAATAAATGATCTCGTGCTGCTTTACTTTTCCTTCTAAACATTATGTACTTAGTACAATTGACACAATAACCTTTTTGAGCATTCGAACTCATTCTATGTGCACATATATATATGCAATAAATTAGTTTTCATTTTCTTAGTACTGTAGAAAATTCAGTAGATATAAACAGTGTCCGAGTTCTTTGGCTCTATTGCAACTTGGATATCATGAGTCATGATTCATGTCTAAAAATAGCCTTATCAATGAACCCAAATCTCCTAGATCCCAGATGGCTGGAGCCTCACTCACTATTCTGCCTTCTTTTAGGTCAAGTTGCCTACATGCTAACAAGACCCAAAGCTGCCTCAGCTAGGAGATTAGTACAAACCAGTTTTTATCGGCTGATGGTAAGTTTATAACCACTTTTCTAAGTGCCACATGCTTAACGTTTCCAAATTCAATGACTTTATTAAGACTGCATTGTTGTGTTAGATTTTCAATTTTCCAACGAAAACTCCATAGCATCGTTATCTAGTCCTAAAAGGTTCAGTATCATGCAATTCAAACAAGATAGTTGGAAAAGGTGGGGTAATATGTTGAAAGTTTATATCTCCTAGAGAAAACGGATATAACCTTTTGAATTAGGAAGTTCAAAGGAAAACAAAAGAAAAAATTCTTGCTAAATGGTTGTTATGAACTGGAGGTATTACAACTCGTATCAACCGATGCAGATCAAGTAGTATCACTCATCACATAAAAGATTTCTCCTCATGTAGCATTGAATGGTTGCTCAGTTCAAGACTTTTGCAAAGTCTCTTCTTTTTGTTAGTGAGCTAAACCTGTCTTTTCTTTTTTATTAAAAGCCATTTATACGAGGTGACCATTTTGCTATTAGAGGTGATAATCACAATTGTGATCTAGAAAGAATTAGAACTGTGTCCGGCTCAGTTCTGAACTAACTTGTTCAAGGTTTTATCCTGAGTGCCATGCTAAGCTTGTTAAACATGCCAAGAATGTATGTCCAGTCAAAATTAGAAATAAACTCAAGTCAAAGCCTCATCCCGATTTGGTGGTGAGCAGCTGGAGTAAGATCGATCGCTTAGCCCAATGCTTTACCCACCATGTATATTACTACATTTTCACTCTCCTTGAGTCCTAAAGCTATTAATTCCAATGAGATTTCATTCATGATAAAAGGACACATTGATGTTAGAACTTGGGCTTTCCCGATCTTGATGCCTGTAGAAGTGATTATATCATAATTCTTTTTGCTAATTTTTAGATCCTAATGATGTTTGTTTACTGCAAGAACTTAAGCCGTAGAAGACCGAAGATGCACCAGCGCAGGGAGATCTCTTGGACCCTAGTCATGAGGCAAAGTCAAAAATTGCCCTGGTGGAGATTGCTGATAGCCGCCTGTATGCCTCGATTTCTATGCAGGTTCTTCATGGTTTCAAGATCACATCAGAAAACCCGATGGCTGCATTCTATGAAAGAACACCCTCTCGCACTTTGACACCACTGGAAAACGTGTTCGATTCAGATGCAGAGGGCACCAGACTCCGGTGACTCAAAGGGATCCACTTTCTCCCGGGAGGTATGTTCAGCTAAGAATTTCCACACTGATTGATGCTTCCTTTTCATGCCCATGCGTTAAACTAATTTCTCTATCTTGGATTCTCTGTGTTTGCTTAAACACACATCATTTATAGGAATGCTTCCAAAGAAACAAAGTCTTGAAAGCAAAGAGAGAAGCATATTGCTTTCCTTCCACTGGGGAAATAAACAACGAGAGAGAGTGGAAGAACAGGTCCACACGTCGTTGCAGAGTGGGTATAGGATCGCAGTCATGCTCGATACACGAGACCGGTGGCCAGCCAACCCTGGGTGGTGGAGTAGTAGCTTGTACGTGAAAGTAAGTCTTTAATCTTCCATCATTTGTGGGTACGTACATGATTGCCACTAATTTGTTTGTGTTGCCGAATTCTAACATAAAACATATATTTTTCATCAAACCTTTGGCTCCTCATAATATATATATATATATATATATATATATATATATATATATATATATATATATATAAAACCAGTGATTTCTGATTTATTTTAAATCGGATTTTTCATTCGAGCATGATTCGTCTTTATTTCTCGAGAAAATTGAAGTGCGATTTGAAAGTGTTTTCATGTTTCGATGACTCTTAACAGCGAAACAGGAAATTTTTGTTTTTTGTTTTCGGATGACCAACGAATAAAGAAGCAGAAGGGGACCCGATTGGATCCGCAACATTCTAGTAGGCATTAACTGCGGAGTGTGTAGGCTGGTACGATCGACTCAACCACAAACAGCGGATTAAGTTCACAATCTACGGTCCTGGTGTCATAATGGAGGTGGGTCCGCTGGTAAATGAACGTTCCAAATTTAACCTTCTCGCTGCTCGAAGAAAACTCGGCTTCTTTGGCTCCAAATGGCGAATACATAGCGGAAAGACTCCAGCGAAGAAGAAGAAGAAGAAGGGAGTCTTCGGTCGTCGGCGCTCCTTGTTCTGGACTTCGGACACCATGCCGACCATCAGATACCGGATAAGGAACGAGTATGGATTGGGGGCCTCGGAGCTCTATGGAGCTGCGGACAAGAATGACCCGGAAGCACTTCTTGAAGGCGTCGCCGCGGCTGGACTAGTCGGCCTCTTGAGGCAGCTCGGCGATCTCGCAGAGTACGTTTCTTCCTGTTATTCTCCATGCATTCTCGTTCTGAGGCCAGGCATTGTTGATTGGACCATGTCATTTGCCCCTTGTTCCTTTCTCTGGGTGGGTTCCGTAGGTAAATGAGAAGTGAAAGACCGCGTTTATGGATTTATCTTGTGCTTGTTTTCTGATTTTTTTTCCTTTTTCGTTTTCTTGAATTGCTTTATCGAAATGGTCGCGAATGATGTTTCCTTGGATAGTGCCCTTCCATGTTTTGCTTGCGGACAATACGGTTGACTCCATATCTATGCGTACTAACCCTTTGTTTTGTATCTCTTTCTTGTTTCCTTTGTATATTGCGGTAGAGATAAAGGGGCAATCAGAGACATGGTGGAATGTGTGCTTGGATCGCTTATGATCAATGTGTAATGGACATGAGAAGTGGATTTCCAATCTATGCCTTCGAGTTAGATCGTTTTGGTATTTTGTCATAAATAAGTCAATGAGTCGAGTTGCTGGAATAGAAGAACAAGGAGCAATTCAATATATTTGTTATTTTTGAAATATGAATGATGGTGAATGAACTACTTGAGTAAATATGCGAGGTGTAATTTGTACTAAGGTTTTAAGACTATTCGTTATAAGGTGTAATACACAAGGAAAATTGGTGTCTTAACAGTGGTCGATGACTAAAGAACATGATTAATTACCCACAAAATCCTAGTTATTCAAATTGCTTAGCTTCTTCTTTTATCCTACGATATTTACATTGCAGGATAGCATGGATACTACAATTTTTTTCTTTAACTCAAGTCTACAGTGGTGACTTTTTGCAGGAATTTCTTAATTTTGAAAAGCTGATTATATTGAATACTTAAACCATTACCAGAACTCTGCATTCTGTTCAGTGAAGACATAATTACCTTGGTTTCATCAATGCCATAGGAAACACAAAGATTCAACAATTTTACTATACATTATATAATTTGGATCATTTTCAGATGAAATTTGTCACGACATCTTCTTAAAAAACTTTTTTGCCAATATGTGATGCTAAAGAACCTCTCTTAATCTGGATAGGTTTATGTCACTCAGTGCAATTGCTTAGCTCTGGGCACAGAATGTAAATTTGCAGATTCGATCTCCTTCTTACTGCATACATATTCACAACATTGTGACATGTACAGTTTTTCCCTACAGATTTGCTGCAGAGGTATTCCACAATTTGTATGAAGAAGTGATAAACACTGCTTCTAGAGGGCATAAATTGTTACTTCAAGTCCAACAGCTAGAGACGGATCTAAAATCAATTGGCTTTTCATCTGAGAGTGCCTCTTCGTGTTTGTCTTACAAGCAAGGTTAATTTTGACTTTATGTTTTTTGAAGTTCTAATGTGGACAAAGTAAAATGCAGTCTTTCATTTCTATATGAAGATTTGAACAATGTACCTAAAATCCATCCTAAACAATTTACTTTCCAATTTCTTGAGTCATTGTTTGTCAATGTTTTGCCCACCTCTGACACCATATAAAAACACCAAAGGTTTAAAATATTAGCACAGGTTTCTAAATTTAGCCACAAATCTCACTTTTTGCTTGATATAAGCTCCATTGTTCAGAAGGTATTGCACTTTATCTGCTGCATATCATACATGTGCTAAACATGCTTCCAAGACATTTTTAAATCATTTTGTTATATTTAAGCTTGGCAGCTTTGGACAATGCAACTTGTTGATTATCATCTGCAATGATTTTTCATAAACATAGCATGTCATTATTTAGTTGCCATGTATATTTATTCTGAAACTTTATGTAATCATGCCAAAGTGCTGATTACATTCGCAAACTGCTGATGTCGCCCTATTGTCACGGACTTAGCTGGTTTTTCCTAAGTCATGCTGCACCCTTGCGTGTCCGTCCGCAAAGATCAGCCTCCCTGAAGCCTCCCATGATCTCTTAGAACCCACAAAAGAGAGAACGAGATAGAGAAAACGCCTCACTCGGGATCCACAAGCAAACATCTCCGAAAACACTTCATAGACAATGCAAATTACAAACAAACTTTACAAGCTCTGAACAGTTGCACAACAAAGGGTTAAAATGGTCCATTACAGACCGAGAATCTCTCACAAGTATCCACATGACACAACCTTTATTTACAAGCCTAAAGCGGTCATCAAACCCAGCTAAAATGGGACTATTAAGTCTTCGGCTGTCCCTCTACATGCTAGGCAAAGAATGAACATACCAAAAGATACGGACATACATAAGCATTACATCGAACATCCTGTTTAGAAGTTTGTCCGTGACACTATGTAACACATTATCCTGGGAGTTCATGCCATGACTGCTGAGTGAAAGGAATATGATTTACGTTTGTAGCAACTGTCGACTTGAGTAAATCTGCATTGAGGTTAAACATCAACTGAAATTTATTTAAGTTGCAAGTAACTTTTATACATATAAAACAATAATTTTGAAGCTCCTGTAGTGAACTCATAGATTCATAAAACAAAACTAGCCTTTAATTTCAGAAGACACCAGATGATTAGTACAATATCTTATCATTTTGCAGGTATTGATTGGCACTGTAATCTCCAAATAGACCATAATATAATTACTCCCGGAGATATGCCTCACTTCATCATGGAAACATACAGAGAATGTCGTGGTCCGCCACAGTTCTTTAAGCTAGACAAGTATGGTATTATTCTAGTTATTTGTTTATCCAATGTGAAAGTGCATTATTTATAAACTACTACTTCCTTGCCTCCGCAGATATGATCTTGCTGGTGCTGGAGCATGTTTGAAGAGATATACTGATCCATCTTTTTTTAGAATTGAGTTGGCCTCCAGACTGGTGGAAGACAATGCTCAATCAGAAAAAAGAGCTTGCAAAATAAAGGTGAGCAATCAAGAAAACTTTCATAATGGCTTGTGAAGAATGATACTCCGTTGCACTCTCTTTAAGGTAGGGTATAATTTTTCATGTAGATTCTCCTTATAGTTCATAGAAAATGAACATACAAACAATGAGCCAATGTCGTGATGTTAACTTTGACTTTGTCCAGATTATAACTTTAATGGTGGTTGTTCTTAAACTCAACCCCTATCCATGTATTTGTATTCAGTATTGTGTCATATAGAATGAAATTTTGGTATTTATTAAGAATAAAATCATTTCACAATAATTTCCTTAGAGAATTACCCAATTTGAATTGATCAAAGAAACAAAATAATACCATAGGTCGACCTTACATATCCCACAAAATTAATAAACAGCAGAGATAGTGTTTGCGTTTGTGTTAACCAGTAAAAGACCAAATTAACTGTTTCCATCGTCATGAAGAGAAGTTAAATTCTGCAAACATCTATGTTATGTTACTTTCATGGTCCTCAGAGGCATTATGTTTATTGTCATGGTATCGTATTTTGGAATTTTTTTAATTATATACTTGATCTGATCCAAGTTTTACATAGTTTAATCAAGAATTATATTATCTTCATATTCACTACTCACTTATTATAGCCAGCCTCTCTGCCTTATTCTGGCAACAAAATCAGCATTAAGTGACAAAGAATTGATATATGTCCAGAAACTGTTGATTACAAGTTTAGTTACAGCTTAATAATTTATACTTTCATCTGTAAATCCATCCCAACGGTGATTTTAGTAAACTCTTGTTATTGTGTCTAATTTTCTACGTAAGCACAATAAGCTTCAACTTGACATTATATCCAATCTTCTGATGCAGAATTGTTCTTGTAGACTTTTCTCTGCTTTGGTAAGATCTTTTATCAGTGAAACTTATTGTCTTCATTCAAAAACTAAGGAAAAAAATACCACTTTTTCTCTATTCAGAAGAAGGTATCATACTCCTTTAATGGTGAATCACCTGAACCTTTTGTGATGCCTTGCATTGATTCCAGGTATTTGTCTTTATTTCCTGAACCCTTCATAGAACTATTCATCATCCAAGGTTCTTTCTTTTGGTATAACTTGATTGTTGTATATAGATTGCAGCCTGCTATTTGTGACCAATCTTTTGTTAAAGTACATTTGGAACATGTCAAGTTGAAACCAAGACAGCTGAATGAATCAGTTATCCATAGATTAAAAAATTACTTGGAGGATCATATCGATTTTCATCGAGTAGTGCAGCAGTTGCTTTCTCAATCATCTGTAAACCAATCTGTCATGATGAAATCTACTGACTCGGGTGAATCTGTTACTGAGGTGCATAAAATGGTAGCTGATGCATCTTACGACATAGAGAAAAACTGGAACCCATCTACTTCCAAGCAGGAAATGACAACTGCAAGTGACTTGGAGAAGCAGGAAACAGAAAGGAAGGGCTTATCAGGCAAAGAGTCTGAACCAGCTAGTGAACTAGGAATAGAGCATCCTATCTATTCCGTGATGGAGGATAAGCGAAAATTTTCCAAGAGTGGAAAGAGAACTGAACGCCATTCATATGACTCTCAGGAAGTGAACTCAAATATTTTACCTGCTCAGGAATTCATTCAAAATGGATTTTCACCTGATGCTGAATGCAGATCAGAAAACAGTTCTGATGGCTATCTTTCTGATGAGATTTCTAGTGAGTTGGATAATTACATGGATGCACTTACTACCGTAGAATCAAATAGAGAAACAGATATTGAGAATCTGGGTAAACTGGATTCAGTTTTAAATAGCATTGAATCTCGAGAAACAGATTCTGATACTAATGAGGAACAGGAAGAGTTGAAAGCTCAATATCTTGAACAATATTCTATCGAAAACTCTACTTCGTCGCCAGGTTTCAGCACAATATTCAGGAAAGGATCTGCAAATCCTTCCTTCTCAGATACTTTAGGTCACTTAGCTGCACAGTTGCTAGAAGAGAATAAGAATGACTCTGGTTTTCCTTTGGATTCAGATGTGGGCCTAGGTGAAACTAATGAAATCCATTTTGATCAGCCGTATGATAAGCAGGTAACATGTGAATTTTCAGACCATTTACTTATAAGCGGAGCATGTGATGTCATGACATTAGATAATCCTACCTCTGCTGTACATGGAGAAGCATATCCTAGTTTGTGTACCACAGACTCAACTCTCACGATCTCATTGGTTACTGTGGGTATGAATGAGACAACTCCTCTTGAGAAAGTACCTGACCAAGTTGTCATCCATTTGGACGGGGAGTTACAGTGCATAAAAAAGAACTCTGAACTTTCTTCTCAAGAAAGAAGTAACATGATACACAGAGAGCTTGCTAAAAACCCTGATGTTGTGTCTGATTCTCTACACCATATGATGGACCAAAATCTCTCAAGGAAAGATGATAATACTAAAGAAATTGATTCTGACAATTCTATTAAGGAGCAAAGTTCACATGACATAGCGAGCACCAAAAATGGGACTGTGCTTCATTCACAGAAACAACATGAAACCACTCTCGAAAGAGGTATCACAGGTATTGAAGTTTCACCTGCTTCATTTAGTATGAATGGTGTGAAATTTCTGGAGTTAGCAAAACAAGATCAAGGAGCTTGTTTCCTTGTGAAGCCTGTTATATTGGATCCAGAATCAGGAAATGTCATTACAAGTGATGATGGTTTATCATCTTCAAAATCAGTACTAATTCTCAAACATGTTGATGCTTTGACTACAGGAAAAACACCTATTTCTATCATGTCACACTTTGAGAAGGATACTCTGTATGGCACAGATAAATCTCAGCAGAGCTGCACTGGAGAAGAAGCGTTTCCTGATAACATGCATTTCCTGTCTGGTAAGTTAAAGAATGATATGATGCAGGGATCAATGCATACTGTTGATCTCAGGGTTGTGCCTCATAAATCAACAATGTCAGACACACAGAAGAATGTGGAGAACATTAAATCATGTAATGGTAACACATCATGTCAGAATGATGTTGCTCATATCTACAATGAGAATGGTGATCAATCAATTTGTTCTCCAGATGTTTGTAGCTTCAATTTAGAGTTGCAGCAACAAGTGGTTGCTGATGGCGCATATCTAGGTGAGAGAACCCATAAAATCATTGAACAAACTTGTTCAGAGGATGCAACACAGTTGGATTATTCGAGTTCTACATACATCTGTACCTCTTCAGATAAACAAGCTTCGTCTTCTCCATCTTTAATTCCAGCAGAAACATTTGGGACTAAAATTAGTTCCAGTTTAGAACCTCTGCAAAAGTCTTCTCCTGAGAATTTAAAGGAGATCATTCCAGAAATTGTCCTTGTAAAGACTGCAGAAACATTTGAATTTTTTGGAAAAGAATCGAGCAGGGATCCTGACAACGTCTCTCTCATCCAAGATGAACAGCAGCTTAAGTCTTCTGCTCCTCATTCTGTTGAAGATTCATCTGCCAAACAAAGAAGTACTGGTATTTACTCAACTGAACTTGCTGACAAGAAGATCCCTGTGGATTCATCAGAAAGTGAATGCCCTATTGATTCAAAAGCATCTATATTGTGTCCCGCCAAGAGTTCAAATGATTACATGGTACTTGCTGAGCCTTCAGGACTATCTCAAAATGTGTCCGAATCACAAGGTGATGGTGAGCTAAACTTGATTTTGTTACAACAAAACTGTAAGCATCTTGAACCTTTTGAAGAAATCTCATCAACTGAAAATGAACTGCTGTATGTTGCACACAATCCACGAGAATCAGTTCCCCATATCAATGACAGTGATGTTAGTTTTAGCGAACCTAACATTCCTTCATCAAAGGAGATCATATCAGGTCGACTTTATCGTGAAGGATTTTTTCTATTTCAATGCAATTGTATAGCTGATACAATACCACAACAAGCTTCTGAACAACAGCCAGAATTAGCTTCTGGTTCACCACTTCTAGAGAATTGTGCTACATCAGAAAATACTGAAGCCATATCACAAATTGCTCATCTACCACCAATACCATGGGGATTGACGAAGCCTCCACTGATTTCTCTTGTGTCCAGTAGGAATGTGGCACAACCACCAAGTGGATCAAATCTTGCCATATCATCAATATCTGCTGTTCAGAATGAACCTTCACAAAAGCTTCTAGCTACAGGGATTGAAATAGCAGAGTCAGATTATGTTGTGCGGTCTCAGAAATCATGTAAAGTACCAGCAAGTGTCAAGGAGAGCTATGAACATGATACCTTAGACTCAGATGGAAAAATCACGAGGCCAGCTTTAGAGTCACTACTTGAAGAGGACAAGCAGGTATATGACCACAATGCTACTGGAGAAGGTATCTGGAAGTCAACAGAAGTGCCATCAACTGGGGAAAATAAAAGCTCTCAAGATGTTCCTGTGTTACCAAGTGATGAAACACAACATTCAAAATTGTCGGAGGTAACACCATGTTTGAATGAGAAAACTCAAGATTTAGATTCAAGTAGATCTCAGAATGGGGCTGCAAATTCAGATAGAAAGTCCCCCATCCCATTTATAGTAGCTTCAGCTGTTGAGGTGCACAAATTCATCCATGAAGTTACTGGTTCTGCTGTACCCCCAAGGCTTCCACCACTGCCCATGACAAAATTTAAGAACCCTAGACATGGATTTCTTTCTACAGAAGAAAAAAGTTCATCCACTGTACATGATTCAACCACAGAGACTTCAGAGAACGAGAAACCAACAACAAAAATTCACCCAGCTATCCATAGGCCTAATGACCCCCTGATTGAGGCAATTGTATCTCATGATAGAAGCAAGGTGCATAATTTATCTTCTACGAAGTGCTTTAAGAAACATTTGGTTTTTTTTCTAGGAGAACAACTTTGTTGATAAGTTTACGGTTGAGGAAAGAGCTCTGACATAGAAATTTGTTATGATGTCTACTTTAAACTGATGATTGCAGTTGAGGAAGGCACATGAGCTAATTCGTTCTTCAGCCATGCCAAAATCTGATGAAACAGGGTCATTTCTTGAGCAGATAAGAAACAAGGTTGGTGTGTCATAATTCAAACAAGGCAAAATGTCTTCAATCATCACCTACTGATGAACTCTACTTTTTCAGTCCTTCAGCCTGAAACCAACAGTAGCACCGGCAGTTAGGTTCAAGGGTGGCCCTCCAAGAAACCTAAAGGTTATCGCCATTTTGGAGAAAGCAAATGCAATCCGTCAGGTTTGTGTATTAGTCTGCTGTTTCGTATGATCCCTCTTTCTTGAAATCTCATTCTCTCCTAAATTACTTCTCGATACAGGCATGTGCTGGAAGTGATGAAGATGACGACGATGACAATGATGAAGATAGCTGGAGTGATTCATAAGAATCACCGATGAAAATATCAAATGGATTAACTTTGCTGTTTATCGAATATCGCCTATTGAGATACAGTGAAAGAATGAATGGATTTTGCTCAAAGATGGGAATCAAGTTCACATCTGCAATGTACATGATGTGGGATTTTCTTCTACTTGTATGATCTTTTTTGTTAAAAGAAAATGTATCTTATGATGAGGTCATTGTTGGTTGTAAAAGTTTGTAAGAGAGATGTAATTTGTGTCCCTTCAAAGTTAAAAGAGTTGTTTTTCTCTGTCTTCCCCTAAAATTAAGTGTAGCATAAATAATTAGTCATTTTTGTATTTCTTCCTCTAAAATTAAGTTTCACATTTATATATCCCTGCAAATATTAAAAATTCAGAAATATGTAACTACAGTTAATGTTCATCAATTTTATCATTAATATAATGATGTGGAGGCTTTATTTTACATTAGCATTCCTTCAGAAATATGTTATTATAGATGCTTGTTAAAAGAAAATTGTTGCATCCAATTTATGGGTTCCTACAAAACATGTGACTCTCCAACTCTTCAATTGCTCTTAGATTATTGTAACCTTATCAATGATAAAAAAATATTTAATTTTTAATATTTTAAAGGTATTGATAATTATGACTTATAATAGTTATTATAAGTTTATTGAATTAATACTAATGGGATGATACTAAAATATAAGAAGGATTTAGACATGTATATATACTTCTGTATACTTCAATGGAGAGATTTATGCTAAATTAGAATTTGTAGAGGGAAATATATTTAGATTCATGCTATAATGATCCCCCGAGTAGAGCAGCGGTTAGCGAACCGAGTACTCTTCTTACCTCATCAACCTGCAGGCGATCTGGATCAGACGGTTGTAAATTTCCGGGCCCATATAAGGCGCCCAATAGCGTTAGATGCAGACCTAAGTGGCCTGTATCGCGTGATCTGCGGTGCGTGTAAGCAACACCTCACCTCCCTCTGCGCTTCCAAGTGCGTTCGCGACTCCACTTCCCCTATAAAATATGATGGATGTAACCTTAGCTCTTTCTTTTGGCTTTCTTCTTCGTCGTCGTCGTCTACGGATTCTTCCATTTTATGGACAAACGCCTCCTATCGACGAAGTATATAGGGAGATACGGCCGTGTCGCCGCCGAGACGATCCGAAGAGCCAAGGTCGCGAAGCCCGCCCTCAAATCGCTGGCTCCGGGCAACGTGGAGTCTGCCGCCGCCGCCGCCTCCTCCAGAGGCACCGGCCGGGGGATGGACGAAGGGGAGCGGCTGGAGAGCCGCGTCCCCCTGAGGGACGTGGTGGCCGACTGCACCCGCCGGTGGTTCCAGGACGCGCTCAAGGAGGCGAGGGCCGGGGATGCCGCTATGCAGGTCCTTGTTGGTCAGATGTACCATAACGGTTATGGAATCGCGAAGAACGAGCAAAAGGTGAGGGTTCTCGATGTCGTTTTGTGTTCTCGAAGCATGATTTGTAGCACGCCGGAGTTTCTTGAGATGTAGGTTTGTTAATTTAGGGTAACTCGTTGGTCTCGGCTACAAAGTCGCATATTTAGGGTTCTCTTTTTGATTTATAGGAACTTGGTGGTCGGGGGTTCGATCGTGGACCGTACCTAATAGCATAAGAGAGAAGATATGTGAAGATATGCTTTTGAATTCTTAGAGAAAAAGGAAATATGCTTTTAATTATTGTGTATTTTGGGTTGTCTGAACCCACAGGCAACTGATAACGCACAAAAGATGATCGAAGATTGTGTGAGGCAGCTTTGAAATAGAGGAAATTGTAGAGGCATCTGCATCTCGATATGTTGGTTGATCGATTTCTGCCTGATCATAGTCTTTTGGCTGTTTGATCCAACAAACTAAATCTTAGTTGCTAGGATATCCGAAAGAGAAGCTTGAGTCTCTTGGAAACCACTAGCAAATACTGTTAATTTTGGTTTTTTATTCATATCACATACTGGTGATGCAATCATATGACAGCCTACGCATGTGGCCTCACAGAACACATTTAGAACTTTGAGACTGTTTGACGTAGTGATAGCCTCAAAAAATGGAGTTCAGCTTTCTTGCATACCCTTCTTTAATAAGTTGACTGATTGTATCTCTTTAGATGAAATACTATAGGTAATATAATACACCTGAAGATGTTCACCATGATATTCTGGATCTACTTTGACAGGATTAGTCCAGACTTCAGAGGTTGATTTTTCAAAAATCACGTTTTTTCGTTTGGATTTTAGCAAATATGAATGTAAGGGAAAGAAATCGTAGTCTAATTACACTATGATCAAAGTTTCTCCACATGATGTGCTGAATTTATAGAGCAATACTATGTTGTTACAAGTGCCGTGGACATGACTTTAAGGTCCAAACTTGTGGAGGTAGAGATCTATATTGAGGGAGTCAGAATCATGTTTGTGGTTTGGAAAGCCTATATACAAGTTTAGATGTTGGGTATCTATCATTGAGACCTTTTTTTGGAACTATTCCAGGAGACTTTTATTTTTTTTCATCACTTGATGCTTGGACGTTAGTGCATTTCTGGACTGTCCAGGAGACTCGTGACTTTGAATGGACAAACAATCATGCCATCAGTATCCAAGTTTTGAAACTTCTGTGCTGCAGCTGCTCTTTAGGTGAAAATGAATTACCCATGAAAAATTTTAGGGTGATGTCAACCTCTCTAATACCTGATGTGGGCCAAATATGCGCAGGGACTCGGTCAGGTTCAAAACAGCAGATCTTTGTGAGCGACCAAATAACCCTGAAAAAAAAGGCCTTTGTGAGAGACTGAATAACTCTGATTTTTTTTTCCAGGGTTGATTATGTCCACTCAAATAGATTTTTTTAAAGTTGTAAGTCAACATGACTTGTGTGCTAAGTCCAATTAACCCTTTGAGGCAATTGTCTAACTTGTCAACTAGATAGATTTAGAAATATGTATGTGCAATTATGAGAAACAATTCTTTTAAAGATTGTAAAATCCTTACAAAGTTCCGTCAAATTTTAAAAGTTTTATAACTAGATATGACTTTTTTATAAAAAAAAATTGTTGAAACGAATGTTCAAGAAACACATTTGTGAAATTCCTTATGTGGATCTGTTTTTTCAGGCACATGCATGGATCACAAAAGCATCCAACTATCGTTCATCAGTTTGGAAGGTTAGTGACAAGCGTCCAGGTAATGTTCCACATGTTTTTCCTCCCTTTTCTTTTTTTGGTACAGACATGCTAGAAAGTTTGGGGTCTGTGCATGTGTGTGTGTGTGTGTTTTTGTGACATATTTTTGCTGTAGTAGCTTTCATAAACTATAATCTTCCTTGTCTTTGTTTGAATGTATTGTTATTTTTGATAGGTTACAATGCCAGTGACTCAGATTCCGAGGAGGAGAAGATTAACATTAAATCATGATCAAAGAAACTTGAATTTGAAGAAAGCATTTTAAAGTAAGTTATGTATGTCTATTTTCATATCATTATTGAAGCTGAGCTTCTAGTTGGATTGATGTTCTATTGGGTTCAAGGGGTAAAGCGATCAGTGACCAGGACTAAAATGTTATTTCATGTTTATTGTAGAAATAAAGTATACTAGATGTGTGAGGAGGAAAAATGACAAAATTGATGCTTGAATGAGTTTTGATTGATAATTCATAAACATGTCTAGCCACTTTTAGAGGTGGAGTTCCAAGTTTCTGTGTGCTTCATTCTTTTCTAATAAATTATTAATTTTTTACACATAACCAGCATTACGAGCTTAAGTCTTTCTTTTGGATGCCTTGAGGTCGATGAGGCAGTCCACATATTGGATCTAATAGCAAAGAGACCAAAACATCAAGACTGTGAAAAACGGGTTCAGATAGAATTGGTAGGCAAGCTCTCATGACAAGTTATTAGTACTCGTGATGTGTATGATTTTGGGTTGAGATGATAGTGGCAGGAAGAATCTTAGTTTCTCCAGAAATTTTTGTGCTTGTGCTTGTTATGATTGGAAGTCTCAAATAATTTGAATGTTCCAGAGCATGTTTTAATATATGTTTTTTCACCCTTTTTTCTGTAATTTGATTGTTTGGTGAAGTTGTGTTTAGTTTCAAATTATAATTACTGGGGTTTTTGTGTCCTTCCTACAAATTTCTTTGGGCATGTATGTCTGAGTTGGATACCTGAGTATGTGATTACGAGTTAGACACTCGTCGATCTCTTTGGTTATGTACTTTAAATAGCAAGAAAGAGGACTTCTTTTTGCTTCTTGATGCTTCTTATAGGCAAATGATCTCGAATTTTTGCATTTTAAGAACATAGGTCATATCATTCGGAATCTGCTATAGTAATATTTCTCATGCTTGTTGTTGTTGTTGTATGCTCGTTGCCCCTCTCCTTTTGTCTCCATGCTACATTGCTCACCCACACATGTGGCTATTCCATTCTCATGTTTCTCTACATTCAACAGACTTGTTGCCCCTCTCCTTTTGTCTCCTGGCTACATTGCTCGCCCACACATGGCTATTCCATTCTCATGTTTCTCTACATTCAACATACTTGATGCCTCAATGGTCCCACGGCGAGGAAGTGATGGGTTCATAATATCCATGAATAGATAACCTAGCAAATTTTTGCAACTTTTGGGCTGTACAGGGTTCATATCATTTGTATCGTGTCGAGACATATGTGCTGACAATTTGCTGAAATATATCTTGCTGCTGACACTAATATATAACGATAGTTACATACTGGATCTCACTTTGCAGCCTTTAGGAGGTGGGATATAACGACTGTATGACAACATATTAATTGACTAGATTTATTGAAGTTTGTTATATATTAAGTGTAGTTCCTAACTCTCATATTTCGTTTGTTCTGCTTGCTTCTTGTCAATAGCTAATCCACATCCATTGGCTGTGTCTTCTCAGTTGGCATGCTTATGGCTAAGTCAGGTGTGCGCCGATCACAATAATCATCGGGATTTGTTGGAACCTTGTGCAAACCCATAATCAGTGCTTCAACATCTGCTCATTGTCTTTCTTGCCTGTATCACTTTTTGGTTTCCAGGAACTGTATGATCATATTGTATGTACTTTGTTCTTCAAGTTTCAGAATTCCTCCATGGCTTTTATTTAGGTCATGACATTTTTAAAGGAGTTTTATGTGGACATACTGACCTGTTTAAATGTGTGATTCTTTTTTTTTTTGTATCAGTCGAGCCTTTTTAGTATTTTGAGAGGTCTCCCCTTAATCATACCCGACAACAGGTGTGGCTCAAGTCATCACCCACAGGCTAAGGAGGCCACACCTCAAGCACAATTTGCATCTGGACATGTGTGTAGCTCTCATTATAATTGCATTGAGACGAGCATCCAGGAAGCTTGAATGCTACATTGAAAGCTCCAAGAGAAGTCCAAGCTGCAACTATTGCATGCTTCCAGTGGACTTTGGTGGTGTGGGGAGAAATCTCATGTCAAGCTCGGTATTTGGATGGAGACTCAAAGTCAATACGCAGATTACGAAGGTTTCATGCACTTTCAACTATGATTTCAACTTCAGGATATTGTGGCCAGAGTTGTTCATGTCATGGAATTGTTGCAGCTGAATCCAGTGGTAAAACACAAAGATTGGTAGGGGTTGGTAAAACACAATAGTTAAGAGATCTAACTCGAGAAATTGCTTCGTTGACACGAGATAGAGGATGAATGTGTGAATTGACCGTCGAGAGAATCGACGAGAGTCTTTGCTCGAGTACCCAAATTCAAAGCACGAACAGTTCATGCATCAGAAGAAGAATATTATTTGTGTTCCTCGTGAACATTGCATGAATAGATTATAGCACCAAATTAAATTGCGTAGAATGACATCGAACCGATCGAACGTTATCTTCAGCACAGCACTCGACTGCCAACCATTTCACGTAATCCGAGAGATCAAACTAAGGTCACGTTCTAGATGAACACGGAACCATCTCACGTAGTCCAAGCGTCAACGAGACGCCCTCTCCATCCCCTTCCTCATCATCTGCTCGCTCTGTCTTCTTTCTCCACGTCATCATCTCCATGTATTCCAGACACCACTACATGGCACAAAAGAGCTGGTCGGTTCCCGTCGACGTCGTTTGCCAAAAAGGCCACGTTGACACAGCCAGAAGGCACTCGTCTTTGCACTCTTCTCATCACCAGCAGCTCGCTCCAACAACGACAGTAAGATGTTCATCATGGAAAGCCATGGCTTCACGTTCTTTGATCCGACATGAGCTCCCTCTCACTTATTTTCTCATCAACATATGCTTCATAAAGAAAATATATTAGGTTACACTATTCCTGATTGCGTGTAAGTGCAGATGCATGACTGCATCACGTTCCCCCGTTCGTCTTTTTCCTGCTGCAAGTGATGGGATAAGCATCGTCACATCATCATCCAACCCCTCCACTCGTTGTATTCCCTCGCCAAACCTTATCCTCCACCGCTCGCGTCTCCGTAGCAGGCAATCCATGAGAGAGAGAGAGAGAGAGAGAGAGAGAGAGAATAAAACTACTCCTCTATTGTTGATATTACTATCCTATAGTTTTGCTTGCAAGATTTATCTGTCTCTGTCTCCAAGACAACTTAAATAAGCAACTATATAAATATATATATTCGGTGAGGTTTATGCATTTCGAGACCGATCATAAGATTTATTATTATTATTATTATTATTTGGGGAGAATGGAGATGAGCTCGTATTGCAGCTCAGCTTTGTGGCATCGACACAGTCGCCGTGGCACGCAAGGAACTCCAGATGAAATGACGAGACTACCCTTGAAAAGGTTTCTAGAACCTTTGTGCTTTAATATTCGGACTAGAGGAGATGACGTAGCGCATCGGTAAGCTGTTGCGTCACATTTAAAACGTGGGTGGTTGGCGGTGGGAGCCATTAGTTTAATCGGATCACATCCCCGCTTGCTTGCACTCTAATTAACCTAATTTAACCTCGGGTTTTTGCTCTAAATCTTATCATTAGTCTGACATTATACATATAATATTAGTTAGTGTCTAATAATGAAATATAATGCGTAGTGGCTACGTAGAAGTATCGGTAGACGGCCGAGGGTACGGAGGACTTTTCAGCGATCATTGTGTTCCACGAAAATTAAAGCAGAGAACAAAAGACGTGGGGCCATGCCAAAGCCAAATCATCGTCCGTCTTCGAGGAAGCGTCTCTGCCTCCCACTCCTCCCCCGGCCGCCTCCGTGCCGGTCAAACGCACGAGCTTTGACCAGCTGCTGCTGCTTCTTCCCCTGCTTCTTCCTGGAAGCTACCCTCTGCTGTCATTTCGCCCCCGAACGTGTGCGTGCGTGCCACCTCTCTCTCTCTCTCTCTCTCTTCCTCTCTCTCTCTTTCTTAATCCATGCATGCGTAATAAACCTTCAACTACTCCCTCCCTCTCCTCCAATCGCCTTTAATTTTCCTGTCTACCTCTCCTCTTCTCCCTTCGTCACGTCTCCTCCCTTCCTCTCCTCCCACCCCTCCATGGCGTCACCCGCAGGCAGCTTCGATACCTCAGCCAATTCGACGCCCCCGGCGGCCTTCACCTTCTCGTCCCCCTACGCCTCCTTCTCCGATCTCCTCGCTGGCGGGGGGGGCGACGACGGCGGCGGCGGCGGGGGCCGGTCGTTGAGCAGGGACTTCGCGGGGACCGGTGGAGGCGGCGTGCCCAAGTTTAAGTCTGCGCCTCCTCCTTCGCTGCCTATCTCCCGGCCTCCCATATCTCCTTCCTCCTGCTTCGCCATCCCGGCCGGCCTCAGCCCTGCTGAGCTCTTAGACTCGCCGGTCCTCCTCTCCTCTGCTAACGTAAGTGAGCCAGTAATTCGCGTATTGAGCTTGACATGTTGACTAATTTCTTATCTTCATGATCTAAAAGAGTTCCGAAGATTGTCGGTCTCTTATCATCGATCTGATCGTTGTATGCAGTAGATCTAATGATGGATCTCATGCCGCCCTTTGTAAGAAACGAAGGCCTTGTTTGTTCCGATCTCTTTCGGCTACTCGTAGCTCTATTTTCCTTCGATTAGATCTTGTCCTGCTTCCGTGTTCATGCTTGCTTGACTTGATTTGCTCCAGTTTGATGCATGAGTTGTCCTACTGAGCGACTCGCTTGTTGTCCAACAGATCTTGGCATCTCCGACCACAGGGACTTTTCCGGCACAAGCTTTGAACTTGAGAATCGCCTCTGCTGCTTGTCGACCGGAGAACAAAGACGGAACCAGAGCCTCCTCTGATTTCTCGTTCCAAACCATCGCAAACCCCCGCAGCTTTCTGCCTGCTTTGGTACGTCTCCCAGCTCTTTCTAGGAATCACCTCGACTCCACCTTGTTCTTATAGCTAACACTGTTCCGGTTGCGTTTGATACGGAAGGGAGCCCTGAAAGGCCACGAGCCCTGGAAGCACCACGATGCCGGCAATCACGACTCCGGGTTGTCTTCCATGAGATCCAACATCAAGGTTGAAGCTGTTGCCCCAGTCCGAACAGATTCGTTCGAGATCCCAACTCTGCAGGCAAACTCTCAGGCCGGCCATGGCAGTGCGGTCCAAACGGATTACGGGCATTCCAATCAAGCTTCTCTGGCCCTCAAAGACCAGAGGAAGTTGGACGACGGATACAACTGGAGGAAGTATGGGCAGAAGCAGGTCAAAGGAAGCGAAAACCCGCGAAGCTATTACAAGTGTACGTACCCGAATTGCCCGACGAAGAAGAAGGTGGAGAGGTCTTTGGATGGACAGATCACTGAGATCGTGTACAAGGGAACGCACAACCACCCGAAGCCTCAGGCCAATAGGAGGAGCTCGTCGGCTGCTGCTCAAGCGATCCAGGGTCCCGTGCCTTCCGAAGCATCCGAGAACTCTTTCGGCGGGCGGTCAGGCACGCCATTGGATTCGGTTCCGACGCCCGATGATTCGTCGGTGTCTTTTGGCGACGACGACGTCGATATGAGCTCGCAGAGGAGTAATCAGGGAGGTGACGACTACGAGGAGGACGAGCCGGACGCCAAGCGATGGTAGGCTTCTGTTTCCGATGTGATCATGTGATGGACTGGGATGGTGTTTGTTGGATGATGATGGAAGCGAGCGCACGGCTCGTCGTTCTTGCAGGAAGGCGGAAGGTGAAAGCGAAGGGCTGTCGGCCGCTGGAAACAGGACCGTGCGGGAGCCCCGGGTGGTGGTTCAGACCCAGAGTGACATCGACATCCTTGACGACGGCTACCGGTGGAGAAAATACGGGCAGAAGGTGGTGAAGGGGAACCCAAATCCAAGGTGAGCGCTTACTTCATCATCCCATCGTAGAGCTGTTTCTTGGAAGCATTTCATCGAACACCAAAGACTCAACATCTGTTGGGATCGCAGGAGTTACTACAAATGCACCACCATGGGGTGTCCGGTGAGGAAACACGTGGAGAGGGCGTCGCACGATCTGAGGTCGGTGATCACGACATACGAAGGCAAGCACAACCATGATGTTCCGGCAGCTAGGGGAAGCGGCGGCGGCGGCGGCGGCGCGCACTTGCTCGCCAGGCCGCAGCCGGAGAACAACGGCATGGCTGCGGCGATACGCCCGTCGGTCATGGCCAACCATGCCAACCCTAACAATGTGTTCCGAGGAAGACCGGGTGCATCAGAGAGTCAGGCTCCATTTAAGCTAGAGATGTTGCAGAGCACGGGGAGCTATGGGTTCTCAGGCTATCAGAACTCCATGAATGCCTACATGAATCAGCAGCAGCAGCAGCAACAAGCGCAGATGTTCCCCAACAAAACCAAAGAAGAGCAAAAGGAGGACTCGTTTCTCGACTCACTGCTGTGTTGATACCCAAGGATGCGATGATACGGAGCACAGAGAGAGGGGTTTTAGTCACTACAGCTTGTAAATTCCATGAGGTTTTGGTTGCAAGTTCATAGTGATACTGGATTCCATTTGTTTATTTGTTTGGGGCCTTATCGGACATCAAAGTGGCCTCCTCTAGTCTTTGTTGTCATACTATCATGTAAATCAAAATATTAGTAGAATTGCATACTTTGTTGAAGCTAATATCTTGCAAGTCAAATTCAAAATTTTACGGAATTAGAACCTCACCAGAATCGTAATATAAATAATTTGGCAAAGACTTGACCTTGTGATTTCGAGGGCATACATATCGTGGTCACTGCCACAGCTGTCTCCCACGCACGTAGCTTTCCACAAGCATCATCCACTGTTCTCCCAGAAGATGACGAGTCTCGAGCAGCTGTTGGGCTGCAATCTCTCCCTTATCTGCAAACCAGAGAAAAGAAAAAGGACGTCAAAGATTTTTAGGCGGAGATGTGTCCACCACATGTCTCACCTTCAATTCCCTGTCAAGCCTGCCGAGTTGGTGACTCAGAAGAAGCTTCCGCCAATCACTACCATGGTGTGAGAGCTCTTTAAAATAGTCTGCTACTGCCAGGTCAAATAGAACCACCATCTTTTGCTTTTGTCTTCCACCAGTTTTTCCACCTACCATTAATCTAATCACTCCTTTTATCTCCAGTGCCGATCCCTCTGAATTATATTAACAAAAAGTCATCAGAAACAACATCATTAGATCCTAATCATAATCTCAAAACATCATTAGGGACAGCATCATGTAAGAGCAATGGCAAAAACCGGATCACCCAAGAATGACTTGGAACAAATTAAACCTGGCACACAAGTTTGAGACAACTGTACAAGGTCACATAAGAACAAAATTACAAAAAGAAGAAAATAATAGCTTCGTTCATGGTTTACATCATCATCATATGATAACTTAGACACGAGGGATTAAAGAATACTAGATGTAATTTTGTTTGGAGACTTTGAAGCCAGAGATGAGAGCAGATAAAGCAAGGGCTACGAAGGCTAAGAAGGCCATGCTGATGGCAGCTGCTGATGCATCCGTGAACATGTTGATAACAGCTTCTCGCATGTGATTTGTAATTGGAATGGCTGCGGAAGATGCGGACATCAGCAGGTACGCCATCACCTGTGACACCACAAGTTGTTTATTTGCTCAACCTCACAAACAATAGGGAATAAATTATATATATATATATATGAAGATATAATATAGTTCCTCCTGGCAACAGCCTGCAGGATTTCACCAATCCAAAATTACAAGCCAACATGACTACCATGGAGGATTCAAGTTTAGCTTGGCTTAGGTTATAAACAGAGCGTGACCAATACAGGGGTAGTTGAACGAACTTACTTTGGATAATGCACACTGTGAAATTGGAAGCACAAAAAAATTACAATGACGGCAATCCTTAAAAGGGAAACCGACAGAAATTTGTAGTGCCCAAGGAAAAAAAATCAGGCCAGAAAATTGAGACAACATAGAAATCAAAATGAAGGTTATCATCCATGTCAGCAATGGTTAACTCTAATTGTTGACCTTCTAGTTTATTGTTAAAAATTAACCAATGCTATATAAACATGTGACTTCCATTTTCACTTCTTGGATGAAAAGATAAACAATCCTACCCATATTGGTTACCATGGTAATTTTGGGCATGATAGTGTAAGGAATATGGTGCGGAAATGGAGAATTACAGGTTAGGTAATGGCCTGATAGTTCTCCAAATCTGACCTGTTGGAATTTCAACTTTTAAATGCTGGCTTAACTGATCCATAAGGTTTTGACGACATTCAGTTTGAGAAGGATTCTGGAGCAACTCATGCTAGGAGAAGTTTGTTTCTTCACTGTATTCATACAAAGCTATGTGAGCTAGCAGTTTAATACATTGGGTTCCAAATCTTCATATGAATTTGACGTAACATCATACTCATCCATGGTGATAAAAACAGCTTTTAAGACCAAAGACTGATGATTAAACATAACATGTACCTGAAGGCTAAACAAAAAACTGATATAAGGGATTAATCAGATATCCCCAAAATGCCAAAAAAAATTTGCACTTGATCAAAATAAATATCTTTCTTCATTTCCGAAAAATCTCCCAAGTCTTCCCATCCATCTCTTAAATACTTTTTTTTCTAGAACTTTTTCACCATGATTCTACAATTACGACATTCATTAAAGAAGATTAGAGATCTGCACATAATGAATAAATATATGCCGATTCCCCTTTTGAACAACTAAAACAGTTCCACTTTATTAAGTTACCTGATCCTACCTTGCTGCTATCCACCTATGTCAAAAGTTTTTCACTTAATAAAACAATTAAGTTGTGATAACACAAATGACCATGTTAGGAGTGCACAAGCAACTGAAAGAAATCGGCCACTCTCCCTGAATCCAATTAAGTTGTGGTAAACGGCTGTTTGCTATTTATATTACACTATGCTTCTCTCTTGTTCTAGAAAACAGATAAAGAACAGTATAACATGCTTGAAACTGTTAAATCATTACAATGAAATGGATGCACTATGTTAAACCAAATCAGCTTGAATGATTCTAATCAAGAAATTCCCACTTATGTTGTCAGTAACAACGGCCAAGGACCACTAAATAACTGAACATGTGAGCAATGGGGAGCATATTTGTGTGCAATCATATTTAGGGGTGGTAGTGGATCATGTTGGTCCAGGTTCAGATGAGGTTGAGATGTGCATGGAGAATCTAATTGCCACTTTAACATACTCCTAATTGCCTGTAGGACTTCCACAATTACAATAAAAAAAATTCCTCTTAGAAAGGAAAAAGAAAAACTATCTGGCGTAACTTTAATGAATTACAGCCACTTTTAAATTCAAGTTAACTCAACTATAGTAAACCTAGAGCTGAATTTGATCCCGATCTAACATGTTAATGATCTAAAGTGACCTGAGAAGCACCACAGCACCAACTTTCTAAAAAGGGTGTCACTCTTCCACAGTAGGTAGGTTTTGGTGAGCACTACAAGTATTAATATCACAAGCAAAGAAGTCACTACCAGAAAGAAAAGAAAGAGTATGGTCTTGATCTGATATTATACAGCTGACACAAAACCCAGAAGTAGGTAAACTCTACTGCCTCATGTACTATAAAGATGTGATGGACCATGGTCAAGGTTCCTCCTCTATGGACATGGGAACGTATTAGATCTAACATTTTCTGTGATAGAATTCTACAGATTTACAAGACCTCTAATGATGACATTCCACAAATTTTCCGCGTTGCTGACACTTTGGAGTTACCAGTTCAGTTGCTTCACAAACTATTCAATTAACTTCAGCTCAAGCACACGCTTTCTAATGGAATTTTGTCGAACAGTAAGTAGCATACCGTACACGCTTTCTAGGTCACACTGGAGAAAGTTCTCTTTGATGATCGAGAGGACTAAAAGAAGACCCTCATCTTGCCGACAACAAATCGCAATTTCGCCAACAGTCTTAAAGCTTGCAAATCCCTAATTCTTTAACTACAACGAGGTGGTGAAGGAACAGTGACCAACCTGATCTCCGGCGAAATCCACGATCCAAGAATACTGTGCCGCCACAAAATCCTTACCGGTTCTTGACCGGTTCACCTGTCTCAGGATCTGAGACATCGAGTAGATGAATGCGAGCACGGCGATCGCCAGCAAGTACCTAATCAGCAAAGGAAAAAGCCGCTCACCAATTCGTCTCGGTTCATAGTCGGGACGAAAGATCGCGTTACTCCAAACGAAGTCGCAGATGATCTTACCGGTATTCCTGGTAGCGATCGAAATCCTGCCAGTCCCCGTGCTTGTTGGAAGCCAAGACGGCGAGGGCGATCAGGGAAAAGAGGCAAGCGAGGGCGCGAAGCAGCAGGGCGCCCTTCTCGAGGAAGTTGTCTGTCCGCGATTTCCGCAGGACCGACCTGGAGCTCGGCGCCGTGCTGAGGCCGCCGCCGTCGGTGCGCGCGGCGGGTGGGGGGAACTCGGCGCCGGGGGAGATCTTCTCGAGTTCGACCGAGGGCGGCGCGGCGGCCAGCTCGCCGGGCCCAGGCTCGCTGCTGTCGGTGGCGGCGGCAGTCATCGTGGGAAGTTGGGGTGTGGGAAGACGCGGTCGCAGGAGCACGGAACGGAGACCTGAAAAGAAGAACAACCCGCCAAGTGGCGAGCGACAGATGGCGGGAGGCCGAGAAGAGGACTAAAAGGAGCTCGTTTCGGTGGGGAGAGAGGGGGAGGGGATGCGGTGGAACTCTTTAGCTTTTGAAAGTTGTTAGCATGGACTGTGGGAGAAAGGACACGGCATAGTTTTCCGGAAAAGAAATAAAAAAAAAGGAAAAAATAATGCATTATTTGATCGCTTACACGTTATTTAAGTTGTTGAATAATTTAATTTTTGATATAAATTGCTAATTAGGAGAGGATTCATTATTGATGTACTAATTTTTTATATAAGTCTCATATGAAAGATATAGTAAATAAATAATTCTATAAATACTCAGAGAGTAAATGTGTTAGGGGAACATATTATTTACGTACTAATTAGTTCGACGTTAATCCTAATTTATGTGCAATGGGATATTTGGAGTATGCTCGAGGTACTTTTGAGATAGAAATATTGAATGACCAAGGTGCCACCTATATAAAGACTAAGGTTGAGAGAGTTTTCATAATTTAATCCTTTCAAAATTTAAATTAGTAACATGAGATAGATAAATATGGTTACAAATGATAAATCTATTTTTATCCTTGTTACATGTAAGTGATAAAAAAAAAAAGATAATTCACAATCATCTGTTTTAGAATTATGTCTATATGGATAGACCAAGATGATAGGTCTTATCTATCATATGTCAACTTGGTTATTATACAAAAGTCATCCATCAGATAATATTATTCTATCAAAATAAAAATAATAATTTAAAAAAATATAAAATCTACATACCATCACTCAATTGGGTATTAGAGTATTATACAAATATACACACTCTCTATGTATAAACATGAAAATTCAAACATAACCAAACACTCAGTATTAGTATACCCATTAAATTGAATGGTCATTCATAGACTCAACAGTATTAGTATACCCATAAAATCATAACTTAGTCTAAATTGAGTCTTATTTATTTTTAATACAAGACTGAATCTAAAACTACATTTATACTTGTTAACTTCAGATTTGTTCCTGAATTTTAGAAATTAAGAATGAGAGGTCTTCATGCTAAATGGAGTCCTAAACATCTAAGCTAGATTGCACAGTGTAGCTCAATCATATTAGAAACACATAAAAAAAATAATCTTTTATATTAAATCAGTGAGGTGGATATTGCGATGTGTGCATGCCTATAAGCCCTATGATAATAGTAGATATCCCATGAAGCCCATGACAAACCCAAAATAATGTTTTGTAAATACAAGAGAAATGAAAAAAGCGAGTCGAAGAATCTATAAATCCGAGTATAAACTAAGATTGGATAGAAGGAAAATTAGAAACTAGTAATGTGATTAGACTTGCTGAAGGCCTTCAGAAGTGGATACAGAAGACTGACCACTTGATTTCTTCACTGAGTCATTCATTATCAGAAGGGGGCGACAAGTGGCCGATAGAAAGAAAGCTCGGTGACAGCAGGGAGTCGGCATGCACTTAGCTGGAGGCCACCATCGCCATCATCATAATGAACCAAATACGGCGGCATCCCACACTGCCACGTACTGATGTGCCCATCTCACCATCCACCCAGCCTCATCTCGTGCCGTGCTCCAATCTCCTCCCTTCACTCGCTCCATCGTCCATGAATACCAATTATAGAATGTATTCCCGAAGCATGCAAGCGGGTGGGTCGTCCTTTTCATGCGTCCAATGTGTCCGCAATCTTCCATTTTTAGACCATTATCTCATAGGAATTCTATTGTTTTCTTCTGTTGTATACTACTCGTATCATTCATCGAATTTATTTTGACGCCCAATATCCCGTCCTACCGAGTTACTAAACGTCTCCTCTTGTGGTCCCACGAGTGGGTCCCCACGGCTGCCTCCAATCATAGGGTAGGCAGGCGCAACGGGTAAATCCGCCAGCTGGCGCGGAACGCGTGACTCAACTAACTCCCAACCCCGAAAGAAAGTGGTCCCCTGTCGTCGCCACCAAGTCCCACCAAGTCACGACTTACGGGCACCCCTCACCGACGTGCGATCTTTGTGATCCGAATCGTGCCTAAAGAGGCGTCACGGGGCCCGCACCTGCTATGGGCGACTGACAGCTCACATTCGTGTCCCCTGCAAGGCGAAGGTAAAGAGTTAGACGCGTCAGCTCTGGACAAGCGTCCCCGCCAACCGTCAAACCTGAGGACCACCGGATAAATACGCCCGTCATTAGAATCAATAACGATGATGCCATCACCTCGGAAACGTCCGGAAGGACACGGCTCCCGATGCTCTGTCACCACCTCACCTTTCCGCAGTAACCGTTGTTCGATCACGTCCACAGGAATAGGATAACGGGCCCCACGTATCACGGGCCGCTGTTAACCACGCCCCGACGGATGGCCCAGATCGCGCGTTGAGCTAAAACTACCTTCCGATCTACCGTTCGCTTTCTCGTGCACAGATTTGGTAGGAATCGTACGTACGCGCAAATTGCAAGGAAAAAGAAATCGCCGCTCGCGGATAAATCGCGGCGAAGAATGGGGCCTTTCGACATCCTTTAAGCACGCGGAGGAGGAGAGGAGGTGGAGAGCGCGTTCCGGCGAGCGAGAGAAGCGGATGAGTGCGAGAGAGCGATCTGAAAGCCCCTGATGGATTACCGCTTTGCCCCTGTCGGACTAATCTATTCCCCATCTTTGCCCTCTCCTCGTCCCCTCGTCGGCGCCAACCACACCTCCGCCCGTTTCTGCTCCCGTTAAACCCTCCTCCTCCTCCTCCTCCCCCTCCCGTAAATCGCTGTTAGATCTACGGCAAGGGATACGGCTTCTACAATTTTTTTTCTGAATAGGGAAGTCTTTTTTTTTTTCTTTCTGTTTTTGGTACATTCTTTTCGGGCGATGGTGCCGACGGCGAAGCCGAACTTGGTGCGCAACCTCATCGTCCGGGCGCTGCTCTTCTTTGCTTCCATGTTCCTTCTCCGATTCGTCTACGTCGTAACCGTTTACGGCGGATCCTGTACTGCCGGGGACTACTGCCTTTTCTCCCCGCTGGCGGAGCCCCTCACCGTCGCGGGAACCACCGGCGGTGCCTCCGCATCGGCCGCCGTGGCATCCGCTCATGCCGGTCACGGATCGTCTGCCACCCCTGCTGTTCGCGCCCTCTGGACCAGCCGGGAGTGGCGGAAGGCCGTGGATTTCTATTCCGCCGTGTTCCAGGATCTCGTCGCGGAGGGCTTCCTCTCCCCGGCCTCCAAGTCCTTGTGCGTCGACGCCCCCGCTGGCTACGAGGTCCTTGCCCTCAAGGAAATCGGCGTGGCTGGTGCGATCGGCGTCGCCAGGAAGAGCGCGCCGCCGTTGGTGGTTGCCGGTGGCAACCTCCTCCGCCTGCCGTTCAAGAATGGCACCTTCGACTTTGTGTTCGCCGGCCAGAGCCTCGACCGGAGCAAACAGCCCGCCGATCTCGCTGCAGAGATTGCGAGGACGCTGAGACCCCATTGGTTCCTGGTCGTGCTCACTGCCTCCGGTGGCGATGCCTACAGCCTTCACGCCCTCGCCAAACTTTTCCCGGGCTGCGTAGCTGTGCGATCGCGGGAGATCAACAGCCCAGATTCGTCGAAGTCTCTTCGTGAGATCGTTTTCCAGAAGGAAGATGGTACACACATTGTTAGCGCCGACGGGAATTCAGATTCCAAGTGTCCGATCCCCGAACACAAGCTCCAGATTCTTCAGTCAGCGGAGCCTCTGATCGAGGAGGAGCCTCTAAAGCCATGGATCACCTTCAAGAGGAACATCCAGAACGTCAAGTATCTGCCATTGATTGCGGATATAAGCTTCAAGCAAAGGTATATTTACGTGGATGTCGGGGCACGGAGCTACGGCTCGAGCATCGGGAGCTGGTTCAGGAAACGGTACCCTAAGCAGAATCACACCTTTGAAATCTATGCAATTGAAGCCGATCGGGCGTTCCACAAAGAATATGCCACCAAGAAAGGTGTCAATTTGCTGCCTTACGCAGCGTGGGTATGCAATGAGACATTAACCTTCGAGATTAATCATGACCCTGATAACCATGATGTGGGTAAAGGGCGAGGAATGGGTCGAATCAGGCCTACTGGGGGCTCCAATGGTCGTGTCACATCAGAGGATGTGCACCCAATCCAGGGGCTTGATTTTGCTGCATGGCTGAAGAAGACGGCGACCGAGAGGGATTACGTTGTGATGAAGATGGATGTGGAGGGGACCGAGTTTGATCTGGTGCCGAGGCTTTTCAAAACAGGGGCTATTTGCTTGATTGATGAGCTCTTCCTCGAGTGCCACTACAACCGATGGCAAAAGTGCTGCCCAGGGCAGAGGAGTCCAAAGTATCCGAACACCTACCGGGAATGCTTGAATCTGTTCACATCACTCAGAAATGCTGGAGTTCTTGTTCATCAATGGTGGTAACCAGTAACACTTGTGTTGTCACACACGATTTGTGCCATTCACAGGTGCTGAAATACATGTTCAGTTTTTCACTTTTATATTGCAGGTATTGCTTTTATGGTTTGATAGGATGATAATCAAGAAATGTGTAGCTATGAACGATCATAATTATGTAGCTGTTATTTTCACAAATGAGGAAGCCAATTCTTTTACACTGTCATTTAATTAGTTTTTTAGTATGTAACAAATCTTTGCTGATTTATTTTAGCTCTGTGCCTTATTTATCCATCTTGTTTAGTGATAATGCTTTTGCTTTTGATGAGAACGAATTTATAAAAAGGGTTGTGGCACTTTGTAAAATACATCATCATATTGAACAATTCTCCATGAGGTAGTTTCTACTTTTACATTCCTCATATAGAATATGTCTACTTGTTTTTCTTCTCCATTGTACTCCTGTAGAATTTTGACTGACAGGCATTGTTGAGTATCCTTAGTTAATACAGAATCATATATCTAGAGAAGCCTAAGCTGACAAGCATCCCTGAAATGATATCCTTGTTAAATATTGATTCGTGATCTCTTTTTAGTCTGTGTCTGAAAATTGTATAAAACATCAAAGAAATAGAGGATGAATACCATCATTCATAGGCAGGTATTTACTGACAACTTATATGGTCACTAGATTGATGGTTGCAGTGGCTATTTGTAAAATTATTGGTCATACATAAATCTGACTTGGATGTGAGAACATCAATACCTGCTATGCTGAAGTGTACATGTAGCAAGTTTTTCAACAATTTGGTTTTTGACATGATATAGCCCCTCCTTGCTGGGACTCAAAAAAGTTCTGAATTGTGCTTTGTGCTATTGTATTTTCAGATCTCTTTCTCTCTCTGAAATGTCACTCGTATGTCTTAATATTTGGACAGAAACATGCATAACTTCTTTACTTGATACTCTTTTCTGTCAGGGCAGGCTTAAGCCATACAGGTCTTAACTAAAATCTTTAGCAACATTTATGGCATAATGCTTTTGCAAAACATGATTTCTTTGTTTTTGGTTAATTGTTTTTTTGTTGACCAAGAAATGTTCTTAATTTTCATTCAAGTTTCAGCAATTGTTTCAGATGCGTAGGTTGCTCGACATGAGGGCAGCATATCTTGTGGTGGTAGTTTTTAGAACAGGTTTATAATTTATATACCATCCGAAGTGAAGCTCAAGGATAGAAGAGTGGTATGTTGCATACCATTTGAAAGTTCAATAACAAAAGAGTGGAATAGCCTTGTGCATCTAGGGCTGGATAACTGGATGTCTTTGTAGTCATGTGGAGGGACAAATTTAGACAATTTGATGATTCATCATTAGCAAAGCATATGATATCAACAAAGCGGAAGTAGTCTCTGCTGCTTTTCTAAACCTACAGCCTGTGATGTGGGATGCAATCATGTAAATTTAATTATCATCAGTTTAATAATGTCCCATGGAGATCACTTCCTGATTTTCATCAAGAAAGAATCCTAATAGGTTATATAGGTTAGTAGTCAAGTTTCTTGCAGCTAAAATGAAAAATTTTGTAGGTGAGGAAAATAAGGGAAAACAAAAGATTTGTATTGGTGAAGGATATTTATGGATTTTGTGATATTAGCTACCTGGGATATTTAGATATCCAAAGGTAATCATAACCTTTTTTTTTATTAAATCATTTTCAAGTCTTCCTTGGTCTCAAACTATCACTTGAAAAACACATTGGCTCACCTTGTCTCTCTGGACCATTTACAAATTTCCTTTTCAATAACTTACAACTTCAAATGATTTATTTGTCCTCGTTTTAATTTTAGTTGATATTGTCCTTAATTGTCATTGATAATATCTTATCATGTATGGTAATACCATTTCATCAAATTTCTTTTTATATGTTCTTTAACTATCATTTGGGCAACTCAAGTATCTATTTATGAATCTTGTTTGATATATTTTAGGAATGGTAAATCAATGCTCATAAGTCTGCTCTGAATCCTGCAATAAAGAGAGAGAGATTTATGACCCAGGTGATAGTATGCACATAGCAATTAATGTTGTATTTCTTTTTTCCTTATGCAATGTGATTATACAGTTTATTGCATTGAACTCGCCTTAAATATGCGTCTCAACTTCTATTCATATTATGTCCTCCTGCAATAAACAGAGAGAGATTTATGACCCAGGTGATAGTATGCACTTAGCAATTAATGTTGTATTTCTTTTTTCTTTATGCAGTGTTATTATACAGTTTATTGCATTGAACTTGCCTTAAATATGCATACTATACGATCAATCCATTTTGTCAAGAAATCAATTCATAGTATGCAATTCATAGTATGTATGTGTGTGTATATGTATATATGTATATATACATATATACATATATATAACATATATATATATGTATATATGTATAAATACATACATATACATATATATATATATATATATGTATTTATATATATGTATACAGATACATACATACATACATGTGTGTGTGTGTATATATATATATATATATATATATATATATAATCCATCACTAAACTGGAGTGGTGTAACTTGTGAAATCCAATTTGCATCATTTACTTGTTCTCAGGTTGCATTGTGAGTAGACAAAGAGTCACAGATGAAGAGGAAATAGTTGGATTACAGGGAAGATCTGCATGATTACTTCTCTTACTGCAAAGCAAAGAATGTGCACAGCTACTTTTTCTTTTTGTCTTGTATCCAAGGAATCTGCAGCCTAACAAAGCAGCTATATGCTGCTCCACCTTTTTACCCAATAAAACCTGCCATGTAAATGATGAATCCACAAATAGTAATTATCTTGTCAGTAAAAATTTTACTAGCATGCAAATTAAGTTCCTTTGTGATTTTATTTTGACATGGAATAGTCTTTCTATTTGTAAGGGTGGCATTGGATTTGTTGTTTTATGATTTGAGTTTCACTTTTTTAAGATTCCTACATTTCTCATTTTGTTTGAGGTGACATGTAAAATTACATATACATGGAACCATAGAATCATGTCAATTCAGGCCGAGCCTAATTATTCCCAACTATGCTCAACCTTGCCTTTTAACTAATATCCATCTTATTATATTGTTCAGGCTCAATCTATGAGATGATGATACCTACATTTTATGTCTAGATGAAGATAAGCTGATAAGGATTCTCCTACATTGATCTTTTTCAGACTCCATATTAGTAAGCTTTTTCTTTTTTTTTACATTGATCCTTTTCAGACTCCACATTAATGATTTTTTTTACCATTAGGAAGATAAACTGGTGATAAGAAAGCTGGTTAGGGATGTGTCCTGCAATAATTGCATTAATTGAATACCTTAGAACATGATTTGATGTGTAGGAATAGACCTCTAATGGTTATTAGGTTATGAAAGCTATGTCAAGAGAGAGAGAGAGAGAGACAAAATAAATGCCAGCTAGCAACACATTCTTGTGTCTTGCTGCAAGAAGTGCATGAGATGTGAGATCATGGGGAGTCCATGCACCAAACTACAACTTTTGTCTGTGTTCTCAGATCTCAGGACACCAATTCTTCTCCCCCATCCCAAACTTTTAAGTGTCATTGATTCAACAGTAGTTGTTTAGTCTCACCTTCTGCTCCCATATCATCATCTTCGTGCATGCAGTTTTGTGATGTCTTTCTCATCAATCTTACCATGATCTTCTTCTCCAACAAACCATGTCATTGACAACCAATCATTGATCCATATTCTAACCTCAGCAAGACCCCATGATTCTGTGCTACTCCTTATTCTACATCTCTAGACTGCTTGTCCCCACACGTCTTAGCTGCCACTGCAGCATAAAATAGTGGATTCTGGAATCATATTCACTATATATATATTCTCCTCAACAATCTGTTGATATGGATCCAAGAGCTGTAGTCAAAAGATCCAATTAAACAATTGCACCTTATTAGCTGTATACCCTCGTCTTTAATCAATTCCCTTAGCCTCTCTCTCTCTCTCTCTCTCTCTCTCTTCTCCTCAAGGGATTTCTTCTGTTGTAGCACAAGTATCAAATTTGATCTCTTCCCTCGGGCAACATGTATACTACTGTATCATTGTTTTACTAAACCTGCAAGGCTGCAGCCACACGTTTTCTGGAGCCACGCACAACCTCCCTTCTTACTGCAGCTCCACTTTTCTTAGGATGGCAAACAGATCGAGCAGAAAATTCTCATTATCTTTTGTTCAGGTTGATCAGATTTGTCAGTCGTAGACTGCACGAGGAAGATACAGATCTCTCTCCACTCAAGAAACAAGACACAGCCAGCATGCGGATCAACAGTGTGCCTTTGGTTTGGTTCAGTTTGATTTCTCCTGTAGCAATCTACCGGTTGGATACTGATTCGACAACGTTAGATCCTTTCGTAGCTTCTTCTGTAATGTTTTCTGTTCATGGAGCAAGACAAATGTGGAGTTACAGGTTGTCGATCGATTGCATGGCTGATCCCTCGTGAACAACGATTCTGAACGAGCTGATCATTCTCTTTATTAGATGAGAAGATCATCGTTAAAAAGGTCTACAAGTTCTACAGATTTGCTCTTCTCCATGGAGGATGGAGGAACGGATGGTTACACGAGTCTGTGCTGCTGCTGCTGCTGCTGCTGCTGCTAGCTTCATGAGTCTTCGCAGATTCTCTCCAGGTGCGGCCGCCATACCCCGACCCGGCCGCTCCTATGGCGACGATGGCTCGGCTGCTTCTTCTCCGCGAGGATCTCTGTCGTGCGTGTGTTCCCGGCATGCTTCTTCCTCTTGTCGTCGCTGCTCTTCTTCTGGTCGGGCAACGTCGAGGTGGGGATGAGGAAGTAGATGTCGCCCCGCTTCAGCTCCGACTCGGGCGAGACGATCAGGATCCGGCGGACCACGCCCTGCGAGCTGCATGGCTTGCTGAGGACGTGGTCGGGGTTGGCCGCCAGGATCTCCCCGGCGGTGACGTGGCGGCTGTACTCCTCCACTTGGCCACTCAGGTGCACCACGCGAACCACGTCGAGGGCGCCGCACGGCAGGACGCACGCCAAGCAGCACCGAAGGCTGTTGCCCATCTCTATCACCTCTCTCTCCTCCTCCCGTGCTTCCCCCCACGGCTTCTCCTTCTTCTTGTTGTTGTGGACGTGGAAGGGGGAGGTGGCCGTGGTCTATATAAGGGGGGTGGGGGGTAGGACGCCATGGCCAATAAAGTAAGCTCAAAGTCGTGCTCCCAAAAGGACAAACTGAGTCGTTGCCTTCATTAGGTGGAGCTTCGTGCGCTATATTCCAGTCCGTGTTAAAAGATGGGCGAATGGGGTTCCCAACCTTATCCGAGTGCGAACTAAAAGACAGATGCACCCTTCCATCGCTCCGGAGAACTACCACCATCAACCTCATTCTCTATGTTCTCCAGGTGTTCGAAGTTATTCCCCAGAGAACTGCTACCACCGCCCCGTAACTGTTTGATCTCACACCACCACCTCGGAAACCCGCGTGTTTGCCGACCGATCCATATCCGTCGACATTTACCTATATAATGACATCGGTTTTAGCACGTATCGATAAGTTAATAGTATGAGTTCGTCTTAGTCTAAGAGACCATATGATGTATTTTCATGCATTTGAAAGGCTGTTTTCATACTCATCAATGCAAGTTAGATTGCTGATGAGGACAAGTGCGCAAAGTAATGGTAGCCATAAAATACATGTGTCATGTACTCGTACTTGTACCACAATGATTTCTCCATTTCATTTATAGTCTCTACTATCTAAACATGAGACATGAAATCATTGTGCTTAGGTCAATGTAGGTGTGGGTGGAACAGTGTTCAAGCTTGATTAGAATAGCATGCAATATATATACACGTTTTTTACCCCTAAAAAACGTGGCTTCCTATAAAACCTAAATCTAGCTTCTGTTGTTACACCCAATGGTGATTAGGACACACAAAGCATTTAAAATTTTAATATTATTAAATTTTAAAAAATATTTTTTAAATTTAAATAAAATTAATATATATGAATGATACATTTATGTCAAACGAAGTAAAATATCATTTTCTATTGACACAAAGTATAGAAAGCATCTAATTATCATGAATTAGGTGGTGGACCTATGAATATAAAATTATTTGATAGAAGTTAATATTTTTTATTATTTATTGATGAATATAATTGTATGAGTTGGATACATTTTTTTAAACTAAAATCTAAAATATTTGATAATTTTTAAAAATTTAAGATATTTATGAAAAAGTAAAATGGTAGATATATAAAGATCTTTCAAACAAATTGAGATAGTGAATTTGTATATAATGAGTTTAATTTTTTTATAAAAAATAATATTCGTAGAAAATTGATAGCACCATATGCATTGAAGCTAAATGGTATAGTTGAACGTAAAAATCAAACTAACATTAAGATGATAATAAATTTATTTAAAAATATAATAATACTCTCATTATAAATCTATTGATCTAAACGAGGGTCGATATACATAATCTTAAGTTTATTTGATACAAATAATAATGTTACTTAAAACTAACTCATATTTCTTCGGAGAAAGTAAAGTAATCGAATCGAGATCTATGCCTTCTCCTAAAAGCAATGCCAAGAATCATTTTTGGAGGTACATATGGATAAGGCAAAAACAAGCAACTATACCACACTTTTTATTAGATCACGTATATTTATGGCATTGGTGGAAGAGCACATGTGAATGTTTTCCTCTACTTAACTCGTGTGCTAACGTGTTACTCGTGTCTTGCTCGTGGGGATGACTCGATTCCCCTAAAATAAGGGGGACTCTTCATTAGATTAGGTGGTCAAATCCCCTTTCTCACACTTGTTTGTCTCCATAGTTTACATTCACCAACACCAACATCGTAGAAATTTGACCTTTAGAGAGAGAAACACACCAAGTGAGACTGACTGATTTGGTCTCGAGCTTCACGTATTTAATAAGATGGATTTTATTTATTAGGAAATGATAAACATGATAGCAATTCATAATTTTTAATTAATTTTGCAGCATTCACTCGAGAGTGAGTGGTTTAAGCTTTCAATTATTTAGGTCGAAATAGATGTTTAACCATTATATCTTTATTTTCTTAGTATGTTCATCAATAATTAGAAAGAATATATGGGAATATATTCGGAGAAACGTTTCTGTTTTCTTCGCAGCGAGCTTCGTGTTCATCGGGGAACGACAAGTCAAAAGCAAAAAGAAAAAACAGAAAACAGAAACAAAACAAAAACGTGGACGTTTGATCGTACGTGCCACGCGAGAGAGGACGAAGCTTCGGCACGGCGCTCACGTTTCCCGTTTCCCGTTTCCGTCCCCCCACCCCAACCCCCTCCGATTCCCGCCGTGGCACTCGGCCCCGCGCCCCGCGTTCATCGGATGCTGCACACTCGTCGGGACCCACAAATCGACTCCCATTAGAAATCGTCGGATTCCGCGGGCCCACAGCTGGCCCCACGCGCACAGACGCGACGGGACAAGGATTTGGTTGGGTGACTTGGATTAATTAAGATTACAACGCTAAGCATTTATTAGCGGCTTGCATTATCACCCCAATCCTCCCCACTTCCCCTCTCTCTCTCTATGGGCCTCTTTTGGCCCAAATCGAATAACAGCTAATTGAAGCCCACAATACAATGGGCTGGGCCGAGCCTTCACGGGTTAGAACGATTATACGATTTCATGGGCTGCTATTTATTTTAATTTGAAGCCATCGAGCCATGAACCCAAAAGCCCAATCCGGATCGTCCTTCTCTTACCCACTTATCGTTTCGTCGCCATTCACACCCCTACCACGCGATGCAGGTAGAGCGGGACCCGCACGGGACCTTGCGGGTACACATTCCGCGACGGTCGTTTCACACCTTCGCAAGTTTTCGCAGGGGTGTGTTGGACGTCTCTTATCGCCTGGGTTGCCTTCGTGGTAGAGTCACCCCCCTTCGCACCTTCCGAATAGTGGCGGCAGTCGACTGGCGGTCAGCAGACGCTCGCTTCCCTCGGCGGCACTTGCGGTGATCCGACACTGATCCACTCCGGGTTTCTCGAAGACGAGGGCCTTCGGTCTCGTTCGACAGAACTCGATCACACTCGTCCTCGAGAAGCCTCTGCTTAAACCCTAACCCTTCCCTCGCGCCTCTCTCTCCATCTCCTTGTTCGACGGTCTCTATCTCCGGTGAGTGCGACGTTGGTCCGCGACGCAAATGCCCGTTTTCTTGGATTGATTTTGGGTATGTTTTCTTGCTTGCTTACGGAAGAAGTCATCCTTCTTGGGCATCTTTCTTGGTTTCGCGACTCGATCGGCCGTCGCCATCGATGTAAAGGTTCTTGGTTTTCCTTCCGTTCTTGGTTCTTTGGTTCGCCGTAGGCATTAGGGTTCCATGGATCGTGCCGTCTTATGTTTATTTACCTGCGAACCGGTGTTTGTTTCGTGTTCTCGTGAACCAGGATGGGGGCAGGACGTAAGACGCAGGCGATCCTCGTGCCGGAGCCGTCGCCGGCCAGGAACTTGCTCAAGAAGGATTTGGGAGGAACGATCTTTGGCTGCAAGGACGCGACGATGAAGGAGTGCCTTAAAAAGCAATTGTTCGGTTAGTTCTAATCACCGTCCCATTTCTATCGCCGCGTGATCTCACTTCGGATACCTGTTTCTTTCCATGGCGTTGAATTTAAATGTTTGCTTCAATGGGCGTAGAATTAATTGGTCATGCTTCCGAGAACATCTGGTTTCTTAGTCATCTTGTTCAGATTCTATTCTTGTTTATATTAATGAACAAACTGTTTGTAAGACTAATTAATTTTACTCGATTGTTCTATTAAATGACCGTAATATGATTGGCAGGCTTGCCCTCTACTCACTTCTCGTATGTGAGGAACATCGAACCAGGTCTGCCTCTTTTTCTGTTTAGTTACACCAACAGGACAATGTATGGCATTTTTGAGGCTGCATGTCATGGTCAGATGAACATTGATCCGTATGCTTGGACGGAAAACGGGGCACAGAGAACACCCTTTCCTGCACAGGTATTAACATAAGAGAAACTCTTTTTGCATGCCATGTTTCCCTTGAAAATAGGGTTAGGGGTGGATCAGATATGACCTGTCCGAATCTGTTGTCGTATCTGCATGGAGCCGGTTAAGTTTATATAAGTGCACGTGTCCCATATGTATTTGAATCTGAATTTCATTTCTAAATTCTTCCTGATATGGAGATGGAAATAGCTATATCTGTATCCAGAAATCTAATTTACCTCCAAGTTCAATTAATGTCTAAATGTGTTCATCATTTTTCAGTGTTAAATCTGATTTATGGAATGTTCACGTCTATCCGCTTTAACTCCGCTCTGAATCCTTATAGGTCATACATCTGATTCATATTTGTAACAGTATCAAACATATATAATTACAGAATTTAGTATTGGTGTAACTTCCATTTCTGAATTGGTATCTGCTGGTCAAAAGTAGATAGACGTAATATTTTTCTACTATGCGGACACCATCCGATTTGTTTCCATCCTTACCTGGAAGACCACTAATGTGCATGCATTTATTTTTGTATTTCTTGTTGATTATAGATCATTTATTGTTTTCTCAAGGTTCGTGTGTATACAAAGACGCCTTGTCAACCTCTTTCAGAGAAACAATTTAAGAGTGTAATTGAGGACAATTATTATGCGCAAAAACATTTCTGGTTCGAACTGGATCATGCACAAGCAAAAGGCTTAATGCTTTTATTCAAACCGGCATCAGTTCCTGTCAGTATTAAGCAAGCCCCCTTTCCTTCAAATAAATCCATCTATTGCGCACCACTATGTGGTGCCGAACGGAAGGCAATGAACAGTCAGGAGAATCAAGACATCGTTGTTGCTGAAGGAGAGTCGAAATACTCTACTGAGCGTAGGAACGTGAATAAGTTTGAGTCACTTGACGGGGGTGATGAAGATAAACTTGGTAGCTCAAGCAACACATCATCCAGTGTTCATGATGAGGAGACTAAGGAACAAGTCATGGAATGGGGGGATTACAATGACAACATCCAGGGGAATCATTCAATGCTTAACCCTCAATTGAATAGAGAGAACATCAAGTTGTTGGAACGACACTCTACTGTCAAGGAATCAGAGGCTGATATGAAGGAAGTGCTGCATAAGCTTAAGGAACTTTCAGTTGAGCGTACAGCTTCAAGTTCATCAAAGGATTGTAGAAATGATAATTTTACTCCATGCATATCTCAGGATGTGCGCAAAGAGGATACCTTCATATCACCTGAAGCGGAGAATAGAACCATATCTGAACTGCAGGAAAATTCCAAGGTAGTCGAACTTCTGTTTTTTTTCTTCATTTTGATGTTTAACAACTGTGGGTTGCATCCTCTCTTAATTGTTTTTTCATGCTTTTTGCTCATCTAGATATTTTCTGAGAAGCTATTGTTTTATATAGTTGGTGCAAGTCATCAAAGCATTGACAGAAAGGACTGAAGCATTGGAGAAAAAGCAGGTACCATGTTTTTGATATATTCTGATAAATATCATATCATTGCGTCTTTATGTTTCTGATTATTCTTAAAAGTAATAAAAAGTAAATCTTCTTAAGTTGAAGCATATCTCAACTATTTCTACGTTAGCATTTATTGTACTGGCATTAGGCTCCCAGGAGTTCCATGCTTGCAGCATTTAAGCACGTACCATCCCTTAAACCTCTATGGATGCTTAATATGTTATGCATGGTTTTTTCACTTTGAATTATATTACAGTACTAGCATGAGTAGAATATTTGGTTCATGTCACTGAAAAAAATGGTAATGCAACAATTGGTCCGTGTGTTGATCATTCATCATAGACAAGATAGAGTTTTAAAATATCAATAATTCAGAAACTCACTGTTGTTCATACACGTTTCATAACAAGAGCATTGTATGTGCTGCATTTCCTAATGGTTTTGTCCATCATGTGTTGCAGGCTGAATCAGATAAAGAGTTGCAACAACTGAGAGATGTAGTCGAGAAGTCAGGGAGGACGGTTCAAGGATTGCGGGATCAAGTTAAAGAACTAGAGTCTAAACTTAATTCCTCTATGTCTCTTGGTGAAACATGTATCGATCAGTATGGAGAACCTGGAAAAGTTATTTACCTCTTGGGTGGTTATGATGGTACTTCTTGGTTATCAGCATTTGATGCATTTTCACCTTCTGAGGACAAACTAATGCCTCTTAAGCCGATGAGTTCTCCTCGTTCATATGCTGGTGTTGCGGCATTAGATGACAACATATATGTTTTTGGCGGCGGTGATGGCAATTCTTGGTATACTTCAGGTGCTATTCATTGTGTGCCTTTTGATTATTCTTTAAAACATACTATGTTGAAGGCATCGCTTAGGCACTGATTTTGTGTCCTTCAATGAAGTCGAGTGCTACAATCAGAGGGAAAATAAGTGGGCGCTGTGCCCTAACTTGAATCATCCAAAAGGGAGCCTTGCTGGAGCTACTTTGAACAGCAAGATATATGCTATTGGTGGAGGAGATGGAGTTAAGTGTCTTTCGGATGTTGAGATGTATGATCCAATCCTTGGAAAGTGGATAAACAGTCAGTTGATGTTTGATAAGGTATAATGTACTCCTTGCTGCTAGTAGTTAGTTTGATTTCACCGTCTTCCTCATCCCCTCTTATTTCGACTTAATATATGTGCTTGTTTTAGATGCTACCATGCTGTCCTTATGAATCATCATGTCTGAAACTTCATTTGCATTTTCGTGAGTTGCTGCTGCGTGGATGTATATGTTCTCATATGTTATCTTTCCTAATGCAATTTGTTTGATAAGGTAATTTTAAATAATATATAAAATCTATTCAGCTCAAGCTTTTCTCATATGTAATAAAGATTGTAATATTCTTTAGATGTTTTAGCATTACAACTGGGCTAAGAAACGAAAAAGAGAAAGAATCAAAGAGATTTACTGCAGAGTTATTTGTTAGAGTTGTTGCAACTATTGAAATTTCATTTGGTCATTTGAGCATCTCAATTTTGTGAATCTTCGTCCTTTTGTTGTATTTGAATTTTTTGGACTATACATGCCTTGGGCATCTTTAAAACTGAGGAAGTATAATGGATTTTAGGATCTAAAAGAATGAACTAATCCGGTTATTTGGTGGTTACGCCTTTAAGTTAGAAAGGCCTTTACTGTGTTTGCCTTTAACCTACTCTCATGCCCTCGCTCTTCTAGTTAACAAGCAAAAATGATCATTATTTTTTGTTCTTATGAAGAAACCATCTAACTTGAAGATCAAACCTTGAACCCGTCGATAACAACCTGCTATTCGACCATCACAGTGATAATTATTCTGTTGTACCTGACACTAAACAACTATGATTACATCCTCGTCAAGCATCTAAAGCATTTTTAGCCGAACTTCTTTCAACTATTTAAATAAGAATTGCTTCCTAAATAAAACCTGTCTCTACTCTCGATTACAATATCCAAGGGCCTGGTTCAGTTTTTTGTAGCTTTTCCCTTTGAATTCATTCACCTTATGTTGGTAATTGTGCAGCTGATCCATGTTTATGTGAAATTTATGATTGTTCCAGCGATTTGCTACTGCTGCAGTTGAACATGATGGAGTCCTGTATGCTGTGGGTGGATATAATGGCGATGGTTACCTGATGTAAGATATCTAACAAGTTGGTTAGTTTTCAAATCTCATGATATCTAACATTTGAAGTTTTCATCTTTAATCTATTCCTTGATTCTACCTCCACTCCAGCATAGCAGACGTGGTATTTGTAAGTTCATACCATGTTGTAAGCATAAAAATGTTTGCCTTTGAGAAAGTGGATGAGTTTCTTTGCTCAGGTCAGCTGAAAGATACGATCCACGAGAAGCTTATTGGACCAGGCTCCCAAGCATGAATGCCAGAAGGGGATGCCACTCATTAGCGGTTCTGAACGGTAAAATGTAAGTGGTGTGTTTGAAGAGAGAGAGAGAGAGATGACTACGTGTTGTTGACGCCAAAGTGCTTTCCTGTTTTTAGTTATGCGATGGGAGGATATGATGGTGAAGAAATGGTTGCAAGTGTTGAAATTTTTGATCCTCGTCTGGGTTCGTGGATGATCGGTGAGCCAATGAATTTCGCAAGAGGATACGCTGCTGCCTCAGTGCTGGGCGATACACTGTTTGTTATTGGTGGGCTCAAAAGCGGGGAACACATTTGGGACACCGTAAGTTGCTCATTTCTTTAATTTTTTTCACTCGTGAATCACAACTGATGCATCTTTTTTCTTCCCCCTGTTGTTGATCCGATCGGATAGGTGGAGTGTTATAGGGAGGGAAGCGGATGGAGCATTTCCAGCTCCAAGACAATCGGGAAGAGGTGCTTTCTCTCAGCCGTTGCTCTATAAGCATCATCATCCTACTTTCTTCTTCCGATGATGACGAGGAAGAGGAAGGACGATGCGGAGCCTTTTTGAGATCATCCTCCCGTTGCTCTATAAGCATCATCGTCCTACTTTCTTCTTCCGATGATGACGATGAAGAGGGAGGACGATGCGGAGCCATTTTGAGATCATCCTCCCGTTGTATATGAAATTGATGGACGACGAGGATGCAGTCTTTTCTTTTTTTTCTTTTTCCTTCTTTCTTGGACTTGGGATATGAAATTGATCATGATTGAAATCAGAATAGTGAAAATTTCTCGACATGCCCTTGGGTTTTTATCAACTTTTAGGTTTTGAGTGATGAAAATAATTTCTTTGATGCAAAATTCTGATATCGAGTTCTGTTTTGAGTTAAATGGCTAAAGTGCCTTTTAGAAGTTGTCAGATGGTTCTACGCCGGGGTGACCAGACCCTTACCAATTCAACTTTCTTGGCCGGCCTAACGAATATAACTCGATTGTTTTTTTTTTAAAAGGAAATTGTAAAGGCAAATGGGGACCGGAAAAGCATCTGATTGTGCTCATCACCATCTAATCAAAGCAGCACCCATTGCTTTGAAAAGTCGAGCTTGCAAGTCGTTTAGTCCCACATCGCCAAATAAGAGACCACCCACTGAAGCGAGCGCTATATAAGCGTGTCATGGCAACTTGAAAAATCATACCTTTCTCGGCCTTTTGGCTAAGATCAAGTGTAGTATCTGTTCTTATCAGTTTAATATCTGATACGTGGGTCATCGATCCACTATGATATTAAATTAATTTCTTGTGGGGGAGGGTCCGCTACGATGGCTTGCCATTGGGTCCCTCGCGCGTCGCCTGTGCGTTGCACTACAGCACGGGCCTGGCGCACCCCGACCAATCCTAAAGTCTAAGCATTATGAAGGCCCGATTAAGTGACCATATTCAGTGACCTGGCGCACCCCGACCATATTCAGTTATGTATAGATTTGATCACCGCTTTTGTGCGATTTGTTGGTAAAGTCCGTGGCACGCAGAAGGGCTTGCAAGGAAGATTAGATGTAGGACGGGGAATGTGCTTTGGATTGTTGCTGTTCCGTCCGGTATTGCGTTTGATGTTTGCTCCGATGTTCGATACCGATTGTTTCAGCGCTCCGTTGCGCATCCTGCGCCAGGAGAAGAGCATGAGCGATGTGTGGAATGTGTATCACAGCTTAAAGCATGACTTGAAGCCTAAATTTTCAGGGGTTTGACATGTTGTTGACAGATAATAGGTCCGCCGACGAGGCTGAAGGGGAGATTTCCGAGCTGGGGGATGAAGCCGGGGTCTGGTCTCGTATGATTGCACGGAAGATGGAAGATGTCTACTGTAAGAATCGCGGGAGGGAGATGGCTACTGAGGTGGTCGATAAAATGCGGGCGGACTCTGTGTATCACAACTTGAAGCATGATCTTAACCTTAATCTTTAGATGTTTGACATATTGTTGTCGGATTGACAGTACGCCGTTGCTGAGGGTTTCTTCCAGGAGATGTTGGAGCTTGGGGGTGAATCTTGATCTGGCCTCGTACGATTGAACGGAGGATGTCTACTGTAAGAGTCGCGGGACGGAGAAGGCACACGAGTTAGTCGATAAAATGCGTGAATAAGATATATGCCCGGATGGAATCACACAGACTGACCGATAAAGCTAGAGATGTTCTGAAGGAGATGAGAGAGAGAGAGAGAGAGAGAGGATGCCACCATGACGTTGCCGTGCTCTGCATTGTAAAAGGCATGGCTTTGCTTTGATTGATGTGATGGTGGAGAGGCAATTGCTTCCAAATGCCATGAGCTATAATCTGTTCTTCATGTACTGTTAGGCTATGATCATAGATGATGGACGGCTGTTTGTCGAACATTGTGTTTCATGTTTCTCATACGGTTGTTCCGTCAGCAGGAGAATGCCATGCGGCAGAAAGGTTTGGGATCGTTCATACTGGTTTTCCATGTATTGTTTGATCTGATTTGTGATGCAGGAATAATTGATGAGGCCAACCAATGTTTCATTTTAGAAGGATCAAGATTCTGATGGAACCAGCAAATAAGAAGCAGTCTCCTTGGAACAGTAGATGAATCACTTGAAGTAACATCATCCTTATTGCTGCACCCTTGTTGATGCAACTTTTGGTATTATATCCTTCTCATATAGCTATGTCTATGTTTCAGTAACTCGAGCATCACCCAAGTCGGAAATGAGATTACATTTCGAGGAACTTTGGATATCCCTTTACTGCTGCTCGAATATATATTGAAAACTCAGTATTTGAAGGGGAAAATTGTGTCTTTGTTAACTCACCATTGACTGGGATGAACATACTGAATCAGTGATAATCTTGAAAGCAATGGGTGCTGCTTTGGTTTCTGATGTTCTTATGCTTCTCCTCATGTTACGGAAAAACATCCTGTAATTTATAGACATTTAAAACCCTCTTTAAGAAAGAAAAAAAAAAGCCTTGCCCTGCTTGTGCTCATCACCATCTAATCAAAGCTCCCAAGAAAGATGTAAAGCTAACTTGATTCTTTTCCGAATACCTTTGTTGAATGGGGACCGGAAAAGAAAAAAGGGTGTGATGTACCTGTCACTAACGTACACGCCAACGTCTTTCTAAATCTAAAGCTGATCCGACCAAAACTGTCTGATGGCTTCTTCCAAGCACCCTACATTTCTTCCAAGCAGAACCCAGTTAACAGAAGCTCCAGTAATAGAATAGAATGCGAGTAACGGCAGATGATTAGATCAGAACGATACAGCTTTGCATCGGGAAAGCAGAACAACACAATTTGATCATCCCGTCTTTCCAGTCAATCAAGAATATAATCCTAACTTGCGCAGATACATAGGTTAGAATTACTTGTAGGAAATAAGTTGGAAACTTAACAAGTAAGACACGCGTGCCAATTCTGAATGAATAGCATATGCAGAATTAAGTTTCAGAGGTATCTTAGGATGAAGACGCTCACTGGTTTTGTGTGGTCTCCAAGGATGCTTCCTTTCAAGCTTAAGAGATTCAAACTTATCTCCACCACCACCACCTACCCTTGTGGCCAAGGTTAGATAAACAGCATCTCCGAACAAAGACCTACCTGCAGGCACACAAAGCTCAAGATGCCTGCAAATTTCAATTAATATTAAGGTTATCTAATCAAATCCTGATCGTGCATTTCCTTTAATGGACCATGTGAAACTAAAAAGAAAAAAAGAAAAACCAATTATGAAAACATGAAGAAGATATATCACAGTATCGATTCTTCTGTCACAGAATGAGATGTTTATTGCTCACACAGTATCGTCTGTATCACCCCAGCCTCCACAAAGAATCTACTTTTATTTCTGATGACTTGATAGGTGATAGTGGGACTGGAATCATGGTTTGGTTTCTTTTGACTTACTGTACCATATAGAAACTCAAGTTCACCACTATATCAACCCCCTTGGAGTTCGTTCGGCACAGGTATCGAGTAAACCAACCAACCAACCTCTTCCATGGCTTCTAATTTTGTTCTCGATGTATGGGGATGGATAACCAATCTTCCCCCATTCTCTAGATGGAGTACAAACACCATGTGCCTCTGCATCTGCACTTCGAAATCGACAAAGACTTCGTTGAAGCTCTCGATCATCAAAAGCCCCCAAAACCTAAACCCATTCGTCTCCTTCACTATCTTTGCAGATTTCCACATGCCTATATCCCTTTGGACCTCAAACCCCATCCCCCTTAAAAGCTCTGCACAAATTTCTTTGACCGAAGCCGAAGCTGTTCATCTTTTCTTTGACATACTAAACACGGTTTTCAGTTATGGCCCCTCTAAGAGATCCTCCTTCAGGCGCTCTCAAGTAAAAGTCGAAAAGAACTTCAGGGATGTCCTCAATCTTTCATTTCTCACTCTTACTTTTCTGATTTGCATCTACGAAGCCCCGTATGACCTCCGTTGTGGATGTCTCGACGCTTTGAGGCTTCAGCTATCGAATCCGACATGCCGAGACGCATTAAAACTTCTCGTACGGATGCTTGGTTCCAACCTCGAAGAGCAATGGATGAGATCATTAAACCTCGGCATGACAAACTGGATGGTAGAGCTTCAGTCTTTAAATCAGTCGGTCAGAGCAATATCACCATTGTTTTCATATGCTCTCTCTGCAAGTGGCCTATGGAAAGTACAGGTATATTGCCCAGTCATAGCCATGAGCCTCGAAGATCCCAGCGCTACCACACAAGACGAACGCTTGCTCTTCTCTTTGAGATATCAGCAGCTCGAAGCTGTGATACAACTTGCCTACAAGGTTATCGTAAAACAAAACTGGATTGACATAGTGGTGGCCGTCGATAACATAAGGTCAGTGAGATACTTCTTCATCTCAGTTCATTCACATTTGTAAATGATTTCCACTGATCAGCTGTTCAGGGGACAAATCCAACATAAGCCTGTTTCTGACTCACCTAGAGCATGTAACGCTGCTCATAGCTAAACTTCCTATTAATACTACATCATACTAAAATCACATCTGACCGCAAGAGTTACTCCAAAAATTTAAGTGATACTTGAATGAAAACTCTTGTTCTGTCTGTGCCAGCAGATGTGATGTGATCTCCCTGGTATCCGAGACTCTCATGGATGAGCGAGGCTATGGTTCCGGAGAGAAGCATTTCCCTTCTCGAATATCTCTGCAAGTCACCCCGACCCATCAATCAGATGTGGTGTCGGTTTCGGTAAGCAAATCTTCCGATAACCCTACTCAAGAAATTGGACTCGAAAAGGCACTTGAAGGGGCATTTGAACCCCCTGGTACTTACCTGGGTCTCAGAGTCTCAACCACAGAAACAGTCACAGTAAGTGTGAAACCTTGGAAATTTGAGCAATCGGTTCATGGAGCCAGCGGCAAGTTGAATTGGTTTCTTCATGATGGGATGAATGGCAGAGAGGTCTTCTCTTCCAAGCCATCAAAGTTCTCACTGCTCCAGCCAAAGGCATGGTTTAGAGATCGATACTCGAGTGTCTACAGGCCCTTCACGAAAGAAGGAGGGGTGATCTTTGCGGGCGACGAGTATGGGGAAAGTGTCTGGTGGAAGGTGGGTGCAGGAGCCTTCGGAAAGACCATGGGGTGGGAAATCAAAGGCACGATTGGCATAACCTACTGGCCCAACAAGCAAAGAAGCTTTTACAGTGAAACAAGGAATTTGCAGTTCAAAGAGCTAATTTATCTTAACCTTCCTAAAGCAGTATAGCATCCAAGAGTAATGGAAGAAGCCTATCCCTAACACAAAGAAGCATGTTGCTGGCTCATAATATGACTACTATCTTTTCCCTTCATAAAACAGCATGGTATTTAGAGCAATGCACCCCATATGTACATCCATAATACTAAGTGCATGTTGGTGTCTTGTGGTATCGGTCTGAAACGACTATCATCAATTACTAATGTGAATTCTGAGCTCATCAAACTGATTATGGGAACACAGTAAGCAACCTTCTGAGGTGCTTCAATACTTTTTATGACACTAATATTATTTTCACTGGTTTACTGACCAAATATTGGTTAATCCTACTGGAGGATAAGAGGATAACAAAAGTATATCAAAGAATCCCCCAGGGAACTTCCCTCCGACAGTTCAAAATCGCTCTTTGGTGCTTACCATCATGGGAGGTAACAAATCTTCGCAAATCGATCTTTGATGAAGACCACGACTTACCTTCCCCAACTCCTTCAGTTTCTTATTAGGAAGCAACAAAAGATTTAACGCAAACAATGCTTATCAAGACTGAATGCAGCAGGTCAGTTAGAAATCAGAAGCAGCAGCAGGACGAGCTAATCATTCGCACCTTCTTGGAGAGGAAACCAACGATCTTGGCGCTGGAGCTGGGCAAGCACGGCGGCCAGATCGGTCGAAGGAGCCGAACGACGTGGTCGAAAGGCGAGCCGGCGTAAAGCTGGTCATGTGGGGCCGCGATCTCCGACGAGGCAGGTCGGGGCGTCGCGCTGAAGCCACGGCACGGCCTGCCTGCTCATGCTCGCCCGAACGCCTTGGCACGAGGAGGAGCCGGACCTCAAATGCAAAGCCCTAAATCCCTTCCTCACCCGTTTAACGAACTCGTTAAAACCACCATCCAAACAGCCCGCTGAACACCAAACAACCATAAAATTAGATCCTGTATTTTCACACAAAATTGAATTTCTCCCTTCAATAGGATGATGTGAAAAAATATAGAAGAAGAGATAATTAGTAAATTTTTACGCTGTTTTTTATATAAAAAAAATTATCGGATTTTACCGATCAGAAAAAATAAAATAAAATATTTATTATGGAAATGATGAACGTATCCATCACTTACCTGGATGCAATTCTCCGTCCCAGAGCCTCCAAATCAGTTAAACATCCGAAGTCTGGGATCAGCACGGTATCCATCAGCCGCCGACGACGACAATCTGTCCAAAGTGAGGACGCAAAGCTACCTCTAACATTGAAACACTAAGTCAGAGCTGCAGTAAAATTGCATGGTGTCTAAAGCTCATCGAAACAGAAGGCTTTCTTTACTTTCATACCATGGATTACAAAAGAAAAAAACACAAACAAACAAACATCATTACACACAAACGAAAGAAGATTACATGGACATCAAAAGAAAAGAAAAGAAAAAAACAACCATACGACGACGACAACCATCGATCTTTTGACTGAAATATCAATTTATGGGGCTCGAAAGGATGTCAGCGTCGAGCATTCCAAATTCTCCAGGCCCATACTCCCAATCATCACCCAACGGCCTTTGGAGACTATCACAACAATCAAATTCCAAAGGAGGATTTTGCTCCGTGCCCCATAATGGCCCTAACACCGTACCATCCGGACTTTGCAAGTCCAGCCCAACGTCTGCAGGAATCATGCATTGCCAGCCTGTGTCCGCCGCAACAGCACCAAACTGATCGGGAGCACCATTGTCTGTATCCGTCCCCATCATTCTCAGCATCTCTTCCACGGAGAATTCATCCTCCCGTGGTGATTGACAAAGAAGAAGATCCACGCTCGCCTCAGTCGACTGAGTCTCTGGAGCATCGGCTGCTGAAGATGGCCACATATCAGATGCCACATCTTCTTTCAGTTCAATCTTCGGATGCTTGATGTTGTCCGCCCAGGTACGAGGTGCATCTACAGTTTCAGAGCCAGCATCAACCCTTGGAGTTTTGATGCCAAAGTCACACGATACGGACGCATCAACATCTTCTGAGTTATACGAGGTCGAAGTCGACCCACACAACCCCCTCGTCATAGCAGGCAGATTGAGACGAGCCATGGTTCCATACATGGCTCTCGCAGCATCATCGTAGGCGAGAGCGGCTTGGAAGGCAGTGGGGAAAGTTCCCAACCAAAGGCGGCTACCTCGGTTTGGTTCTCGGATCTCAGCGACCCACTTGCCCCAGGTGCGCTGTCTTACACCACGATATCTGCAGTTAGGATTCTCTGGCCCTCCTTTGCCTCGCATGCAACCTTTCTTTGATCCTTTGGCAGGTGGTCTCCTAACTCGCTTTTCGGTGTCTACGGAACATTTGAGCTGCCTATTACGCTCCCTCCACCAAGCAATGGTTTCTGCCACAGAACTAGAACCATTCCTCCCTCTGCGTACTCTACTCCTCCTGAACGAAAGGGGGAAAACGTGTCAGCGCTTATACAGGACAGCAGAAAGCCATGATTGAACACTAATCAAACCAAATCATCAACGATGATTGAAACAAATAAGAATGTCTTTCACGATGCGTGAAAAAAATGTACTCCCAACCACACCCACAGAGGTCAAAAACACAAAAAACAAAAACAAATCAAAAGGCTTTTTTATTTTCCATTTTATTCCTCTCGTGTTCAGGATTCCTGATCACCACCTGAATGAAGCACCAAACAGCAGGCAAAACACGACAATTTCCTCCGGAAAATGGCCACATTCTGCAAGGCCGGATTTGTTTTCGAGGAACATCATTTGGATCCCGCCTGAAGACTAGTATAATACAACCAAAAGTGCAATGGTTTCCTGTTAGCTCCCAGCTACCCATTCCAGACTAGGAGAAAAACCAGACCTTCCCTCCCATGTAACAAAAACAAGAAAGACAACTACGAAGCACTTGTAACTTGTGAACACCATTTCCTCTGAACCCACATCTGAATTTATTTGACTTTAGAAAACATAAGCTGGATTCAATTTTGACCATAAAAAAAACAACTGAAGTGAATATAAAACCAGATGCAAAGTGAGAAACAGGCATGTCATACCTAAACATTCTGCAGAATCAATATAACCAAGCACCTGCCGCTCCCGACTTCTACTTCAGCAAATATCATAAGACAAAGTGTACAAAATAAGTAAAGCATGTGATCCATCAGAGAGAAATAAACACTTAAGTAGCACGAACCAAAGTCAAAATACATTTCAAATATTTTTTAGCTTCCAAAAATCTGTTTATTCAACCGTTAAAAATAGCAAAACAAATTCAGCAAGCAAACAAAAAAATCATGACCTTGGTACATAAATCTCAACGTTCATTCTGACATTAGTTTCCCCTAAGTTTCTGACAGCTCAATCATTGGAAGAAAAGAAATTCAATCTGTGTATCTTCAGCATTGAGAAGGACAGGCTACTGGATTCAGAACTAGCATAAACCCTCTCACCCTATGTTCACCATGCTTATACCCTCATGATTTTGATCATCACAACTTTCACACTGAGCCCAAGAAGTAAACGAGGACACACAGGCTACAAAAATGGAACTAATACTACAGTTTCAATCCACTGAGATTAGAGACTGCCAGCCAACTCTCTAGGAAGTCTTAGGGGTACAGATGTTTGGTTGCAGAAAGTCAAATAAACACTCCAAGTGAGACTCCCACCCATGTTTTATTGGATACGAACTTCAAGAAGATTCCAGTGATCGACATATTTCTACCTAGAAAGCGGCAACTTACTAATTTCATCATGGAGAACTTTCTAAGATACAAGTCAATAACTTTCTCCCAGGATAATCAAGAGTAATATCTATAAAAACTAAATGATGTATCTTCAGAACATTCGACTTGATAAACACTCCAAGGGTTTAAGCATCCATTGACAGTGAAGTAACAACCAAACAACAAAATCCAGAACATCTAAGAAACTTCATAGTCTGCCTGATAAGTTTGTGATGTTAAACTTGAGTTATAAACAAATACTGTATCCAATTTGGCACAGCTAAGACCCAAATATTCTCAAATATTCTTAGTTGTTAGAAACATGTCCAGCTTCAGTTGTGCAAAACAACCAAAAAGGCCCAGAAAAACAGAGCATGATAGCGTCCTTGCTGACTCCTAAATCAATGGATCTCTTATGCTTGGTGGCCCTCCCACGTTCAGCTAAGAACATCATATTCCTGCATGTTTCTTGCTTAATCTGACTACTGACCTACCAATGCTAATTTAGACATCATCAGTGACAAAAGAAGACTACCACATGCACCAACAAATTTCAACATTGTAAAGTTCAGACATAAGAAAGGCAAGACGTAAGGCTAATATGTTATAACCTCATCGATGTTGTTGATTAAGCATATTATTGAATCCTTCCTAATAGGTCAAGCTTTAAAGATTTATCACCACCCAATCAAATCTTAATATACTCGAGTCATGAATTTGAGTCCTAAATCTACCCAATGCTTAATATATTTGTTCAGTACCCATTCTTCATATTGGTTGTTCCATACACTCATGTTCCGCTCATTCTCGTCACATGTAAAACCAACTTAATCACGAGATGGAGCTTAAAGCATATATTGGGCCCTTACCTGATAGCTTAAGCTTTTGAATTTGTGTTCACTCGATCATATCTTTAAGAGATATCATGGAGCACCCATAGACCAAATGTCAAGATGAATTACAATCAGTAAATTAACTAATCTAACCTTTCCTCTGATATAATCAACTGAACACTATCATGAGAAGCATGTATGTCTTCTAATCCCTAGTTAGTTGCATCAGAACTCATACTGCCTTATTCATCAATTCTAAACAGATTATGCTTCGGCGGTCATAGAAGTCTTCTGCCATCACCCTGCTTCCATCTCAAACCTCTTGCACATTGCAATAATCCTTGGAAACAAACCCAAAGCAACCAAAATAATTACTTGGAGTCCATAATGGTGTTCGATAGTCTTACAGAAACAATTCATCCAAAAGATTCCACGCTCTATATAGTTACTGGGCAAACAAAACTATAGTTCCCGGACAAAGTGAAACGAAAGGTCAAAGCCTACGTCTCTCTCAACCTATAACATCCCTGTTCCTAAGAAATAAACCTTCAAATATATGAAATCAACATAAGCAACCAAACATGCTCCTCAGATGTTCAAGTACTGGACCGAACTTTTACTTCTAATTTTTACAACATGAAATCAAACGTTCTAATAATAAACATATATCTATTATTCCGTCGTTACCCACCAGGCATCAAATTCCCTTGTACTGCAGAAATCCAACAGAAAAGGAAAGCAAAAGCGACCGAAACCACCGGTCGTTGCCATCAACGTTTGCATGCTTTATCTATGCCAAATTCAGGTGATTCTATGTTCTGATCACGCATTACAGTCGCAAGCAACACTCACTTCGAAAGCAAACCACAGTCAGCACTTCCCAAACACAGGAATCCATCTTTCTTGATAAAGAGAACTCTCTCCTGAAAGATGCAAAACCCATTTCTTGAATCCGAAAGCCTTCCGTAAGACCTCAAGAAAACCCACAAGTCAATCGGCCCAACTTAAGTGATCGATCCCCTCCACTGAGGTCGCTAGCTTCTCTTTCGATGCCCAAACCCAAACAACCTCACAGAACAAACGAGAAACCCCAAGAAACCGAAAAGGACCAGCAACCGTAAAAATAAATGGAAACGACCGAAGAGGGAATCAAGGAACCAATCGACAAGGGAAAACCAAACAAGAACCGAGCGCAGAACTCGTAGACCAACCAAAAAATCGAACCAAGAGAGCGCAAGAAACAAGAACAGGACCGTAAAGATTCGATCTATACCTATCGGACTCCACCATCGTCATCACCCCCATCTGTCGAGCTTCCTCTTGGTTTAGGGCCCGCGATCTCTTCCTTCGTGGTTTCCAGATGTTTCTTGGTCTCCAAGAGATGCCAAAGGCGGTGCCGAGATCCTTATATAGGAGAAGACGTGTCACGTGGGAGAGGACGTGTCGAAAGCTGAGACGTCGTGTCTGGCACGTGTCTGACGAACGTTCCGCGATGGCGTGGCCGATTGCTTGGTCACGAAGGCTTGGATTGTGTATCTGCCCGTACACGTAGACCTTCATGGTAGTGCAACCCACGGGATGGCAGCTCATCATCTGGATCAGCGAGGCAGGAACCACGCGATGTCAAATGGATGGTCAGGATTACTTGGTAATCCTGACCACATAATTAAGTCAGTGGGTTAGATTAGCTCTCCCAGTCACTCATGGCAATGGATATGTTCGTCCTTATATTATCCTTTATATTCAAGAGAACATTTTTTTGCATCCACTTTGGCAGTTTGGTAGAAAAGCTCATGAAATGAGAAAAAGATAATTTGTACAAACATCCAACCGCATCACAAATGACAATTACCGATGACTTATACGAACGCAGCTTAGCTTCGTGTCGCATGACCCACGGCATCCATCAACCAATCTGAGAACCAATCAACCCATTGCTTGCACACCATACAACGCCATTCACTTCCCTACACACCACTATTTATATGGCCTTTCTTCTGCCCAACGGCAACTCCTCCCATTTCTCTCTCTCTCTCTCGGTGTCACAGATTAGAAGGGAAAGAAGCGAAGCGATGCCTTGTCTTCCTGGAACGAGGACTTGCATCGAACACCAAGAGGAGGAGACGGAGTGGGAGAGGTGTACGGCGCACGAGGTGCCGGAGGCGGTGGCGAGTTACCACGAGCACGCGGTGGGGTTGAACCAGTGCTGCTCGGCGGTGGTGCAGGCGGTGAAGGCCCCGGTGGCGGCGGTGTGGTCGGTGGTGCGGCGCTTCGACCAGCCGCAGGCGTACAAGCAATTCGTGAGGAGGTGCGACGTCGTCGTCGGGGACGGCGACGTCGGCACGCTGCGGGAGGTGAGCGTCGTCTCCGGCCTGCCGGCGGCCACCAGCACGGAGCGCCTCGAGATCCTCGACGACGAGCGCCACGTGCTCAGCTTCCGGGTGGTCGGCGGCGAGCACCGCCTCGCCAACTACCGGTCCGTGACCACGCTGCACCAGGACGGCGGAAGCGGCGGCGGCGGCGGGCGCACGGTGGTGGTGGAGTCGTACGTGGTGGACGTGCCGCCGGGCAACACCACGGAGGAGACGCGGGTGTTCGTCGACACCATCGTCAGGTGCAACCTCCAGTCCTTGGCGCGGACCGCCCAAGGCCTCTCGTCAAGCGCGGCAGCAACAGCGGCGGCGGGAGGGCAACGCATAATTAAATGAGATTCGACGGACTCTTTCTAAAGCTTTCCCCTTTTCCAATTACCGTCTCTTCGATCTATATTTCTCGAATGCCAGAATACTGTTTCCGATCTGATTCCCCATAGTTGGACTTGCAAGCATAATATCGAATGCCAGAATACTGTTGTGCATCAGTTTATAAATATTCAATCAACTTATTCCTGCTTATGAATTAATGAGTGCCCACAAATTGTCCTTAAAAAAGGATCAAAAAGCTGAAGAAGAAGAAGAAGAAGAAATATTGATGTCTTCATATGCAAGTTGGTGGCATTGGATACCTCAGCTTGTGGATTTAAGAGAGAGGAGAGAGCAAGTTGGAGCTGCTTCCCTTGATTTCTCCATCAGCTTTCTGTCCTACATCGGTTACTCTCTGGCCATCGGCTTCGGCTTTCTTCTCCTGCTGAACATTATTTCAGCTGTACCGATGAGGGTGATGGCGGACAAGTTGAGCGGCAAGTTGCAAGGCAGCCTTTAATGTCCCTCCCTCACCCTCCTGCAAGTTGAGCTGCAAGTTGCAAGGCCAAGGACGGACTTGTCAACCCTGAAGAAGAAGAAGAAGAAGTGATGAAAGGGAAAGGGAGGATCAAGGAACATAGTTTGCATCGTCCAAATAAGACGCATATTTACCTATGACCGATGTGAATAATATTCACAGCGAGGAGGTAATGAATCCACGGAAAGATGCTGGTGGTCCAAATTGGCAGTGGGACGTCGGGAAAGTTAAGTATGTCGGAAGAAGTGGCGGTTCCCATGGGAACAGCTTAAAGCTGCGTTACGTTTGTGGTCTGCACCTCCCCCATCCTTCGTCCTTTCCCTGATCTTATTATTGAAACCAAGCTTTTTTAGGTTCGACTCCCGCACGAATCTTGAAGCGTTCGTTTTCTTCTGTTACACGACGCCACGTAGTTTGGACTCCAGCACGAATCTTGCAGCACGAATCTTGAGAGATCCGACCGACACACCCATCTCTCTCTCTCTCTACCAGAGGCACAAAGTTCTTACTCCCGACTCAGATTAGCATCATAGACAACACCTAAAAGCTGCTCTCCACAGAATAATCCCAGCATAAGATTCTACAGAGGATAAAACAAGTTATTCTGACGAGGCCTCCTCACATATGATTATTAAGTATATCAACATTGCATATCACGAAGATTAAGGATCCATTAGCATAAACACTATGAAAATGCCGTAATGAGTAAAGCTGGGAAAGTCAAGAACTAAGAATTCTTCTACTTTGGCATCAATGAATCAAAACAAAGTTCAAAATATCAAATTAAAAGCATCTATTTACTTCTGTGACTGTAAGGAGAGCTTCAAATACCAAAAGCTCCAACAGGATGAAAGGAATGAACTCCGTTTCACAACATGCACAAGGCTGCATTACTTGGACAAGAGATGGTGTAAATAGAGTGAATGCAGGTATTTAAGCTCATGGTTAATCCTAAAGGATCCATCATCATGTCCAACATGCAGATTAATCATTTGGAAATGGCAAACCAATTGTTTTCAGAGCCTTACAGGATCTCCAGCATCTTCTTGTTTTGCCGTGCCACTAGAACACAACAACATAATAAAACTTTGAGCTTGTGCATGCTGATATAACAGGAAATCATGTAGCTGTAATATACAATGTAGGCTGTGAAGAATAATCTTTAAAATGAGAATATTTGTTTTGTAGCAGAAAACAAAAAACACAATTCTTACCTTTTGATGGTGTGTCAGTTGCTACCATGATACCGAAGCAGTGGAACCACCAAACTCAGAAGGTTCACCTTTTAGATCGGTGTAGATCATGATATCTTGTCACTAAGTTTATCGTCGGATTACAGATATATTACAGAGAAACTTCCATAAATCATAGGACTATAGAATACCTTCGACCGATTCAACGACTGGTACAGACTCCAATATGCGTTAGCCCAAAAGGATTTCTCACTTTCCATATGGCTTAGGAACACCGTTTATATACTGTTACAGTCAAAATAAGGAATCAACCCTACCACAAAGCTCAAAATAAAAATAAAAATAACTTCAATTTTGACCAAAAGTAAGAACTACAAATTTTCAGAATATACTACTACATTATTTCCATTGTATCACCCAACGTGAATCTTCATCGATCATGACTTCCTCGAGGTCCATGTCTATAGTCCACTACTCCCTTTAGACCCATGCCCTGTTTAGGAGTGACCATAAACAATGTGTTCAAAACCTCGATTCTATCTACTGAGACATCAGATTTGTTGCATACCATCCGAGAAAAAAAAAAACAGGGCTCATAATCAACTTAAAAGTCCTCAAAAGTCAAAGTTAAAGAACCTGCCTATCCAGACTAAGATATCCTAATTGATCGATATAAAGAATTTTTTACACTTACAGAACACCCCAAAATTTCCTAAAAAAGAATAACAAGGATGGACCAAAACCTAATATAAATAGGAAACACAGAGACCATAATAACTTCAACTGACTCATTCGAAGGAATGCAAGACCCAAACCTACGCTCAATGTGAGTTTGATACAACAAAAAAAAGTATTAGCGATCATAAAGGTTCTTAAGGAGTTTATCTGATGTTTTACAATGTCAAGCATGCTGTCTTTTTGGATCAAAGAATCTGAAACCCTGCCAGATGACTGGAATGGCAAAAGAATTCCTTTTAGATTAAGAGCCTCAAGATATTCTTTATTTATGATAGAAAAAATAGACCAATGTTCCGATCCTTCTATCAAGCACTTGAAGATATTTTTAGACCTTGAACTTGAAGAAAGAACCAAGACGACGACCTACAATTAGATGTTGATATCTGGAAAACCAAAATATAATACATTAGTCGTAACAAGGTCGAATGCCAACCATCTCAAGTGGCTGCATTCTGGGATTTGCAATCTAAGAGTGACAAAGGAAGCTCACTAGCATGAACAACATGGATTTGGCTATGGGTAGAGAAACACAAAGCTACGAAACTTCCGTCGTTGGATACCTACAAATTTTTTTAGGTGATCTTCCTGTTGTTAGGTTCATTCTCCTAAAGTTTCGTCATCCGAGAACCTAAGTCGCCAAGTCTTGATTCCAGATCATATACTGTGTTCGATGATATCTCTCTACCAAGAATCTTAATAGAGGATCACAAACACTATCAGTGGCATGAGATCAGTCTGTAGCAAACATGAATTTATGTACAAAACATAAATAATCTGAAAAGGAGGCAATTAGTAAACTTTGTCAAATAAAAACTTATCATTTACATTGAAATCAGCATGACCAAATGATAAATACCATAGATGATGATGAGCATTAAATCGAATTCCATCTTTCCCCCCCTTTTTTTTGCGTTTCCATCATAGAAGAAAAGGCTAATCTTCAATTTTCGTCCCCATGATTGTAGATAAAGCATAAAACCAAGAAAAAATAACATCAGTCACTGACAGAATGCATCAAAGACGCGATCTCGACTAGCTTGGTGAACTACTCTCACCTCTCATACGCCTAAGCCGAGCCACCCACTGGTCTTCGGGCACTCGTTCCGCCCAATCCGGAGGGACACCTTGGAACGCGACTCCCCTCATCGCATCGAGGACCCTCGCGGCGTTCTCCGGCGTCAACGGTGCGGACCTTCGCCTCTCGTCCTCCCTGAACGCCCTCGAGATCGACACTTCCCGCTGCCTCACGCTCTCCTCCTCGGCTTCTTCATCCTCCACCTCTTCCACCAAGCCTCCGCTAGAAGCGACAACGCCATCGCCACCTCCGTTCAGATCCAGAGCCGATATGCCACTCTCGGCGTCGAGAAAGAGGAAACTAGGGTCAGGGTTTCGAAGGTGGAACAAGGCGCCGCCGTTGGGTCGGATCGGGGAGGCGGCTTCAACGATCCCTCCGGAGGCGACGTCGGAGTCAGAGTTGGGATCGAAGCCGTCATCGAAGGCGGAGATCGGGTGGTAGTAGGCGTCGTGGGCGGCAGATCCGTAGTCGCCGTCGTCTTCGTCGTCGGTGGCGTCATCTGAGGACGAGAGGCATTTAGGAGAGTACTTTGGGGGAAGGATGGAAGGATGAGATGTTACCTCGGTGGGGGTGGAGGCCGTTGGAGATGGACATTTTCACCACCGATGGAGCCGAAGAGAAAGGGAGAAGAGGAGCCTCCGTCGCCGTCGCCACGCCTCTGATCGGAAAAATACTCCCACCGCTCCATTTTGTTGCTTATATTTATTTTACTTTGTTTTTGTTCAAGTGGCCCCACCAAGAAAGAACCCAAATGCCCTTTTTTTTAATAAAGAAAAGGGTATATTTTTAATAATTCGAATTTCGAATTTAATTACTACAGCTATGAAAAGAAAGTCCGTCTCGCGATTTAGCAATCACAGCATGAAGCAAAGTGCATCTCCGATGCATACATTCGTTACAACACAAAGCTAATAATTCGAGGATGACAAACTGATAGAATATTATGATTTTATATTTTTAATTAATTTATGATCACATATTTGAATGCTATGAGTTAATTATGTAATTTAAATACATCATTGAAAAAAAAATTCTCAATATATATATAAATAAATATTATCTCAACCAATGAAATCACTTTTCTGCATTCTATAATTCATCATCCCATCTTAACCATTTTTGCTTCAAGAAAAAAAAAGGAAAAAAATTATTTTCTACCGTCTCTTATTGCTTCCCATTTGAGTTCGTTCGACAGCAATCTACTTGTCATTTATTGTCATTGCTGTCATAATAGCAACAAAACCTTTTCTCGATAATATGCACTTACATCGAAGTTTCTTTCAACGTAGATCCTAGATTTGCATATCTAAGATTTCTCGGAGCCATGGTAAGAGTCGGAGTCTTGCCTATGACATACTCGAGTTCTCCTTCTCTCTAGGAACTCTATCATAATTACCGATCAACCTCTTTATGTCATCGTCGCAGAAAAGGCTCTTTCCCCCTCCTTCCATATTTCAACGACGTGACTTATCAGATATGTAGAGTTTCCCTGATCTTCATCAAATCAGATTTCTTCTTGTGCATTTTTCGAATCTAATCTTCACTAACATATAAGATCTCTATCGTCTACCATCCACTATATTATCAATTGGTTCTAAAATTTTCTCAGTGGATCATAGTATCTTTTCAACATGTTTTCCTCATTTACATTTAACACTTCTAAGTGTTATTTTTTTTAGGATATAATTGTTCATTTCAACTTATATGACTTATATCCATAAATGTAATAATTATAATCCCCTTCAAACTATCCAAAAGCGATAATTATGTATCTTGACGAGCATAATTCACCAATCTCATCTTTGGATATGATCTATTAGGCTATATCAATGACTCTTATTTATCCACCGGAAAAGATTTAAATACTAGGAGAATATATCCAAATAACGAATCCTAATCATAAGTTCTGACTAGACAATATCATCTTATTCTACAAGTAATTCAAGTCTTAGTTGCTGGCTCCATAGCACTACTAATATCTTTGTGCGGCATTTCAGTATAAGCATGGTCAAAGTTACAAACCAACATTATCAATTGCCTTCGTATGTAAAATATTTTATCCACTCTGATGAAAATAGCATAAGAGTGAAGTACTATTATCAATTATATACAAAATCTAAAAGTTATTATAAATGACTTTGCTTTAATATATCATCTTCTGAGCGATGAAAAAGTCATTGTTCATATTTTTAATGGCCTAAGAAAAGAATATAAGAAACTAACGACATTAGTTCAATCACATAACATATCTGAAAAATGAGAAAAAAAGATCATGAAACCAACTATCATATTTTAATTCAATCAAAAATTCAAACGAAACGATAATCAAAACAATAAAACTTTAACAAAGGACCGAACAAGATGCTTTTTAGACAAATAAATAACACACCTAACTATCATCCTCCATTATATTATCAAAATTTCAATCATAATGACATCTTCAATCCAAACAATGCTCGATCAAGCAATTGGATAGGTTTCATGATCAGTTAGCTTATCATATAGTTCTGCAAATGACATCGGTGAGTCACATATCTAAATTATTGCTGTCAATTTCTTATAATTTTCTTGGCATCGAAAATATAAACAATGATTTCTTTATCATTAAAAGGATAATCTATTAAAATTAAATCATCTATAAGAACTTTTAAATTTTATATATAATTAATAATAAATATATATGTAATTATTTTAATTAAAATAAATAAAAAAATTAAAAAGCAAACCATCTCAAAAGATATGGATCATAACTAAAATGAGCGTGTTATTTTGTTGGAGCGTGTTATTTGAAGATCCACAGCAAATATGAGCGTGTTGTTGAAGCATATCGTTCACAAAGTTCTACAATTCTTCACAAACGATTTTATTCACACTCGGAATGCAGAATTAGCGAAAGCTACACCAATCTGCATCACCATCGACTTTATTATCGTCACAACAACAGCACACTGATACAATAGTAGCTCTCGAGATTATTATTATTATTGCTACAACACCTGCAGCACCCTGACACGGTAATAGTAGGAGTTCTCGAGATTATTATGACTGTTACAACACCTGCGGCACCCTGGGACACAGTAGCCGTTCTCGAGATTATTATTATTATTATTATTGCTACAACACCTGCAGCACCCTGACACAGCAGTAGGAGTTCTCGAGATTTTTATTGCAGCTACGACATCATGCAAATCAACCTTCAGAATGCGGCGGCCGCAGTTCAAGAGTCGGAGATTTGTCCAGTTCTTGGCAGCTTCCATCCACACCGCACGGCTGAACGATGAACCTGACGAGACCAACTCCACTGGGAATAGCAAGATGCAATACGTACCAGAGTTCAACTCTAGCAAACCCAAGGAAGCTGGGGCGTGCCTCGTTGTTGCCTCCATGAGTCAATAATTTCTCCACGTGAATGTTGTATCTCGTGAACGACGTCATGTCGCCTTCGTTGAGCTTCCAAGTGATCTTTAGGCTGAGAATTCTGTTTCCATCGAGATCTGTGGTCCATGAAGTATACGAGGGATCGATGTGCCATGCGTCCGCGAGTGGATAACTCATTGGCGTGTTGAAAATTCTGATCTGACCTAATGATGCATGGTAGGAAGAAGGTGAGTCACTTTTTCGGGTTGGACTTTGTTCCATCTCCACGGCTGCATCTTTCAAGGCACCCACGATATAGATGTCAGTCAGCGTGTAGCCAGTCATGGTGAAGGTGCCGGCAAACGGAGTCCAGGTTGAGTCGGCCAGCACGTCTGCCTTCTTACTAATTTGTGGTAGTTTAATGATCTTATCAAACTCAAAGCTTGCAACAGTTAACGGTGGTTGAGAATCATCTTCGATAAGGATGTATGACTTTTTGTTGGTTTCAGACACCAAAACCAGGATTTCTCCAAAGAGAGAATTATCATCTAATCTTACCTGCATGGAAAATAACAAGAAGGTAAGGATCGAGGCCTACACGTAAATGAAAATGAAACTCAGCAAGGTATCAGTTTCAGTAATTGAAGTGACGGGATATCAATTAACCTGCAAGATCAAAGTAGTGCTGCCATTTAAACTACAATGACGGGGAAAGGAACCAATTAAATTACATGTTGCTTGTGAGGAAAGATGAAACTTACAAAACATTTAACCTGCACTGCTTTATCGTCCAGCAGCAGTTGTCCACTGAAGATCTTTATAGAGAAAACAGAGGCATCCTCGACACTTCCTTTAACAGTGAGACTTCCTCCTCCAAAGTAAGAAGCGTCCTCAAAACTACCAATTGAGGATAGCTCAATCAAAGGAGATTAAATCTTGAAATTTTACTTAACAAGGTTCTTCATATATGGGAAATAAAGAACACAAAGTAACTGTTCTAGTTTCTCACGAGATTATATATATATATATATATATATATATATATATATATATATATATATATATATATTTAGGACCAAGATTTATGAAATAGAGAAACTAAAAGAATGAACCTTTTGCTTTTGGAAAAGAAAATACTTCAACTTACTCGATGTAAGCTTCCACAGCAGAGCCAACACTAAGAAGTGGCTGTTCCAAAGAATAAAAGAAATTACCTTATAAATAACATAAAATAGATTTGACGGTGCTCCAAAAATGCAATGCATGTAGGCGGAAGAATATTCTACAAGTTACATGCAATAAATTGCTGATGAACATGACAAATTATATGAAGCATGAAGCATAATTATGAGGTACCTGGAAGCCTTGAGAAGATATGTTATTCCAGTGGTTATTTGCTACCTGTAATCCTTCAATTGAAAATTGAAGGCCGCGACCCTGGAGAAATATAAGGCTCAGGGTTCAACAATTGCTATCGAAGTAGTAATGAAATAGGCATAATCAAGAAAATCACAAGAATAAATATGCAAAAAAGACCCAAGAAAAGAGAAAAAAAAACGTTTAATGAATTTAAGCACCATAAATATGACTATCTAGTACAAATATATAATTTTAAATAGTTGATAATGAAAAATACAAGAAGAAATTCAGAGCGAAGCTAGTTTAAGAGTCTATGTCAAAGGAAACAATGTTCTCATGAAAACTTCTTAAAGGATACACTACATATTAGTGGGTCCAAGTGGAGAAAGGAAGAGGTTAAATATGTTGAACTAATTGCTAAATTTCAGTTGAAATCGTAAAGACTAGCAAATTTACTGTCACAATTCCAATTGAATTCATTTTTTTATAAACATGTTTGCTGATAGTAATTTGTGGACGCAGCATGGCATGTCCAACATGATAGCCCCTCATCGTCATAAGCCAAATATATGCAAAGATTGTGTTTTTTGTCATGACACGAATCTCATGCAAAAACCATGTCACTTCAGGTTTCATTATCAATTGTGTTATGCTTGCCATAGAGGAAAAAGATTATATACAAACTATGAAGAAGCGGTATATATTATCCAGTTCAAGAGTCTTCCATCACGTAGCAGAATCAACAAATTCCAATTTTAAAGATGCATACCTGATCAAAGTTCGAGTAGAAGGGTAACACTTTAGGGTAGTTCCGAAGAATTCCCCATGATTGCTCCACAAGGCCCCACCAGCTGCAAAGTTCAATTCGAGTATCTTACACATTACAACACAAATAGAAGCAATATGAATTCTAAAAGCTAGCAACAACTGAGTTATTAAAATCACAAAAAATATACGGTTGTATAAATCTATGACAGTGACGTCATACCAAACTGGTACGACTCTGCAGAAAGGTATCAACATAAGTTTTGCCAAAGAGCGAGTTATTTCGAGCCGCATAAAATTGATGACTTACACCGGTTATTTTTTAATGTGCACCGATTAAAAAATTTCCCATTGGTGCCTTTTAGGTTGACATGCAAGTTTGTCTGAAGAGCACCCTGAAGCCCAGACCAAAGGTTCGTAAGCATAGACTGAAAATATTTGTCTTTGGTGTTACTACCTGCAAACTAGCCTTTTAAAACGGGCCCCTTTCTTGATCAGATTTGTTTGAACAAAAGAATTGGATTTCCTTTATAGGAAAACTTGGTGATTGGTATTTCTGTCTATTCGAAATTAGGCCACAAGTAAAACTGATACATGTTGAGCAAACAGATCCAACACAAAAGTTGTGTTTCATTATTCTTATAGTGATTCAAGTTGTAACCTCCTAGGTGACATATATTGTTGGTGCAATCAACTATTTGATTGCGGCCGAAATAATCAAGCTGCTACTTAATAAATGATGCATGGGAGCTCTTTATGGCCAAGTAAAACTTCACCGAGCTGGAGATTAAGGTGGAAAGTTCATACCGGTTTTGTGCAGTTTCGAAGTCAGGTCCTTGATTAGTTTCATATACCCATCCTGGAGCGAATATGGTAGCCGAAATATCATGCGTCTTCAGTACGTCGAGGGCTGCATTTGTCTGTAATGGCAACAATAATAAACAAATAAAAGAGCAAAAGAGAATTCATACATGGCATATCGAAAACCTACGTAAAAGAATGTAGACCATATCGATGATGTATAAGATGAAGTAATAGATGCATATGGATCAACGATGTAGACCAAATCGACAAGCAAAAGCGTATTCCCATGATTCTACTTTTCTGATCATGCCACAAGCAAATAGCTTGACCCAGAAGGCAAAAAAACCTGGTTAAAGGCCCACAGATTTACTCCAGTATCATGTATGACAACCCCAATAATCTGCAAACTTACATGAGCTTATATAATCTGTCAAAAATGCTGCGAATGTGCTTTGAATTGTGGAAGAAAAAGATTAAATTAATATATTCACATCTAGCCGTAGAAGGTTTATAGGAAATCCTGTAGAAATGCCCTAAGCATAGGCACGTATGCTTTGGTTTCTTTTACTATTCTAGCTTTGCATCAATTAATTACAGTGAGTGTATACATGTGAGGAAGAAAGAAAGAGAAGATATTACTCACAAATTTGCCTAGTGGCAGGCGTACCGAAGTTGTCAAATATTTATGAAGAAATATGACTTGTATAAATTGGATTTCAACCCTTCTTTTTGAGAAATTAGGCAAAATAATCAAAAGCTAGGAGTCTCAGAGCAAGGTGCTAACTTACATTCCACTGTCCGCCACCAAAGGTACCCCTGCCAAAAACATCAATGCCCATGTAGACGTCGAACTTTCTCTCACCCGCAACGCTAGCTGAATCTTCAACATCCGGTTCCTGCAGGGTTTGAAGACACATCTAAAAGCTAAGAAAGAAGAGAAGCAGAGTCAAGATTTCTAGCATGACAAGAAAGAAAAAAAAGATAAGGTACCTCCCACAAATAGTTGACTAAAATACCATCGCACAAATCAAAGAAGGGTTTGTTTTTCTGATTCAGTTTATTTTGAGAGCCTCCCGAACCATCTATAGTTACAGCATCATACCTGGACGATACAACCAAATAAGGCAAGCCACAAACCATGAGAAGAAAGGAAGATTAAGGAAAAGGAGTGAGTTTGGTGCGGGAAGTGACCATATGACCAAAGATCCGGGAATCTGAAAATGCATAGTACGAGATAGATGATCGACAAACTCCTTCAGGTTATCAATTTGCGTCCTGTCCAGTGTGACTTCCATATTGACCTGAAAGAGTTACTATCATGTCAGCTAAAACATGAAATCAAACTTAGTTCAGGGACCAGAAAATAAAGATCCAGATCGGGACTAACCAGCCAACCATCAAATCCCAAATGAGTAGCGAGTTCTGTCAGCCGTTCCGCGTACATTCTAGCGGATTCCTTTGTGGAAAGCAAGGTGTCACAGATCTTGCTACCGTCCTCCCCTTCTGTAATGAAAGTTCCTAAGACCTATTTACCGATCCAAATCAGAGGAGGCTAGACACTTGCAACTGTACCGAATCAGCCAATCTACCAAAAGCTAGCGGGAACCAAAGAAGAAGGAAGAGTTCGATGATACCCTGACGCCATGGGTGTGGGCGGCGTTGGTCCAGCACGGCGGCGGCAGCGTGACCAGGTAGTGGGAGAAGTAGACGAAGACGTCCATCAGGTACCAGTGCCAGATGGCGTAGGCGTCGGAGTTGTCTCCGCCCTGCACCAATGCGTCGTCGAGGTACCCGCCCATCATGTCGTGGCAGACGAGGATCCGGCGGCGAGGGGGCAGCGCGGCGGCGGAGGGAGGGAGGGGGACAGAGGAGCGGTTGAAGGGGTAGTGGAAAGAGTTGTGGTAGGAGTCGGAGGCGAGGGCTTCCAGGGTTGTGATGGGGTAGGAGATGGGGATGGAGGGCTGCGTCGGGTTGAAGGGCGGATCCCATGGCCGGGAATCGCCATTCGACCCGCCGATCGATTGTGGAGGAGGCATCTCGCGATCGCCGATCTCGTTTCGTTTCTGTTATCGATCTGCTTCTCCCGCCTTCGCTCCCGCTTTATTTATAGAGGACATTGGGCCAAATTGCATATATATCCCTACCAAGTAGCTCTTTCAATATCTACCCTTCTGAAGTGCTGTTTACTGTATATAAATATATTAACATTATATATATATATATATATATAAGACAAAAATTTAGAGGCAGTTTTTGAAGTGACATAACCATTTTTTAATTAAAACTCATAATTCTGAATATATATATATTTTGATGGTAGACAAATGATAAAAAGGAGTTTCGTTTAGCTTAATTCGTAGAGAAGTTGAGACTATGGTAGAGTCAATAAAAATAGGAAAAGTTATGTTCTTAAAGCTAAGGAAATGAAATTTCAAGAAAAGTATTTTAGAGCTCGAGAATGTGATGGCTTCGATGAGGAGGGAGATAAAATTATGAGGTTGTTGGGATGTCTTCCGACGAACATAACTAAGAAAAAACGATGAAAGATAAAAAGTGAAGAGACATGCCGTATTGACTTTAATGCTACAAATAAAAAAGGATCATCTCATTATTGAATGACAAAGGAGCAGAGGAATCGAAATAGGTTAACGATAGAGATTAAAAGACCATCCATCCCCGCACCTTCCTTGATCATGCATGGCGATATCCTGCCTCGCATAAATCATGCCGATTGCAATTGCAGCGGGCATAGCATTTGGAGATATCCTCGCTGGCGAGATGCGTCAAGTTGCTGGGGCCCATATAAGTACTAATTCCTCAATATACACGCAAGAATCGAATGTGTATGTAGCTTTTCACGTGGAAAACGCCATAAGAGATAGCACCTCCGCGTCAGCATACAAGGACGACACGAGAGCACGCACGGGTTAATGTAGCGAGAAATCTCCGAGGGGCTTGAGTGAGCCCTTCTACTTGTAGTGGAGTGTGCCCTTCTTTTAATGCCGACGTGTGTGCCACAAGCTTAGTGTCATAACACTAATCTTTCGAGTATTTGACTTGGATAACCGTCAAGTGTTCTGCAGTGCATTAATTACTTGGATAACTACTACCAAGCATTTGACTGCATGCGAACCTCTTAAAGAATAGAAATGGACATCCAATCGGACAATCGACGGCACCTACAGATGATGGTGGGTATGTATGCTAAGATTGACCTAAAAACAGAGATAATAACATGATGCACCAATAGATAATAATTGCATATTCCAAAGTGGTGTACAACCATATCTCGACTCAATTCGATGAAAAGCTAAAGCAAGAAACTCGACAACCATCTTGAAACAACTATTGCCAATAAAAGAACATCAACATTGATATGTTGATGAAGGCTACCGGGTCGCTTGAGAAAGTGATGATGGACCCTGACATGGTAGAAAGCAAACTAACCTTGGACAGCCAATTCAAGAGTTGGAGATTCGTCCAGTTGCTGGCAACTTCCATCGACACCACACGCTTGAACAATAAACCTGAGTGCCGTAACTCCAGTAGGAATACCAAGTTTTGATAAGAAAAATGCTTCGACTCTAGCGAATCCAACGTAGCTAGGTACTCTATCACTGATGTTTCCGTCGGTATGAATCATTAACCTTTCGACGTAGACATTATATCTTGTAAATGACATGGCATATCCTTCTTTGAGCTTCCAAGCGACCTTTAGGTTCAAACTTCTATTTCCATCAGAATCCAAGATCCATGAAATATCATGGCCTTGAATGACCCATGATTTGGCAGGTGGAAATTCCACGATCGGTTCACTGGTTAAAATCCTGATGTGACCTAATGATGCTCTATAGGGCAAAAATCCACTGTTTTCTGATGTGGCATTTTCTCTAATTGGGCTCTTCTCCATCTCAATATTAGTCGGGCCAGGGTTTTTCAAGGCACCCACGATATAAATGCCACCCAACGTATAGCCACTCATGGTCAAGGTAACTTCATGAATAAACCATGCTGCGTCAGCCAACACATCTGCTTTCGTGTCTTTAATTTGTGGCTTGATGGTTCTATTATACTCGAGGCCGGCAACAGTGAAGGGTTGAGTATCAGCTGTGATAAGGATGGATGTTTGTCCACTGATTTCAGACCACAATTCAAGGTATAGTCCAAAGAGAGAGTTTTCATCTGATCTTACCTGCAGAGAAAGAACAAGAATTTCAGGAACGCCAACACGTAAAATAATGTTAAAAAAAAAAGCTTGGAAATTACTAGGTACAGCATAATCCTACAGTCTGTGTAAACGAAATCCTTGGCTTACTAGCACCTCTTAAGTTCATACATTTGAAAATTGCTAAATATTTCAATACATTTGCGACCAATGAATTTGATGTTGATATTAAAGGAAATATCCAATTAAAATATAAACAGAAAAAGTATATTGCAACATAGAAAATTTTGAATCAAGAAATTCTCCTGGAAGTCAGCATACTCTTGAATAGAACCTTGGATTAAAGCTAGAATAACTAGGAAAAGAATCGATTAGACATTCTTATGGGAGATAATGCAGCTTACAGAATATGAAATGTTCACAGGTTGATCTTCCAGCTGAAGTTGTCCGTGAAAGAGTTTTGTAGAGAAAAAAGAGTTGTTCTCAAGATTTCCTCTAGCAGTGATACTACCTCCTCCACAGTAAGATGCGTCCTTGAAACTGCCAATTTAAGAATAGCCTAACTAAAGGAGTTCAACCTATAAATATTACCATAGAAAATCTTCATGAAAAAGTATATATATATATATATATATATATATATATATATATATATTTATTTATTTATTTATTTATAGAGAGAGAGAGAGAGTTTCAGACTAGAACCTACCAATTCAAGAATAGCTTAATTAAGGAGATTAGATGTAGAAATATTACTGAACAACAGAACAAGATCTTATGAAAAGAAGGAAAGCCAACTTCAGACTATGTTAAACAGAAGACAAAGATATAGTTGCAAGGGGGAAGCTATAAAGAAATAACACAACAGAAACACTTTTCCTACGCACTTTGACAGTTTGACCTTGTCAGTTCTTCCTCTTCTTTTTCTTTTTATTTGACTATTATTACCTTCTCTCTTTGGGGAGGTTATTATGCATTATGTAAGTGTAAAGCCTTTGTAGGAACTTGCTATCTGCCACTTTTACAAGGATCTTTGTTCATTATTTCTTTTGTTTTGATGGTCAATGAAATGGATGTTGTTTAGGTGTTCTATCAGTTCATCACGTGACCAAGGTTCTAATTAAGAAGGATTTTCCAATAAAAGTTGCGCAAGATTTATAATTTTCAAGCATATAATGATAATGTTTTCCCAATAAATATACAGATTCTTTGACTACTGCTTCTCATGCATCATATTGGTTTCTTTCCAGAAGGATTAAATGTTGAAAAAAGAGGTCATTTTTGTTGGAAAGAAACAATCTTTATGGACCTACTGAAACCATTTTGTTGGAAAGAAACAAGATTTGTGAACCTACTGAAACTAACTGTAGCAGCAATAAAATTCCCAACAACAACAACAACAATATATGTGCCTAAATATAGGATATGAATTTCTGGTAACATATGCACATAAATGTTAAATTTAAAAATGAAAATTTTGAAGTAGAGAAACTTAAATCGTGAAACTTTTGGTCTAAAAAGAGAAAGACAACAAAACTTACTTGATGCAGGCCTCGACTGTAGTTGAGCTAGGACCATTAGGACTATTAAGAAGAGGCTGCTCCAGAAAACATAAGAAAATTGTCTTACAAATAATATAAATTTCTTTTAAACAGTGGTACACAGATCGAGAAATATGTTTAATACAGATAGGACCTTTAAATACCTTACGTTGCTTTCCAAATGAAAATATAACATTTTAGTATATTTTTTATAATCTCAATATTATGGCACTTGGAAATATGGTAATAGGTGAAAGCATTGACAATATGTATGCACACGGTGTACAAATATTGTGTGTGTGTGTAAACTACTTGTCAACAATGGAACCCAAGATGTAAACTAACTAGTATTTATGTAGGAAATCTGCACAAATCAGATTATCAAACAAAGTTAAGAAGTACATCTACTCGGTACAATTTTCACCATTTCTAGATAGCAAATGTTGATCTCTGATGAAAAGCTCCAGTTGGGTGAAGAACATACTGTGAAACTATGTTATACATATGGATACCAGCCACCTTTTAGTATAAGGATTTAAAATCATAAGGTTTTCCTTAATACCAAAAAGGGATTTCAGCCAGAATTCTGAGGGATTGCGTCAATCAGCCACCAGGACAGACCAAGTTAAAGTTGATTTCAGGCAATTCCGCATGATCATCTGAAATGTACCAGTGAGTCAGTGACAACATCAAGTTGACAAGGGTCCAGTGGTGTAAATTATCAAGTCCGAGCACAATTGGTGAAAAACACATGTAACAAAAGGATCTGTTATTTATCAAGATCGTATGATCCTTCAGATAATCTTCCCAACAAAAAATATTCCAAATGTGAAGCAAACTTTAAAGATAAACCCAAAAAGGGCCACAAGACAACATATTAATAACACAACAAAAATATCTAAAGCTTGGAATCTTCCTTAAAGTAACAATTTCATAACATGAATCATGTATACATGCAAAATTAAACGAAGCATGAAACAAAATTTCAATATACCTGAAAGCCTTGAGAAGAAATGTTATTCCAAGGATCGTTGGCAACCTGTAAACCTTCAATTGAACAATGATAACCATGACCCTGGAAATATGTAGGACTCAGAGTTCGATAGTTGCTACTGAAGTTATCAAATGTGACAGATTCAAGGTGCATAAGATCAACCGGTTTAAGAGAAACAAAACAATAAATATGGAGAAAAGCAAGGTTCATTGTACCACTCAGGGTGATATGTACCGGTCCGATAGGGGACCGGTATGGATGGTACATACTATTCTGTCGGTATGCCCTACTGTATCATGTGTTGATACATCAGTACAAACCGTACCAATAGTCGGTCAATATACCAATATAGACCAGTAAGACCAACCATGGAGAAAAGATCCAAGAAAAAAAGAAAATGTTTAATGACTAGTGAGCAGCATAATTATGATTATCTGGTATTTAGGTGCATAATTATGAGTAGCTCCTAATAAATGAAAAAGAATATTTTCAAGTGAAAGCTATTACAAAAGTCTAGACAAAAGATGATGTTAGTCACACTATAATTTCTCAACTACAACAATTACGAAGGATTAAAACTAAATAGCAATAGGATGTAGGACTTTATGAATTGGCAACAATTAAATAAATATTTAAACAAGTACCCCCTGTCCTTTAAATATCTTAGCTCACTAGTCTATGGTATCTTGCAAGTGAAAAAAAAAGAAGACTTGACAGCTTTATCAATAAAAGAGTTAACAACGAGATAAATAAGGGGTTGAATGCAATCATTTAATGAAAAGCAATTACTCAGATCAGTGAATAGTTCATAGACAACTAAATCATTCAGTAGAAGTAACTAGAGCAAATATTTTTTCGCTTGAGCAATATTTATTTATATCCTTTACAAATTCTTTGCTCCAACAACAGTACATCTAGGCCAAAGCCAGCTATTGTTATCTGAAAATACCCAAAATAACTCCTATAAGATATTCATAGATTTCTACTTCTTTTTTCCATTCCTCTTTTTTTTCTTGTGTGATCTATCTTTATTTTTCTTATGTTAGTGTTCTTGCATGTTCCTAGAAGCTCAAACCTGCACACTCCATCCTGTTCACTTATGCAGGCTTATTGGACTGATCTAGAAGGACTGAACCCTTATTTTCCTTTAAATTTTAATAAGCCTTGGTCAGGAGACTCCAAAAGTAAGATGCTGAAATTTTCACCTGATACTTAAAGTTATGCAGAAAATAAAAAAAATACTGAAAAATGACCACAAAATTTTAATTTTGTGAATATAAGCGAATAACCCATTAACCGAAATTTTTGACCAAGAATATAGTTCCCATTTTATCGGATATCCCTGAAGAGACAACAAGCATATAGTTATTGTTCTAAATAGTAATTGCACCTGCTGATATAATGGTTCATAGTTAATATATATAAATATTTATATATAAATATATATATATATATATATATATATATATATATATATAAACGAGGCGACATCGCCGAGGCGATGCAACGTCACCTTTTATAAATAAATAATATATATAATCTTTATATATATAAATATATATTTATTAATATATATATATATATATATATATATATATATATATATATATATATAAGCGAGGCGACGTCGCTTCAACGATGTCGTCGAATTATATATATAAATATAAATATATATATATATATGTATATATATATATATATATACCGAGCGGTATACCGCTCGGTATAAAGTATCGTATCGTACCGAACGAATGTCGAAACTCCGGTACGATACGATATTTCAATCCTTGGTTCATACTTCATAGCAAGGATTGAAATTTCGTACCGTACCGGAGTTTCGAGATTCACTCAGTATGGTACAGTACTGTATACTGAGCGATATATATATATAAAGTAAAAAATATATTTTTCGGCGCCATCACTTCGACAACGTCGCCTATATATACATACATACATACATACATATATATATACATATATATATATATATATATACCGTTTTCGCCATGATGTCGCCTCTTCTCCTTGCGACGCCGAGATTCTTCTCCCCGCGTGGATGAGAGGTTGCCAACAGACGAGGAGGCAGAGCAGCGCAGGTACTCTTCTCCTTTTCTTTCTTTACCTTCTCCCTCGGTCACCCCTCTTCTTTCTTCTTCCTCGGTCACCGTCGATTTAAAACGATAATGGGCGAAAATAGCCCAATCGACGGTACCGCTCGGTAGCAAGCGGTCCATGTACCGATCTGCTGACGGACCGGTACGTACCACCCGGTACGGACCGTATTATTCGAAATTGAAGACCTTGCTTCATAGTATTATGGAGCAACCACCATGCTAGGTGAGCCCATAGTGGGTGTTTCAAAAACAAAAACACTTTTAAACGACAGAATTACATAATTAATTAACAATAATCAAACTGAGATTAGACACATTTTTAAACATCTAAGCTCATATAGATATAAAAAATAAACCTTCAACTCAAATAAACACTAATTGATGTTCAGCAAAAACAATTTTAAACTTGATTTTACCATAGTGATTAAATCCTATATTACATAGCAAATGAAAACTAACACCCAACCCATTGCTAGCATTGTTTCTCAATGATCTTTCTATCCCTCTATTTTAAAAAAAACTGTACCTCCATTTAAGAACATTATAACCAGTTTAATTCAGATTTGGACCGATTTAGTTGAAGAATTGATCCAGCCCAGCTGGGTTTTAGTGGGAAACTAGTTGTCTTTTTTGACAGGACACTTTGCTTTTTTGACAGGGTACTTTGATCATTTTGTAAAGGCGCTTGATCCCAAAAGCCAAGAAGTGTGGGGCTTTGCCTGAGAAATCACCCTTGAAATTTTGTATGCCTGTCTTGTGTTTGTAATATGTTGCATGACATGACATATCCAACATGATAGGCCCTTATTGTCATAAGCCATTGCTATGCAAAGGGTGTTCTAGTTGCATCCTTCAGCATGGTATGAATCTCGCAAAGAAACCATGTCAGTTTGACGTGGCATAGCCGAAACTTCCCAAAGGTCCCCAAGTTCAAAACGATGTCCTTGAATTAATCAGATTTCAGCAAATTGCTTCTCTGTTGCTGTTCTGTTAACACATACTTCAAACAAAGTCATGGATTTTGTGTTCTTTTTACCACAAAGGATGAAGAATATAAGTGCATTTAAAGATAAAACTGCATAAATAATCCTAATCAAATGCCTTCGATCATGTAGAAGAAAGAATAAAATTTCAAGACACCTACCTGATCAAAGCTTGAGTAGAAGGGCAATACTCTAGGGTAGTTCTGAAGAATTCCCCATGATTGGTCAACAAGGCCCCACCAGCTGCACAATTCAATTCAAGTATTTTAAGTGTCACAACATAAACAAAAACAATAGAATTGAATGTCAAAAGTCAAAAGCTTCTTCTTTATTAATATCACACACAGGTGTTAATTTTACAACAAGTTACCCAGAATTTGTATCAGAGTGTACCATGATGTACAAAGGACAAGTTATTTAGTATAACCACATTTCCTTTTCAAGCTCATTGTGTTCGTAGGTTGAGATGTATTAATGAACAAAGAAAAAAAATGAGACTTTTCAAAGTCTGCAATTGAACCAATCCGATTGATTGGAAAGAAATCAATAGTGCAGTTAAATAGGTAATAAGTTCAATTCTGAAGCTTAAAGGCTTATAACCAAACTTATGGTGCAATACTTGCAAAACTAATGACACATCATCAGCATTTTATCACCTTTATCATCTTCATCTTTTTCTGAATAATTTTAACATGGAACTTTAATCTTAAAAGTTAAAACATACAAGAGCAAGAAAATAGGTTTAAATCATAACAAATCAACCAAAAATGTGGTGTGCTGAGATATCTAATTATGTCAGTGGCCAACCACAAGTTGGCGCCATGTTCAGGCAAAAGGCCTCAATCTAGAAAGTTTGATTACTAGAAACTAAATTGTCATGACAAACCCTGACATAGTGATCCCAACCCGTATAAGGTATAAGGTGGACTATGTTTACAACAAATCATCATTACATATGACTCGCATAAGTATAATTCTTATCAATGTCAACTTCTCTCAATACCTCACAGTAAGAAAAACAAAAATTTACAAAATAATTTCTTTTAATATTCACTTCTATAAAGTTCACCCAAAAAGGAATACAAAGTGTATGAACATACACATCAAGGATTAAGCTCTTGATACCAAACCTGGTACCAGTTGCTTCAAGCCCTAAGCACGCCTTCTTCTAAGATTCCGAGGAACCTTCAGAATTTGCTTATGAAAATAATGACAAAATACATGTCAATTTATAACCCACTTAGGCAAATGCAAAAGGAGGTTACCCCTCTTAAAAGTAGCAGTAGTCTTCATTAGTACTGGATCAAGTTTGATCCGGTTCAGTTTTCAACAATTTGTTCTGAATGTGGTTCAAGCTCGCCCAAGTAGGAAAGATCTTGTTTCGATATATGATTCCATCTATGACTGGACCATGTTGTCACAACAAATCAAGATCCATATGCTATCAAATCAATAGGATAGCTAAATGGAGCAATACTAAAGGCTGGCATATCATCTGAAGGTGCTGACTAGACCTCAAAAGCCCCTATGAGCTCACCCAAGGTCACCCTAATTTGGCAATTAGGTTCTAATTTCTGTAGGGTCTTCTAGCTTAATTTCTGGCCTGAGTAAGGGTTTTATGGTGATTTGAGTTGGAATAAATACAATTGCATCCTTAGTTGATCTGACCCAGCTAGGTTGGGTAATGTGAGTTAGATTAGAAAGCTTAAATAGAATGTAGCATCTCAATACCATGCTTATTTGTCAGAACCAAGGTAGGCAATACCGAATAATACCGCCCAGTACGGGCGGTACGTACCGATCCGATGGTATACCGGTACGCGAACCGCCCGTTACCGGACGGAACGAATAATAATAATAAAATAATATATATATTTTACTTATTTATATTTATATATAAATATTAAAAAAAGGCTCGGCGACGTCGCCGAGGCGCTAATTCGTATATATATATATATATATATATATATATATATATATATATATATATATATATATATATAAACGAGGCGATGTCGCCCCGCGTGGGGAAGGTAAAGGCGACGTCGTCGAGGCGATGCGACGTCGGCTTTTAAATAAATAAAAAATATTTATATATAATCTTTTATATATATTAATTTATATATATATAATGCCTGCGAGTTATATATATATATATATATATATATATATATAATATACTGAACGGTATACCGCTTGGTATACCGTTCCGTACCGTATCGAACGAACGTCGAAACACCGGTACGATACGGTATTTCGAACCTTGGTCAGAACAGTACTGGACATGTTAAACTGCAGATGGGTACTATAGTACTTTTACATATATGTGCTAACAAATGAAAGGTAATACAGTACAATGTACATGTCATATAATTTTTATAACACCAATTCAAGAATTGAAAGAATTATAAAGTTGGTTAACTAAATCAACAAAAGTAGTTCAAACAAAGATAAATAGGAGACCAAAATAGGATCCTATCAACTAAACAAAATTGATGTTTCAGATAAATTGACCATAAAAAATTGTATTATGGAGATCCTATTTATCTCATAAAGATTAGGCAAGATCACTCGACAAATCATCCAAATAACATATTAAGTTCCCAAAAGTGCACTGATTAAAAAGAAGACTTATTTGCACCTTTTAGATGCATATCACTACCTACAACATAGGTTGTCATTTTCCTCTAATTTGAACTGTTTGCAAAACCAAGAGAAATTCAGGTGGATGACACCACAGGTTGACCAGCATAAACTGAGAATAATTAGCTAGAAATTACTAGCCACAAACTAGGCTTTTACTGCTTTAACAGAAACTTTTCACCAACACTAGAGGATTGATAACCAATTGACACTATGTAATTGTGTCAATAATTTATTAGACCTTCTCAACTTTTATCCTTCAAGGATGACCAACATAAATGAAAGGTATTGAATGTGGAAAACTTAGTAATTGGTATTTCATCTCTTTTGTACTAGTCAAAAAAAATTAATAATAGTAATTATAGGCAAATAAATCTAACAAATTTGTATTTTATAATCGGTACACTCATCTACTTGGCTACAGTCAAAAAAATCAATTTAATAATTAATAGTTATGAATGGAGGCTTTTATAGCAAAGTAAATCATCACATGACTAAGCTGGACATGATATTTAAGGTGTTATATGATTAAGGTACAAAATACATACCGATTTTGTGCAGTTTGAAAATCAGGTTCTTGTTCAGTTTCATAGACCCATCCTGGAGCAAATATGGCAGCTGAAACATCATCCTTCTTCAACACATCGAGGGCTACATTTGTCTGTCATGGTAAAAGGGAAAAAAGGCAAAAGAAAACATGCATATGGTATCTTAAAGAAAGTAAACCAAATCAAGTATATAGTAAATGATGTATAAGATGAAGAAATTCAAGAATATAATTAAATGATGTCCTCTCTAATCCAGCATAGTTCCACTAGCAATCTATTTGAAGAAGCATGGTTTTAAAGATCCAAGGTGGGACACTAATGATTCAAACAATCTACTAGCTTTATTGTTCCCTGCGATTGGCTTCGGGCCTTTCCTACACAGCTCGAGTGCAAGTTAGAACCTATATGCCAAGGGACAGTCCCAAATAGATAGTTTCTATGGGACATAGGACCCCCAAAAGATAACATTACATAGGCATGCAAAGGTTTCCTCAAATCAAACGGAGATTGACCCTAGAGTGCAAATGTAGAAGGGAGCTTTGACTGCAAGACCCACCCATCAAGCACAGACAATAGTCGGCCTCAATGATTCAATGATGCTGAGTGGAAGGGTCGTCACTGAACCAATAAAAGTTACTTTAAGAAAACATGCCGATCGTCATCAAGAGTTCACATCTACAGGAAGGTTCAGCACCATGATGCCGGCTCTTTGCTACCTAGGATTGTAGTATGTTCCAAGAGTTGGGTTGATCGCCCATTAAAGCGGTGCATGAACTGGGTTGCTAACCCAACATTTTCAATAGCAGGCTTTACCAAAATGCTTCACCAGCTGCTAATATCAGTAATAAGTCACTTATTTCATGTGTCCCAACTCCCAAATCCATTATCTAATTTTCTATGGATTATAACAATCTCCTCAATTATTCAACTAAAAGTCTTGCCAAGGCATCATTTACACACTAGAATCCTGCTCTAAATTCCTCTTAGGACTAAGCATGAATGATTAGCTGCTCCAATCCTATGCATATCCTCCATGATTCTACTCCTTTTAACATGCTGAAAGTAACCTGACACAATATGTGTGATCCTACATGGAGGGATCCACACAATACTGAATATCATGTATGATAACCACAATAATCACCAGAAGTAATAACTTAAACGGAGCAGAACTGTTAAGATTGCTTGCAGGTATGCAGTAAACAAGCATAATGATAATGATTTTAAGAAACAAGACAACAAATTTAAGTTGGGACTTGTGAAAATACTTTTGTTTACTTATTGAGGAAGAAAGAGGCAAAAACAATAGACTGTCATCTACTTGTAGAATTAAACAAGGTACAAGAACATTCATCAAAAAATTATAGAAATTTAAGTATAAGCATGTATGCCTTAGTTTTTTTTTTTTTGCTGTTATAGTTCCCTGCTGATTGTTATTATAGCTCCTTAAACATCCAAGAAGAGCTTTTCATGAATTTATTTCAATGTGCATAAATATGTGAGGAACAAAGAAACTATTCTGAAAACGTGAAGATGGTGCATCATTACCCGGATCATACCCAGAGAAGAAGAGAAGAAATCAGTAACACATTGTGCTAAAAGCTTACTGAGGCCATGCATTTTTCATCAAATAGCATCTATAAATTAAGTTTCAACCTCTTTTTATTTTGAATGAGGTAAAATAATCAAAATAGCTGAAGGGTGTTGACATACATGCCACTGCCCACCACCAAAGGTATTTCTGCCAAAAACATCAATACCCATGTAGACATCAAACCTTCTCTCACCAGCAATACTAGCCGAAGATGTAGGGTCTTCGTCCTGCAGGATTCAAAGACATATAAAAGCAAGGAATAAAAAGGAAGAAGATATAATTTTTATTGCATAGCAAAAAATAAAATGCTACCTTCCAAGTATAATTGACAAAAATACCATCGCACAAATCAAAGAAAGGTTTGTTTTGCATGTTCAGTTGATTTTGCCAGTCAAGTTTACCATCTATAGTCACAGCATCATACCTGCATAACACAAATAAATTAGGCTAGTAAAACCTACAGAGAAAGCATGATATCTAAGTTCAGATTCCATAAAAGAAAAAGCATTTGCTGCGAGAAGTGACCATATGACCAAAGATCCCGGAACTGAAGCATGCATAGAACGAGATAGGTGACCCACGAACTCCTTCAAGTTATCAATTTGCCTCTTGTCCAATTTGACTTCTATATTGACCTGAAAGTCTTAATATCATGTCAGCTGCAGAAAAGCCCCTGTCAAAATGTCGTCTGCCACTTTATATGACTAAAAACATGAAACTAAACTAACAAAAGAATCACTAATATAGCCCCTACAAGAGCCATTTTACACAGAAACAAGACAGAAAAGGCAGCATTTCCAGAATAATGAAAAAAAACACTCCTCCAATATAGCCATTGCTTATCCACAAAGTGGGGAGAAAACTAACCAGCCAACCATCGAATCCCAAAGCAGTGGCTAGTTCTGTCAACCGTTCAGCATACATTTGAGCAGACTCCTTTGACAAAAGCAAGGTGTCACAAATAACTCTACCTTCATCCCATTCCGTCAGGAAAGTTCCTAAGACCTTTTAATTCATCGTACCATGCAACAAAAGAGAATGGAAGAAATTGTAAAGCTCTTGCAGAACAGAAAATTTGAAGTATCCACAACAAATCCAAACTACTTTAATGCAACATCAAGAGAAGTTTCACAAAGACTATTTGAATTTTCTTTGTAGTTTGAAAGTCCAAAACTTATGGCATAACATAATAGGAAAGACAACAAGGCAATTCGCAGAGGGAAGAGGTACAAACTTTGACAACTATCACAGGAAAAAAGAAATATCGAAAGAAAAATAACAGAACATTAGAAAGAATTCTGAGTCGTAAGAAGAATGCAAATATAGAATTTTATCAAATCTTTAAATTACTGATCTCCAGCAAAAAAAGAATAATATGTCAGATTTCTTTGTTAAGAAAAGCTCATCAACATAGTTACCAAGAAACATGGAAATGCAACATTTTGGACAATAATACTGAAGGAGATATAAGGTATGCCACTATATACTTGGTTGATATTTTGTCGAAATAGGATAACTAAAATAAAATTGCCATTTTTGAGTCATACAATGCATTATATCACTTATGCCATGTGCTATATTAAGGAAGATATGATACACTTTGCTAACTCATTAACTATATTTGATCCCAAAATCTTACTATCAACAGTTGAAGTCCTCACCATCTAAGCTTGATGGCTTCGATAAATGAAATGGTAACTAGAGTTCCATTGCCGGGATTTGAACCCGGGTCGCCTGGATGAAAGCCAGGAATCCTAACCGGACTAGATGACAATGGAATAAAAAATTATTGAATGATATTCCGAATCCTCAACCCTTATTTCTTTGGTACACTACATCAAACAAATATTTTAGGTATAATTGAATTATATTTATGTGATTAATCCCCATTCGAAGATCCAAATTATGTACCTATTTATTACAGATCCCATAGCACAGCTACTTGGGATGTAAAAATGCCGCAAATCAGGAAGCAAAATCCATAACTTCCTAGTAGCTATGTTCTTCAATACAGGAAATTGCATAATAAATCCTTAAGTTACAAATCCACACCTGCTTTTTCCAATTTTGTGTATTTCCATACGATTGATCCAACTAGATAAAATAGTTTTGAATAATTAAATAACAAAAAAATCAGATAAAAGGTAACTAAAACCCTAAATCAACAATCTTCATCATGAATCACACACATGACGAATCGATGAAATTTTCTATAGCAATCTTGTGACCCTTGATAAGTTTATTTTGTACCACTTCTGGAAACACCAAGAATTAGAGGGCATTAATAATTTCTTTTAATCAAAGAAATTCCCAAAGTGATATTAATTGCATTGCAAAAAGATATTCTAAATTTTGCTAAACAAGTGCAAGTAGTTTGATGCATTGAACCAAAGATAGTGCGGAGCTGATTGTGGCCGCCATGAAAGAGCCTGGACAAGCCAGGTTGACGAGAAGATCAAGTTGAGCTAAACGAGTTGCAAAGAAGTGTCAGCAAATAAGGATAAATGCTGCAAAGGAAAGAAACACTAAAAGACTTGATAGTCTTGTCTTCAGTAATCTGTGGGACTGAGTGCAAATGATTGTGCACCTAAAATAGTGATAAGGATGGTTGACCAAGGTTGCCGATAATAGGTGCCTAAGTCCTCCACCACTAAAAGAATGATGTCATCTAACAAGTGATCGACCAAGGTTGCAGGTCTAGGGGGCTAGCTACAGCTCTGTCCTTCACCACAATAGTCTAGCTATGTCACGAATCAACACTGGTCAAAATGTTTAAGCTGAAATTGACAATAGTATACCGATTAGACTTTTATAAGTCAATCTTAGTCTTGCCCACTTTCAATGTGGCATTAATCAAGGTGTTACAATTTTCCTCACTCAAGGACGACATCCTCATCAAGGCCCACCATAGTCCAGATTAAACCCTAACATGGTGCATGTGAGGTGTAGCCCAGTAGCGGCTCCATGCCGTGACGAATCCTCTGACTCCATCAATGGATAGTCATTTCTTACTCGAACCCCTCACCATGTCTAAAATTACTAAGTCGTCTCCAAGCCTAATAGGCCATCGACCCATCAACTTCGTTTGACCTAAATCACTTATCAAAATGTTTAAGATAAAATTGACAGTAGTATACTCGTCAGACCCTTATAAATCAATCTTAGTCTTGCTCACTTTCGACGTGGGATTATTTAGGGTATTACAAGCTGCGTGATAAAGAGCTACCAAACAGTGAAATTAACCTCCTGCTTGTTGGAAGTGATCGTGGGTGCAATGTGATATCATCCTTGAGAGGGTCAAAAGTAACCTCCTGCTTGTTCGTCACCCATATAATCATATTGCTTATTTTCTTTTGTGGTAAGCCCATTTGTTGGCGATCAAAAGTAACCTTTTACTCAAAAGCAGAGTCCATCTTCTTTATGAATAGGATAAGATGTTCTTTTCTAAATAAATGCCCCAAAAAAGTTTCACTGGCTTAACCAAACAATCGACAAATAGAAACCATTATATGCATACGTAAAATAATTATCTAACCACATCACATATTCAAGAATCATTCATCATCAAAACCTACACCAATTTACCAAATGCGGAAACCCAAGACGAAGAACAAAGAGCTCAGATCAGGAACCTTGGAGGCAATACCTTGACGCCATGGGTGTGGGCGGCGTTGGTCCAACACGGCGGCGGCAGTGTGACCAAGTAGTGGGAGAAGTAGACGAAAACGTCCATCAGGTGCCAATGCCATATGGCGTAGGCGTCGGGGTTGCCCCCGCCCTGCACCCACAGGTCGTCGGTGTACCCGCCCTTCATGTCGTGGCAGACGAGGATCCGGCGGCGAGGGGGCAGCGCAGCGGCGGAGGGGGGGAGGGGGACCGACGAGCGGTTGAAGGGGTAGTGGAAGGACCGGAAGTAGGAGCGGGAGGCGAGGGCTTCGAGGGTCGTGATCGGGTAGGAGATGGGGATCGAGGGCTGGGATGGGTCGAAGGGCGGATCCCATGGCCGGGGATCGGGTTTCCGATCGCCGCCGCAGTGGACGAGGCGACGCAGGAAGCTGACCACGGTTTTGACGCACCTAAGAAAACTAGACATCTCTCTCTCTCTCCCTCTCTCTCTCTTCTCTTTTGGTATCCATCTTGTTTTCTGCCCTTATGCAAACCTGCACGGGGTTTCGTAATAGGAAAATTATGGAATTGTTATCGAAACCGTCCATTTGATTTCTTTCTTTCAATTTAGCCGTCGGATTGATTTGATCAAACTCAGATGTTAAGAGACATAACAGGATGGGATGCACGGACTTGAAGCTCCCTTTGTAGCTTTCCCACACTGTGTGGAATTTGCATCCTTGGGATCCGCTCCAACGATTGGAGTGAACTGATGCCGAGTTTATATACATGCAAAGAAATAAACCGGGAGATAAAATAAGTATATAATACAAAATATCGAAACAAGTAATTTTATTTATTTTAAATTAATAAATTATTATATTTTAAACTTTTATCCTTTAATAATTATTTCTTAGATATTTTGATAATATGAGATTTAATTCAATAACACATGAATATTCCAATGGGTGGGTATAAGAGGTTTTTTTTATTTCATTTTTTATCCCATCTTTACATCTATTCTCCATAAATTAGGTTACGTTGAATCTTGATTAAGTTATTTATGAATTATTTGATTTAATTGAATCATATCGATATTTAATTAGTTTTAATAATATTTTTAATTAAAAAATATAATAAATTAATTATGAGAATATAAAAGACCTGTGGATCTGCACCCACAATTGAGATTCCCTGTGCGGGACTAAACAGGAAATGGGGTTGGGGATGTGGCGGAGAAGGGGAAGGGACTCCACGTCCTGTCCGATGCGGTTGACATTTCTAATTAATATAATAAAAATACGATTAACTTTTCTATTAAGTATTAAAAAATAAGAAAAATAGAAAAAAATAGGTAACTCATAGAATACCAAAACTGTGTGCTACAATTCCCACCGATGAGTTGTACATCGAAATGGACATTTGAAGCAGATGGACATCTGAGCACGGAAACGTCAGCTGATATGACAACGATGGGAACTGTTCAATTCATTTGCCTGTCACCGTATATATATATATATATATATATATGCGCTAAAATTAAATTAAGAGGCATAAGTAGGAAGATGGCCGATTTGGAGAATTAAATATATAACTTTATAACATGTTATGTATGATATGAGTAAAAAATGATGGAAGATTAATATAAATTTATTCAAACATCAATTTGATTTTATAAAATAATACATTAAATTATGAATTAAACTTAATGTACGTCATCGAGATCGGTGAGACTGTTGCGATCTTAATCTTCGCATATGTGTATTATATGTATGGTGGGGGCTTATTAAAAGGTGCACAGGCGAGGCGGTGGTGCTTTGTGGGCTTTCAATTCCATCTCTCCTTCTCCCTCCCCCTTTCCCTCTTCCTCTCTTGGAATACTGCAGGCGTTCAAACGCCCGCAGTGCACACACAGTGACTTCTCCGACAACCCCGTACGAGAATGTCTTCCGCTGCTGTTTGCCTTTAGCGTACAGTAAACTCAGAGTTCACCTTCAAAGCGGGCAAGAAAAAGGCCGCCTCGCCCTCTCTCTCTCTCTCTCTCTCTCTCTTCTTGTGATGAATCATGCATGTTGTGTTCGCTTGGTGATGGGAAGGGAGAAGAAGTCGTGGACCCACTGTGGTTCTCGCGACTCGGCGAGAGGACTCTCGTGAAGACAAACGAAAGATGAAGAGCATCAAAAGGAGAAAGAAAGGTAAAGGAAAAGAGCATACAACAACGAGGAAGCTTAATTTTGATCTACAACAAAGAAAACAGATGAAATGGAAGCTGTTCGTGTGATCTCGTAATGTATCCATCCATCCATCCATGGAAGTCCGATGGTTGCAGAACAATGTTGTAGGAGACAAGGAATCAAACCTGATAAGCTCAGAGAAAAGAGAGCATTTATACCGGTAGCCAATAATTCAACAGCCGCAATCTAAGAAGAGTAGTCTTAATCTGCACGGATAGTATATATACATATATATGTATATATATATATATAGATTGCTGATGAATTGAAACGGATAATAATAAGATTTCAATTGCCTATGCTGCTGATGATGATCGAGATTTGCTTCACTAAGTCAGCGAAGAATTAATGCGGACAATTAGCCATGAACCAACAGCTATGTACTCACTCCATGCGTGCTCCCATTGCCGGCGGCCGCCAAAGAACGACAGTACGAGAGACGGGAAATGTGAGGAGTGATCGGTGCCCAGGAAGCAGACTACGAGCTCGTCGGTGGTGCGCTGGATCCCTCGCTGGCCGCTGAACTACTGAAAGCACCGGCAACAGTTGCCTCCCCTCCGCCAGCTGAACTCCCCTCGACGGGCGCTGTACCCGGGAGGCGCTTCCGCTTCCTCTTCTTCTCGTAAGGGATGCCGCGCGCCTTCCCTTGGTAGGCCTTCACCTCGCGAAGGTAAATGCCGACGGCCTTGGCGCCGAAGGGGTTGGACTCCGGGCGGCCGTCGTTCTCGTCGTAGGCTGCCCGGAGACGGCCGATGAGCGCGTCGAGCGAGCCCCAGGCCTGCTTGAGTGGGCAGGCGCACGGCGCCGGTGGCTTAGGGAGGCCGAAGTGGGTGCACCCGGGCGCGTGCACCCTCGTCTTCCCGAACTGGTCCAAGTACTTCAAGAACTCGATCACGTGCGCTCCGCTGCACCGCGCCAGGCTCAGCGGCGGCCTGTGGTTCCTCAGGTACTGAAGGAAGGTGTTCCAGTCCCGCCGCTTCTGCGACTCATATCGACTCAGTGGCTGCTGCGGCTGAGCAGGTGGCGCTGTTGGAGCCAAAGGCGGAGGTGGATCGTCGGGAGCTGACGAGGCGGAGGGACCTTCCTCTCCCGCATCACCGGCTGCGGCAGGGCCAGGATCCATGCAACTGTGCTTCCTGCAGTCGATGCCTTCGCTCTCCTTCCAATTAATTTCCTCTCCACGCCCAACTTGTTCTTTTTCCTCGATACGGGTCTTCGGAGAGAGAGAGAGAGAGAGAGAGAGAGAGAGAGAGAGGCGGGGATGGAAAGATACGACCAACCGGTGTACCTCTTTCGGGGATTGCGTGGTAATTTGACCGGACGGTGCGCTTTGTCATCATGTTAGTCCTTGTAATATAGTGGTGTTCATAATGGTCTCTACAAATATATATATATGTATATGGGATGATCATATCAAATTTCACAATCGATATGATCATGTTTTATTTTTAGTCTATCAAATAAATAATTGATCTTTGATCGAAGAGGTAGGAGATTCCTTTCTCACTATTATTTTTTTTGAAGACTATATTTGATCCTAAATTATTTTGCTATTAAGAATCACATTAATTGATATTTAATTAACTTTAATATATATATATATATATATATATATATATTAGTATAGTGTGATGTATCCATTGTCTCTTATTTATAAAGATGAGTAACGAAAACAAAATTCGATCCCAATGATCATACTATCGACGATCGAAATCTTTATTTTTCAAAACATATATTAGATAATAAAATAACGATAAGTGAGCATTTTAAGATATGACCATTCACCATTATACAAAGTTAAAATATACCTCAAATTTTGAATATGATGCCCACTCCACCCTTCATAAACATCAATCAAGATTGCATTTGTTGATTGGCAAAACAAGTTCAAACAAGCTTGCATCTTCATCATAGACTTGTTTATGTTTTGTTGCCATGATTGGTTTGGCCCTTCATAGATTCAAAGTGTGGGGTTGAGATGGGTCCATTTTGAGGACCAAAACTGTGGGATAAATGGGAGTAGTAGGAGGGCACCCTTCCCATGCTACTGAAGGAGGTCTATCAATAGACCAAGAAGAGGCTGAGGATATAGTAATGGATGATGCATGGAATGTGGAAGGTGGACATCAACAATACAAATGGAACTAAAATAATTTAAATTTGAAATGATTTTTGTATGTATTACTTCTTAGTATCAGTTCACTGACACAGTGGTAGTACTTTAAGCTCAAAGAGAAGGCTGGCAATCCAAAGTAACATTTCATGGTCCCTTTTATTTCACTACTTTTTATTTAACTTTGTCAATAAGTTTGACTAAATCAAGTTTTTGGATCACAATTAAATCCTTGATATGAAGACTGCATTTAAATCATTGCATCTTGAAATTAACAGAAATCATGCTAGTTATTATAATTATATAATTCGATTCTTCGTATCTAACACACACAGACACACGTTCGATTACGTATCAAAAGTTAACTTAAAAAATAAAAAAAATAAGATAATAATAATAATAATTGAGTAATATTCATGTCTAATTAGAATTCAATAATGATGATCAAATAATTAGAAAAAGATAGAATTCACATAGAATATTTCACTATGCACTTACAATTAGGAAAGATTAACTATAAAAGGTAAATACAAATATGATTATTAGAGATTGATACTTCTCTATCTATGAAATCTATCTCAGAATTTAACACAACTATAGAATCGTTTCGAAAATCTCATTCCATTTTAATTTTTTTAAGGTCCGCATAACCTTTGGTACCATTAAATTTCTTAGGTAAGTTTGCTATTATTATTATTATTATTAGTATTATTATTATTATTATTATTATTATTATTTATTATTATTATTATATACCTTTATCTATCTTAGGAGTCCTGCCGACATCATTAGATGAGTGTGTCCCCAAGGTGTTCATTATTCAAATCAAGTTGCCTAAATTATGTACTATGATATGGACTTTTCACAACAATCATTAGTGGGAAGCAAAAACTCAGCTAAAGAACAGCCATAGCACAATCAACAAATTATCACCGTTTGTCAACATGAAAAATATACATGTTGCTAAAAAGGATAATACCAAGCAAAAAAGAACACAACACTTGAATTATTGAGAAAAAAAAAACTAATTATTAACATATGTGAAGTTATTGAATTAAAATAATTATTCTTTGAAGGAAAAGATGAAAAACTATTTGTTCATTTGCCTATGAAATGCAAGGAGAAAGCTAAATTAATGTTTTACATCCAATATGAGATTAAATTGGGAGCACTTTAAGGAATTAATAGCTCATCCATCCTTTGCCTTTGGCAAAGTTTCAAAATGCCTTTGAAAGAAGCCAACTTTTGCATCCGATCCTTCGATCTCAACAGCTGTGGGTGGCATTGCCACTCCCACGAAGCTTTGCCTTACATCTCTCACATCTATAATTGCTATTGTGATGACCCTACCACAAGTGATTCCTTCAATTATTTAACCTATCTTCAAGCAATCCAAAATGGAAAATGAGTAGGACATCATATGACCTTATGTTTAATATTATCAAGTTGTGTGATGACTTATGTGGCCATATTTTATACATATAGGCATAATTTTCTTGGGAAATGAGCCAAGCTTGTACCATCTATAATGATGTGCCAATAGACATATGGATGCAAGGAATATGAACATGGATCTCGATGAAAATGAATGCAAGTCAAAGAAAAGGATAACACACACAATTGTTTTATAGTTTGTGTAACATATCATTGAATTCAAAGCGAATTACATACAATATATAATTCTTATATATGTATATTTGTACACCTTATATATAATTATTGGCAAAAAATTATTGGGAGAAGAGCCAAACTTTTACATTGTTCTCGAAGAAGTTAAAGAAAAGGATACTAAACACATTTGTTTTCTAATTTTTGTTATATATAATATATATTAATTGCAAGGCAAATAGAAATAGAGAAGGACATATATTTAATTTAAGTTGTATAGCAAATCATAAAACGAAAACTCTAAGTTGTTAGGAAAAGATGACAACAAAAATCATACATTAGATATGATGGTGTTTTAAGACACTTTTTATAATGCAATGTAAAAAAGAAAATATTGGCTTAATTGAGTTAATTTTGATTACTAAAACATTCAAAAATGTGTTATTATTAAAGCGAAACATAACACAAATGTAACCTTTCAATAAAAATAACTAATGATCACCTTTGAGCTATCTATCTCATTAAGCACACATGTATCTTCACTATATAATTTCATATAAAACTAAATGAATTTCAACCTTTAATTAGAGCTCGATCATTTTTCCTACTATATAAAAAAAATAAGAAAATAGATAATGTCTCATTTAATAATTTTGGCTTTTGGATAAACAAAAAAAAGATTAAAAAAATATATATATTTTTGAGGGGTGACAAAAAGTCATGACTCGGATTTCACTTTCCTTGTTGTCGTGAAAGTGATGTTAGCCTTCTTTAAAGGTCAAGATTGCACATCACTTGGTGGGAGAATCATTTGAAGTGACAATTATCTTAAGATGCCAAGGCTTTAGACAAGCATTCAATGCTACAACATCTCATCATCATTCTCATTCTCTTTCTTTTAAGGAAGAGAGATGTCGGATATTTATTAGTTGGCAAAACTCACTCACTCTTGCACGATTATTAGTAATGATGATAATTGAAATTGTTAGGATGTCTACGATCACAGCACTTATTTACGGTTGATGATATAATCACGTCTTTGCTTTTGTCATCACAATGGTGTGTAAAATTATGTTGAGATTTAATATTTCTATAATTTAAATTTAGTTGCCCACCTTTTCTTTCTAGAAAGAAGATTAAGAAGAAAGGAAAAGTAACGTCGGAATGCTTTGTTGAATATTTTTCTTTTTTCTTTTTACTTCCATGAAGTAAATTTGTTTTTAATGATCAAAGTTGTGTTGGGATGTGATGGAGACAAAATTTAAGATGATATCAAAATGAAAAAAAAAATATAGTAAATATATATTCGATCAATTCAAATTAAAATTGTGACGTGATGAATTAGCTCCAAATGTCTCTTTCGAAAAAGGAAGCATATTTGTTGCTTCTCGGCATCCATCTCTCCATTTTCTTCGTCTTCTTCCTCTGAAAGGCACGCTTCTCTGTCACTGTCTCACCTTCTATTGCTTCATGTGCTGTGCTGGCGTTCTCATTGAGATGATGTTACGGTCCACTTTTCTCTCTCTCTCTCTCTCTCTCTTTCCAAATGACTCTGTTTACTTCATGTGTTGATGTTCTCATTGAGATGATGTTGAGTGTTCACTTTGATCTCTCTCTCACTCTCACTCTCTCTTTCCAAATGACTCTGTTTACTTCATGTGTTGATGTTCTCATTGAGATGATGTTGAGTGTCCACTTTGATCTCTCTCTCACTCTCTCTCCAAATGACTGTTTACTTCATGTGTTGGTTTTGAGATGATGTTGGGTGTCCACTTTGATCTCTCTCTCTCTCTCGCTCTCTCCGAAGAACTCTGTCCTCCATGCCGAACAAAGATTAACATATGTCCCACCAATTCTTCATCACAAACTTTGCTTCTTGTTGTGCAGGAATTATTAGTGGTGCAACTGAGCTGAGATTGATAAGCTGTGTGATGGTGACAAGCACTGCAACACCATACCGTATCATCAGTATTTCGATTGACTTGATATGGTATGGTATCGAACGGTATATCCTAATGTATCGAATAATTATATATATATATATATTTATTTATTTATTACTGTAGTACTATAACATTGTAGCATTATTATAATGTAATATTGTAACGGTACCGGACGGTTCGCGTACCGATATACCGTCGGACCAGTATGTACCGCCCGTATCGGACGGTACCATTCGGTACTATATACCATGGACAAACATTTATATTTTAGACCCAAAGAGAATAAGTTTGGTAGGAAGATCTAAAAATAATAAAAATAAAATAGTCAATCTTTATATCAACATTCAATGAATAAAAAATATTTTAAATTTTTTTAATAAAAAATATTCTGTTCAATCACTATCGATAACTAACTATTAAATCGACTATATCATCTTAGTACAAACAAATTGAGCTTCCTCTTTGAACATCAGGTAAATCGAATTAGAATGGTATCGAGTTAGTCCCACATTAAGTAGCATCATTGATCATTCTATCTATCAAAGATTTCGCATGACAATATATTGTTAAAAATTATAGAATTTATTATATAAAATTAAGAAAATATATTTTTTTTGTCATGTGTGATCTTCAGCAAGTTATGATTTTACCCATTAAAATTATTTACATTAAAATATT